ATTATGAATCAAATGTCTTTTGCAAGTTGAAACAATTCGTCTTTAAAGAAACGCTTTCTCGCCGTTTACTCTTTGACTTGACTAGGTAGTCAAAGAGTAGCTATTATCACAGAGCCATAAAAAATAATCCTGAAGAACATATTCCATGCCCAATCATAATGTATAACCTTCCTATCATTTTTTTTTTTTTTTTTTTTTTTTTTTTTTTTTTTTTAAATTTATTTAAAATAACTGATGCCAATACGAAAGTTAGGTGAATTGCTGAAGAGCAAGCAATTAGTGTTTTTAAATAAGATTAACTGTGACTCAGTTCTCGGGTGTTTATTTTGCTTATATTTCGTGCGAAACCGGCGAAACCCATGACCTGATCAAACCTAACCTCCAAAGAGTTGTCCATACTCTTCTTATAAAGGTACTCTATTCGAAGGTGCAATGACAGGAAGTCATTCAATTCTTCTTAGCTCAGGTTGGAGAAATCAGCGGGAGAATTGACTTGTGTCACTCAATGCTTACTTTTACAGCAACCGTACGTGCTTACAGAGGGCGGGAGGGGGGGGGCGTGACGGCAGAGCTCCGCCAATCAAAATTCCCGCGGACAATAGGGTAAGCAAGACACACTTTGACACTCGGGGAAAGTCGGAAGGAAATTAAGCGGAGTCTAGAAACACGCCTCGGTGCGCCCGTGTCAAAATTGTCCATTAGTTTGTGACGAGCCCCATTATAATGCCGCGAAGCAAGTTGAAGTTGCCGCCACGGCTGCCAACTCCCTCCCGCCCGCGAGGGGCTGACGCGGGCAGACGCCTTTACGACCGCTATGTTGGCAATATCGGTTTAACCGGTCCCCGTCCCCACGCCGCGTTTCGAATACCAAAGTCCTTGCCGATGCTCTCGTTCCGAAGTTGAGTTTCAAGCTGTATTGTGTCCCATGGTCGCCGCGCCGGGAGGAGGGCCTTTTCCCCTTTTTTGGGCAAGTTCTCGGCGGACCCGCGGTCGATCCCCGGAATTCTATCGCTTCTTTTGTCGAATCTCAATCGATGAGGAAGAAGGGGAAACGCTGTGCGCGCACTGAAACGTTACCGAATTTCCTCCGATGAAATAATCAATTCCGAGAAAACACCAATGAATACAAATTGAAAACGGAGGCATACCACGGGTAAATTCTCGCGAGTGGTTTTGGCCAAGGTTGTTAACTTACTACCAACCTTCGTTACAACAAAACAAAATTCCTAACGGGCGACGCAACGGTGCGTAATATTTGGTTTTCGTGCTTGCAGCAATGGCAACCACATCCAAAATTCGCGACCCACCTCCGGAGGTGGGTAGAGAGGTAGTTCTACACAAACGGTGGCCAAAATCTATCAAGCAATAGTTCTGGACTTCACGAATTTTCCAGAAAATTCATATTTTACGAGGTGACTTGTTGCCATGAGAGATGAACATAATTTTCTATATAATCGTCAAGTTTTGTACAAATTATTTTAAGTTTTTACTCTAACCAGTATTGCATTTCAAAAACTGATTCTTCGATGTAAGTATGAATAAAAATTGATAATCTAATGTAAATGGCAACCGTGCTGTCACTTAGTTAATATAAAGTTGGAAAAGGGTTAGGATAGGGTGTTACGATGCAAGAAGCTTAAAAGACCTCCAAAACAAAGGACACCCAACACAAGGAAAACTGTTACAAGGAACATCATCGGAGGAAAATTTTCTCTCCTTGCCTAAACATCTTTTTCCTGCTCCCCTATAATACCAAACTCCGAGTAGATTGCCAGGTTTTTTTCTCTCTTCCTTTGAAGATTAAAGGGTATTCTTCGAATGAATTCAGAACGGCAAGGCAACCGTGATGCTGTTTCAAAAAGGGATAATCAAATATTGATAGTCGTGGCATGACAGGTTTGCTGACTGGAGTTGCACAAATCGAACTTTCTGGGGAAGATGTCTCCTTTCAGGAACGTGACGAAAGAGACTAATGGTTGCAAATGGTCCATGGAATTCCCAGTACTTTAACCCTCTTCCTCGTGAGAGAGATCTAAATTCTGCACTAATCCGATATCTAATATTGCCAATTGAGACCTAACTACTTCTTAACTTCCTCAAAAGTGCATGCTTCCTTACCGGACGAGATAAAAAAAAATCAACTTAATTACATTTGAACGTATTTATGATAGAAGAAACCATATTGCACGCAAACCCCATGCTGCAACCCTGTCCATTCCAGCATAAATACGTCATATTACCTAATTTTTTTCTCATATTTTATGTATTCACAAGAGGGCAATATCCTCAATTGAAATTTTGTGAATGAGATCTTCATAATCCAAAAGTAATTTTCCAACAGCCTCAAGGCGTTATGTTGCGTTTAGTTCGGTTAAAACAGGAAACCGTCAAACAGGTTACCCGTTAAACCTGGTTTAACAGTTTCCGTTGAAACAGGACATATGATAGCAAACACGTATCGTCTAAGTTAAAGAGATCGGTTTAGGATAAATTCGTTCAATTCTTTAAAAAAATTCATTGAATTTTCTTGCAGCCTTCAAACTTTGATCTTATGACATTCAACGAAAGGCCTGGCGTTACAATTAATTGCCTTTGACTTATCCATTCACAGGATCATGCTTTTCTCTGAAAACGTGTTATCGTTACAGGACGGAATAATAATGAAAGAAAAATTACTTAACCGACGGCTAATTTTGTTTTAAAACTTAGTCGCAGCTGTTACATCTGAAATGAGATTTTAATTTAAGTCTCATGATGAGGGTAACTGGGACGCACCACAGTAACTTCGAAGGTCGGAGCAGTTTTTCAGGCGTTTACGGCGGGGCGCTTGTTCCCGTGACCAATTAATTCAACTTTCATCACCTGCTAATTTAGCTATGACCGTCAAAATGTAGGAATCACTTTAGTTGATATGAACTCTCTTAGTCAAATTTCCTGTAATGTTATCATGTATATTCATCGTCTTCACGCAGCACACACAATCATTAATGTTTTGCATAATTTGTTTTCTCATCTTGTTCGCGTTTATTCGTTAGGAGCTATGCTACACTTTTATTTTACGGAACAAAAAACAAGAAAATGGGAAACCAAGGCTAAAAACAAGCAAAAACACCTGGGACGCACAGTGGTGATTTCAACCCCCTCCTCGACTAAAAACAAAAATATAAAAATAAAAAACCCCTTAAACCCCCATTTGTGATAACAAAAAAAAAAACGGAAAGAGTTTTTGTTATCTGAAATGGGAAGGGGGGGATGTATGGAGTTTTTTTATTTTTATATCTGTATATTATCGTTTCCTGGACGAGGAGGAGGGTTGAAACCAGCCCAAAACGTACCAGTCATTCTTTTTGTTTTTAACCTAGGTTTCCCATTATCTTGGGTTTTGTTTTGCCTTTTATTATACGTACACATCACTAAGCTTTCAAAAAGAATATCTCCGGATTTTGATCAAAATTTCATCAAGGAATGACTAAACTTCTGAATCACGATGTGAAAAAAAAAAAACTGAATTGTACTGTTTTAACATGAGAACTGGGTCAAAAATTCAATACCGGATTAACGGAGTTATTTCCGTTGTAACTTGTGCACCCAAAGGTGCACAAGCTTTTTTGCCATGATACATCGTTTCCAAAAAATTTAAATTGGCGTTTACGGCGTTTTTGCGTTGCACGGCAGAATAGAGAGGAGTTATCTTTGTGCTTCGTTGTACCTGCACTGGAGAGACGAGACAACTATGTTCGTGTGAATCCTAGGCCTTCATCCTCGCACACATTGCCGTATATTGCATTTGTTTTTTGGCACGCTTTTTTCAACACTAGAAGAACCTACTAGGGGGTAACTGTTAGTCATAACATTTGGTACTAGTGGAAAACGTAGCCTTAGTGTGCTCATTGTTATTATTTTAGATAGCATACAAGAAAATGCAATAGTTTGGTTAACCTGAGCAAGGGACATAGAATGGTGGTTGTCTCTGAATTCCTGAGAATGATCAGACGAAAAGACCCTTAAGGTGGTTTAGAAAATTTTTCAGCTTGAGGAAAAAATCATGTTGGGGTCAAAAATATCGAGTTTCACTTTTGAATGCTTAACGTCTGATAATAGCGACTAGATTTGGAAGTTTGAGTGTCCTCTGAGCCAATTGGATGTATTTCTGCCAAACGGAACCGAAGACAGGTTTGAAACAAGGGGTGTGCTCGTTAATCGAGGGCCATAAGAATAAAGTGGAATATAAAGCGCCAGTGACGTCAGCGGCCACGAAGCTGCTGCTGCGGTCGCTCTTTCGCCGCATTAGCTCATGAGCCTTGTCCACATGGCTTTTTTGTCATTCCCATGGCTCCTGAGTGCCGCATTCAGTTGGCACATATAGTTCCGTTTGACAGAATGTAAAATCCCTTTTTTCCATTTCTCCAAAGGGAACCACGCCTATTTTAACATTGTTTCTTATGCAGTTTCAACGAGCACACCCCATCTTTTCCACTCGTCTATAATGCTGTTTCGCAGAAATACGTCCAATATACGTGGTGCGTAATTTACCTCTTTAAAAGTAAATGCTTTTATTTTTTTCTGCCCTAAAGGACACGTTTGTCGGTCCTTATCACACACAATATGATCCAAAAAAATTCAGACGTTAACAAAATCTTACCTATCACTAATGTGAATCTTGAGTATTGGGTTTCTTGGGGATCAAATAGAAACAGGGATTTATGGTGACCACTATCACTCATCTTTATAACGATTTGTAGCTTCATGTTCACTTTAATCCACTTTACTGTTCGTCAAAAAGGAGAATGTAAGGTTATAATTCACGTGTCACACATTCCGTATAGCATCATTTGACGTGACAACAGATTCACACTTAGCCTCAGTATACATATCGCTTAATACATTGTATTTTTCCCTGCGTAAGCTAATTGCCGATGTTAAAAATGTGTTACTTTAACAGTAAAACTAATTTTCCTGTGCGTTTTTGTTTTGTTTCATGCTTTCCTGTATTCCATTAGAGCTCAATTAGAGTAAGTACTTTCGCATTTCATATTCTAGCATGATTAACCTAGGCATTTTCATGGTTTTTTTTTTCCATCATCCGAGACCTGCTTGCTCATTGCTTCACCACGAGGGCCCTTCAGTAAGTAAGTTCGGGCCTCTTAAGGCCACAAAGACGGACCAGCTTCATGCAAATTTGATGCGACCAAAACCGCCTGCAGCAGGATGAAGTCTGGTAAACTGCCACCCATTTCCAGGATTTCTTGTGAATTGCCACCTGACTTTTTTCGAATATTTTCGAGCGCGGTAAGGGAAATGATAAACTGCCACCTGCCTAAATTTCACATACCATGTAAACTGCCACCTGAGACTGGAGTGGCTTGCAGCCAACACCAACGCTCAGTCATGGTAGAACAAGCCACTGGGCGAAGTTGGACATGAAATTTCCAACTAAAACTAGCAAATTTTGATGTTTGATGCGTCTGAATTACCAGTGGATGAAGTGCAAAGAGACATAACTAATGATGGAAACCGTATTGTGCCGATATCGTGTCCACCGTACTGCGGGTGAAAGATCCGACACTGAGAAATAACAATTGAAGCGTGCACTGTGCTGTGCGCGCAATGCGTGAAGACCTTGAAGTATTCCTTCAGTCTTGTAGGCGCTAATTAAGCGCTTTGCGCTAACTGACCGACTGCACTGCGTTTGGCGCAATGCGAGAAGTATTCATGCTATCTTGCAGGCGCTAACATGCGTTCACCGTCGGCCGCACTGTGTTTGGTGCAGTTATTAGAACTCGTGTTCGAATAATCATGGCATCAAATAATGGGGCTGAATAGGCCCGCGTTGTGTTTCGACGTCGTATGAGCGTCGTTCTAGATAAAATAATTCTGCCTCTGTTAAGTGAGAGAGGTAATATAGAGAGAGAAGAGACGTATAAATATTCGAGAGTTCCCAAATTTCCTGCGGTAAAATTTTTATTTTTGAGGAAAATTATGAAAGTTTTCCCTTGAAATTTTAAGGAACTATAGGTGAAATTGCGAACAAAGTTACCTTAAAAAATGGGAAGGAAAATATTTATAAGTTTACCAGGAAATTCACGTTTTATCAAAGAAAATTTGGCAACGCCCGAGGGTTTATACGGCGTTTTCTCTTAGCTCGACAGTGTACTTCCCCGTACTGCCACTTTATCGCACATCCTGCAAGAGAGCATTGGACTGCACTGTAGGCTTCGCAAACAAACACATCTCATTGTCAATTTAGGTTATCTCGAGACATTGATATGTCGATATGTTGATAGCTCGATAAATCGATAACTCGATGACTCGATAACTCGAAAAGTCAATATCTCATCCCTCCAACACTACATCGTTCATTTGGTATGAGCTGGAACGAGTTGTTTATCACGCGAAGCGCCGCCGCGTGTGGCGCGGCTTGAGCTGCCGCGGAAAAATTTAGCCGGGTGGCAATTTTCCATTCCATTTAAAATAGCTGGGTGGCAGTTTACTTATAGTACCTCCTCTCCTGTTATTGACGTGGGTGGCAGTTCACATACTCCAGGAGGATTCCTCGATTGCTTTGAGGAGACAAACTTCGTTCCAGCTGAAGTATTTGTCTCGTTTCAAATGTTCTCGTTTTCATGTCCTTGCGGTATATTTGTTCAGCGTTACCGAGAAAAGTAATAAGACAAAAGACTTATAACCTATATAATTATTGGCCTAAAAAAAAAAAAAATTATCAAGTAGTAATTGCTCATTTTATTTCGACGGTGAAAATGCAAAAATGCGTATCTCGATTACGGTGTGTCAAAAACTCAGCTCCAATTTTATTTTTTTAAAAGAGACAAAACCAACATCATGACATGACTGAATGAACAGTCTTAGAAGACTGCTTGCGAGAGCAATGAGAGGAAGTTCCCGAAGTTTTCAAGGAATAACGTTCCGTAGGTTTCCATGCCGAAAATAAATCATGAAAGAAGTCTAGAACGCTGCAAACCAAGATACGCATTTCTGTTGTTTCATCATCGATTTATTGTTTATCACGGTTACGGGTCGAGGGATAAACTGCACGGTCTTAATGTGAGAGCTACGCTCGTAAATATGCATGGATTTGGTGTTTCATTGTTTGCTGCAATGCAAAACGCACTACATTAAATCCTCTTCAAGTTAAAAGTCGACCTACTGACGATTTCAGTTGAGTTTGAATTAATTAGTTAGCGAGTAGGACGGGGCCTCAACGTATTACCACTGGTGTGAAGTTAATGTAAAAGCGCTATAATCCATACAGTGCATAATTTTTCGGTCACACTGAGAATCAAAGAAGCCGTTTATATCACGAGGGCAAATAATTCTAAATTCCAAAGTATGTTTTTGTGGTGTTCCCTTTGTGACCGGTGGTCGTGAAGCACAAATTGAGTCTGAGTCATTATGATGAACAGTAGTTTATCATAACTTTTAGTGTCTTTGGCTGGCTAAGCTGTATAGAAAATGGTAATTGGTTAAAAAATCGAGCTACAAGCCAAAATAAACAAATAATATTTCAAACTACATGAAATAATATAAAACTTACAAGAAACAAAGCAAACGTTTCGACCGCGAACAAACTGCGATCTTCTCCAGTACATTAAGAGCAACCAGTGGAAAAATGTTACAAAAAATAAAAATATTACAAAACTATTAGCAAACTATGCGAAAATACATATAGTTTCAAATATTTTTTGTTTATTTTGGCCTGTAGCTCGATGTTTAATTCAATTACCATGTAGTTTATCGTTTTGGCTTTGTCAAACATGTAATCTTTAGTGTGACGTTAATTAAATTTTAAAAAAAGTCATTTATGCATGTTCAGAGAATACGTGTATTACAAAATTTAAACTCCAACTATCCACGTTTTCTAACCATTTTAATATTTCAAAAAAAATATAATTATGGTCTATGGTCCAGATTTGACGTCACTCGAAAATGCAATTAAAATACCTTCAAAAAATACACCACAAATATAAAACAAACAAAAAATCTTGCATATATTGTATGTCTTGAATTATTGTAAAAACTGGACAGAGTCAAGAAGAATGACGCGTGGTTCTAGTTTTGCGGCGACTTTAGCGGTAACTTTAGCGTCGGGCAAGCCAGGAAAGCGTGGAAGGGGGGGTCGCGTCATCTTCACAGTGTGATGCGCCTTCAATCCAGCTAGCGGCAATATGCTTACACCTGTGGTCGATTAGTTATCTCATTACGCCTGCCGTGAATGAAATAAAATATCGACGCCCACTTTTACGGATTCTTCCCAACTCACGCTTTAGTCGCATTTTCCTATCATATCACTGACACAGACTTGACGCCGCTCGATGCGCCGCGCGGAGGGGTAGCGAGAAATATGCCCAAGCTTTGCTGGACGCCCACGCTTTATTCCACACGGATTCTCCATGACTGAAAACATCGAAATTGCGAGACAACGACGCACAGTCATGGTAGAACAAGCCAATGGGCGAAGTTGGACATAAAATTTCCAACTAAAACTAGCAAATTTTGATGTTTGATGCGTCTGAATTACCAGTGGATGAAGTGCAAAGAAACGTACACACTAATGATGGGAAAGTTAACAGAAAGTAGGAAAATCTCCGCGATCCATCGATGATTGCAGGCTTACGTTGTGCCCTGGTTGGATATTGTGTCCACCGTATTACGGGTGAAAGATCCGACACGGAGAAATTATAACGATTGAAGCGTGCACTGTGCTGTGCGCGCAATGCGTGAAGTATTCATTCAGTCTCGCAGGCGCTAACATGCGTTTACCGTCGGCCGCACTGTGTTTGGTGCACTTATTAGAACTCGCGTTCGAATAATCGCGGCATCAAATGATGGGGCTGAATCGGCCCGTGTTGTGTTTCGACGTCGTATGAGCGTCGTTCTAGATAAAATACTTCAGCCTCTGTTGTGTGAAAGAGGTAAGTTAAATTTTAAAGAAAAAATAAATTAATAAATAAAAGACCTCCCGAGTGACGATGAATTAACTGAACGAACTAACAAAGGTAACTTTGAAAAAAAAATTGGCCTAAAAACTTACTTTTCAGCTCCGTGATATCGGTTTAAACTTTTTATAAATTATAAGGCTCGGTCTAATGTTTAAACTTTGAACTCATTCTTCTCGAAATTTCAAAGTATTACTCACTTCTTCAATCTCGGGGGGCTTCAATTATAGAAGAACTTTTTCTCTGAGGCAAAAAATGCAACGATTATCTTCTGTAAAATTACGAAAGGGTTTTTTCCCAGCTTGTCCTTTGATAGATTTAACGTAGACTTCTCCTTTTTACTCTTCATTTTTAATCGTCCAATAATTTCATCCCCCTCCCCTAATTCAAGACTGTGCGTTGTAAGTCCCCACAATGCAAAGATTCTATAAAGGTTTTTTCGCCTCATTTAAGGGAGCAATCACCCTATTTTGCTTTGAGCTCTCTTTCCTAACGAGCGAGTCATTAACCGCTACCGTCCAATGTAAAAACGCAGAACTTCCATTCTTAATTTGCATTATCTTCTACACGCATTGTTTGTTCATACGAAAGCCGAATCACCACCATGTTTTATTTTTTCAGTTTGAATTTTCTGTGGTAATCACATAGTCTCTCTAAAAGTATGATGAATGAATGTTCGTTGGTTTTCTCATGATAAGACGTCTTGTTGGGAAGAAATTCAAAACGTTTAAAATAGAAACTACGATGTTTTTGCTTGGGAGCGCAGATCGAGTGGTAAGCAAAGTTTCAGAGCTGTGTTAGAGTATTAAACTAATTGAAGCCCCTTTTCTTACGCCGATGCAAATGAGTTGTATGGAGGTTTACCGCTTCATTTTTACCTATTTTACTGCCCTTTACTCTTCAGCCCACACGACTAAGAAAGTATTCCCTCTTTTCCTAAATGGCTAATAGTATCATAAAAAATTATATTTGAAGCGCCCACTAAAAAAACATAATGAAAGTAATTATCAAAATTAATTGAGACTACTATCTGAGCAAGTGTTCATAAATACTTCGAGGAAAATGAGAATGTTTGACATCCTTCACCGCGCTACAATGCATGTTAACGGCGGCGTTGACATTCCCTCTTAAGTAGAAAAATTACTTAACGCTCAATCCAACTCCTTTAAGTTTCAAATAATGCACGCTTCATAATCTACCGAACAAATAGGCATTGCCATTTAATGAGGCATGGTACTGAAGAAGGGCTTTCGCATAAGAAGAAAGATAATTTCTAGTCTTTTACCTTTTTGTTAAGACTTTTCTCAAAAATAAAATAATAAAAATAAAAAATATGCATAATAAACTAACTATCATTTACAAAGGTGCGAATTAAAACTTTGAAAAGCTTTTTCCCAAACGATGAATTTTGCTCTGTAAACATTCAAATACCATATACCATACCATAACTAGAAAACAAGATTTTAAACTATGGTAGATACCCCTTATCTCAATTCTCAGTTTTCCGGCACTTAAAATTCATTTTCCGGTTTTTTAGTGTTTTGGTCGGTTTTTTAAAAGGTCACATTAACATTTCGGGCTTGCGAAAGGCATTTGTTTTTTTGCTAGAGATGAAATCCATAACTTTTTGATAATGTATTTTTCCATGCCAATGTTTGCTTATTTTTGTTTGTGTTCTGTTCTTCATCCCGATTATCTCACAATCCTCGCTCTGTTTTAAAATCTTCCGACAAGGCACTTTTGATGCTTATTCTGCCAGGCTAAGGAAGAACCCCTTATAAACAACCAGTAGTTGCCAAAGTTCCCTCAGTAAAACATGTATTTTTGACGACATTCATGCATACTTTCCCTTGAAATTTTCAGATATTTTATATTTAACTGCGTACAAAATTGTCTGAAAATTTTAGAAAAAAACATCCAAAATTTGCCCGGTAAATTCGGTTTTCATCGACGGAGACTTGGCAACATCTAAAGGCTCATACGGCGTTCTTCCTTAGCACGACAGTGTTCGCGGTGGATACGAATGAGAGGAACGAGGAGCGGCGCAATTTAGATGAAACAAACGAATAATTCTGGGGCGCAACAAGTAAACAATTGGTAATGAACAATGGATGCCTGGAATTCTTGAGCGCACAATGGAACTAACCCCCGACAGCAGCGCCGCGCTGGAGTTGGGCACCGGAGTTGGGAGAGGGAAACTGCGGCGTCGAGCAACGGCGCTCCCGGGCGCGGCGCGGCGCGGGCGAGCTGGAAAAGAAATTAGCCGCTGGTATCTTTATCAAATTTGGATCCCTTGAAAAGACCGCAAGATAGATCGGAGCCCCGAGAATGCTCAGCCTCGGAGACGGGCGATGTGCTTCCTTGCAGCGCCCTATTGTTCCACTCTAATCATAATACAGTCCTCCTTTCGTTGCTAAACTCAGCAGAGCCCTGCGTTGTCGCGTCGAAAATAAATAATGTGCAACGTCATATAAAAGTAAATGCTTCGTTCAGGGCCGGATTAAGGGGGTGGCCACATGGGCCGCGACCCATGGCGGCAAATTTTGCAATTTTTTTAGATATGGGTTTTAAAAAAATCGGATTCAGAAAAAAAATTACAAACGAGAAAAGCGTCTTTCGGTGACACAAGAGTCGACATTTAATTAGTCGAGTGAAGAGAGAAACCTAAAACACAATTTGGTATGGAGCGACGCGGCGCTGAGAGCAATGATGATGAATAGGACTTGATGATGAAATAGGACTTGAGATGAAAAGGAGATGCCCTCAGCGTGGCGGTCGGCATGTAACACACATATTAGCACCTGCAAGACTGCATGAATACTCCACGCATTGCGTCAAAAACAGCGCGGTCAGCGTGAAACGCATAGCGCCTTCTAGACTTCATGAATACTTCACGCATTGCGTCGAACACAGTGCGTTCAGCAGCGGTCGACGTGAAACACATAGCGCCTACAAGACTGTAGGAATACTTCACGCATTGCGTCAAAAACGGTTTAGTCAGCGCGGCGCGGCGGTGGAGGTTAACATTATTAAACCACATTTATGTTTGTTCTTGCATAATTTTTACGTTCATTTCTTACAAATGGAAGGCCGTGTTCACACAGAGATAGGTTTACGGAACTTAATTTTCGCGCAAAGTTCCGTGAACTTTTGCTGATAGTGTTGACAGGGTTTTCGCAAAAAATAAGTCCAACACGAGTCAACGACTGAACGCGTCTTATGCACCCCTCCCCTCCCCCTCCGGTACTTCACTTGATGGTTTTTATTGATTTTGCAAAACGAATAAGAAGGGAGAGGCAAAATACAGGTGGCCCATGGGCGGCAAGTAGGTAAATCCGGCCCTGGCTTCGATACCATATAAAATTAATGACTCATCCCAAAGGAAGTATGGACATGGCGCTAATTTCGGAGGTTTGCTTTGATCATATCTTGGAGCTCTAGGGGCGGAAAAGGGTAGCCAAACCATGGCTAAAGTAATCTAGAATTACCAGAGACAAGAGACCCTCCACTGACCTCTTGGCGACATGTGGACTGGAAGCTTTTACTTTCGGGGATTGAACACTTCCTTATGGACAATTATAAGGGAGCAACAGTCATCACTCTTTTTTCGGATGTGACCTACCTACATGGTGGATGATGAGCTTCGGGTGACGTCATGAGCCGAACAAGTTTCCAAAACTTCGGCTTGTTTGCAAAACAAAACTGCCAACACGTTGTTAAACATCAACCATGTAAGTAAGTTACTACTTTAATGTTGAAGTCCCGAAAGTAAAAGCTTCCACCATAGTCGAGATACGAGTGGAGGGTCTCTTTTCTCTGGTCAAGGAGTTCCAAGGGCCGATAAGGACAGCCAAACCACGGCCCAACTTAACTACAATTACTTACTAACTTGATCCGAACGAAAGCGTGAGAACTGTAACTTCATTCGGACAACTCAAAATTTGTTTCGCGACTTAATTTCTTGTAAAAGAGGCTCTGAAATATTTTTCAACAAAATTTGCAATGGGTGGATTTTCCTTGGGTGCGAAGAAAATTCTGTGAGATTTTTGCAAGAGAATTCGAAAGATCATCCTGTAGACAAAAAATTAGTAAAGCCTCACTTTGCATCTGCCTCAAACGGTCCGTACTCGAAACGTCGTTCCTCGCACGGAAGAACGTAACTACATTTCAACTTTGCAAAATTTTCTTCTGCAAATTGCATTTTTGCCGGGAGAATTTCGGGGATTTCTAACAGAAAACTTTACTGGTTTGTCTTCTGATCTCATGCAAAAATCGTAAAAATGTTGGACAAAAATTTCGGAGGTACATTATATTATAAAAAAACTGAATAGTTCGAGTCAATTTTGCAACCTTGAAGTGGAGTTACGTTTCTTCGTCCGGGAGGAGACGAAAAGTAGGAAGCTCAATCATATCGCGCGTTGTCTCACTTTAAGCATTCGTCACACTCTTCGCGAGTCAAGTTGAACATCTTGCCTTTGACGTCATCAGCGAACTGAGTGAACAGAGATAACTATATTTTGTCTCGCAAAAATCTATTTGTTTGTAGCCTGTAAAATGGCGACTTTTTATCCTCATCGGTATAATTTTTTGCATAGTTTTGACATTATTCATCACATATTCTAAAAATTAACTGATATATTTAATGTGAATGTGCAAGCTTTTGATACTAGACTAAAATTTGCATCACCATCATTCTCTTTAAGTTGACGTTGTTTCAAATACTAGTGAGATTTATTTCGCACAACATTAATGCGGAAAGTTGTTTAAAATTTCTCGTGAAAATATGGAGCATCTTCTCTGTGGACTGTATTTCAAAAGCGTGTTTGAAAAATTGCGGGCGTTGTTTATGAACTCCGAACATGCATCTTCAACACCTCCTGAACCACCTCCTCTTCCCACATATGTCAATAATAGTTTTATCTCACGCTGCCTCAACACGACAACGTATTGATACCTCGTCAATTATTGTTTACTTTGCATGTTTTTCATATAATTTTTTTTAGCATATAAAATAAGGTGCATGCAGTTTAATAGTTCAATTTGTTGTATTTTTCGTTCAGTTGTCATTTTGACGGATACATTTTTGAGGACGCGTTTGTCTTGTAGGATTGCCACGCATAAGAATTTTCCATCGAAACCAACCAATGATATATTTTTTACATAACTACACTTTTTGATTTTTAACTGACTAAATAGTTTTGCGTGGATTTATCATACGGCGATTTGAATATTGCTCTTCGGTCTTAATAAAATCATTAAACGTTTTTGCAATGTTGCTTTGATTGCTTTTTTATAATTTCAGGACCGCGGGATCCCCAGGAAACAGATCCCCCGCTTCAGCTGGGGCCCCTTCCACCTCTGCTGCCTCAGATCGGGCCCACAACAAAGCCTTGCAAAATGTCAAAGGCGACCACCCATCGGTAAGCCTGTTCCTTCATAAAAGAATGTGAAAGATATTTCGACGGTGAAACTACCAGACCGCGTATTTCGTTTGCGGTGTTTAAAAATGTCCGTCCCCATTCTAATTTTTTCGAAGGACAACAAATTAATACCATTTTTTGAAATTTCACAGAGATTTCGTTTCATAGAGAGGAAAAAATACGGAGGTTTTCAAGAATTGACGTTGAGTAGTTTTATATTTAATTTAAAAAGTGAAGTTTGACAGGAAGTCTACAACGTTGCAAATCGAGGAACGAGGTCTGGTAGTTTCATTGTCGATTTATCCTCTTAGTTAAGATTAAGAAAAGGATCCCAGAAAGAGAACGTTAAAGTTTTTACTTTGAGTGATCCCACTATAGGATTATTATCCTAAACAGGGACTGTGTAACCAACTTGGGAGAATATCCTGCGTTGGATTAGGCATATAGCTGAAATGGACCGCTGGAACCAAGCCACATCAGCTATTGCCACATTTTCATGGGCAATTTAATTTTTGCATTAAAACGGTTGTGCGGATTTTCGTGCAAATTTCAGTGGATTTTCTCCATAGTACGAAGCAAATTCCCTCAAAGTTTCAAAAAGATCCACACAAACGTTATCACGTAAAAAAATAAAGTGCCCAGTTAAATTTGGCAATAGCTGATGTGGCTTGGTTCCTTTCTGTTAAACGCGGTCCAAACAGCATAGGCTTCTTTGAAACGACGAAGTTATACGTGGTGATAAATAAATGGCCAGATTTGTGGAGGTGGGTAGTTAGCTGTTAGCTTAATTTGTTTTCAGAACCTTGATCGGGAGTCAAAGGCGAGGCGCTTCTCTCCGCTTAACAAATAACAATTACTCGAATTCGGAATAAGCAACCGAACCAGCTGCGTCACAATAATTACATTGCGGATTTCAATATTGGATCAGCTGCGGAGCAACAAATACGAGCGAGTTATCCTCAAATAGGAAAGTGCGGCATGCCGCGATCGCTCCTGTGTTCAGGAAAAACACCGTGTGGATATCCGGCCGTCGCTGAATTTATTTTGATAAAATTAAAATTTCCTGGAAAATTTTGTACGGTTCATCTTCGAGTTTTTCGGAGAAATTCCTTTAAACTTAATTGAGCTGTACGTGGCAAGTCTAAGGAAAAATATTCATCTACATTCCCGAAAATATTTGTTTTATCGGGGGAGATTTGGAAACATTTGAATGTTCTTAGGGCGTTTTCTCATAGGAGAGTTATAGCGCGTCATGCTGTCATGATACCTCTCTGAGCTAAGGCCTATTTCACAACCCTCCAGCTCTCTTGCAAGAAATTCCGTGCAATTATGACAAATTTTAATCATAGATTTAAATGTAATAGTATCTTCACCTCGCCATTTTAAGCGTTTCCTGTGTCCAAGAGTTAGTATAATACTCCTCTTAGCAGTGGCGCTACCAAACGATGGATCCTGATTGTAATTTTTGAGAATTTCCGCGTGTATTTCACTTTTTCAAATTTTTTAGCGGAATTTTCAAAGAATATTGCTAGAACTAAGTAATATCGAACTGAATGTCATCCCCTCAAGTAGGAATAGTTGTATCTCTGCGCCGTCATCAACGACCGTCCATTCCCTTGCTTGGATGTTTCAAGGCACACTAAATTTTCGGGAATTTATTGGGGAGGAGGGGATTCATAGCTCACTTGCTCGTCTAACATGACGTCAAGTCAGGGTCTTTATAAATAAACCCTCTGTATCCACAACGCTGAACACTACTTTGAATTCATTCAAAGGAAAGCAAGGGGATTCATGAGGGATAAATTTACTCTGTATGATGTTATGGGGTGCGCTAATCACTTATTTATAAACTGGACGTATTTCTACAAAACGGAACTATATACATTAAGATATGAGCCCCGAGACCCTTGAGGATATATTCATACAGAGCTCACGTCATAATGAACACAGTTCTGTTTGGCAGAAAAACTTCCAACTGAACACTGTATCCGCCGGAAAGGAACAAAATGAGGCGGTTTGTTGATTCCAAACCGTGAAACATGAGCGAGTTTTCTTTAGCTACAGCACCACGCACCGTGGGCAGGTCTTTATTCGATGTCTTCGGGCGCACAGCATGAGCCGTCAAAAACAGCTGCGGCAAAAGTCTATCCAGTGTTGCCTTTTGTTTTTGGCGCTTCATCCTGATGTCTACACCAAACTTTACTTTGAATTGAAGGATTTTCATGAGAAGATTAGGTTCAGTTTCTTAACTTATTGCCAACTTCCCTTGCAACAACAAAAAAATCCCCCCGAGCGATTACGAGCGCTTACAACACTTGATCCTCATGTTGGCAGCAACGAAGGCCACATTCAAAATTCCTGATCCCGAGATAAATTTGAGAGGTAGATGGATGTAAACATTGCCCATAAGTCATCAAACTGCAGAGTTTAGTTTTTGACCTCTGGTGAGTCTTTTCCTTCGTTACTTGGCAGCCTCTTTTAAAACGGGCTCAAAATTAACCAAAAACTCGCTAATTAATGATTAACCAATGTAAAAATTCAATAACTCATTGTTATATAAATCAAGATACTAATCCTTTTACCTAAAAGTTGTTAAAGTTGTAAAGAACGACCTCTAACGAAATTTTTGCGAGATTTTGAAAGAAACCTAAAAATGTAAGAACTATTTTTACGTGATGTAGATAAATTGTACAACCTATTTTTTTATTTTCCTCAGAAATTCTTAATACACATTTACGAGTTCTTTAAATTTTGCTAATTTTCTCAGTATCTTGAATGTGAGTGTTGCATATTCGAAAATTGGAGGCTCTTAGCACTGAGTCGACTGTAGCGCCTTGATGCAATTATTCGTGCTCTACGGATGCGCGAATTGCATGTTCAAAATTGAAGGCACTTTTGCATTTCTCACGTCTTCAGAAATGCAAGGGAGCTATCGTTAGTTGTAGCACCCGAATAACTGAGTACTCATACAGAGATTTTATTGTCATCTCAATAATTTTACCACAAGAAAAGTGCCGCTCTCTGACTCATGAATTTCAGGCTTTCCTGGATTTTTTATTTTCTAACTTTTGAAATAATTTCTGGGTAAAAGAATAATAATTCGAGTATCCTTTTTCTGCTACTTTTATTCATCTTTCCCTCGATAAAACGAATTTCCATCGGTCACTTTTATTCATTCGGATTCCGGGTTTGTAAAAAAAAGTCGCTTTCTCTCGAGAAACGTTATCGTTAGACTTCTTCTAATTGAACATTTAATCAGGAAAGGTTGGAAAATCCAGAATGGACGTTTTTCTTTTGCACGACTGTACTGAATACTGGCAATACATTTACAAAATAAATACCTGTTTTGAGTAACAGGAAAACTGACTTTAAAATTAAGAGACACGCTCTGATTAATGGGAAAACTAGCATCGTAAACGCTACGTGCGCTGTAGAATTTTGTAAAGAGTTCGCTGCGCCTTATCATGACCTAACTGTTATCATTTTCCAGAGGGTGGTGCCGTGATGCGCTCGTGGTCTTATCAAATCAGGCCTGTGGTTATTTTTTTTATACGAGAGTTCTGTCTCCTCTCACAAGACCCTAAAAACACGGATTCCATAATTAGCTCTAGACAATGAAAGCTTTACTCGATTGGTTTAGCTGCACACAAAAAGCGTTTATAAATTACGAAACGCACTTTTCGGCACATTTGACCACCTCTTCCCCTTTGTAACGCTTCGTAATGCAACCCCTCTCTTTTAGATCCCAAAAATAACGAGAAACTGTTAATTATACAGGTGGATAAAATTTTAAGTATTTTTTAATAAAAGTGTGGCAAATAACGTCGAAGAAATGAGGATGATAAATCGAAAGATTGCGTGAACTTCCTCAAGGTTTTATAAGTTGTTTTTTTACCAATAAAGCGAGTTACATAACGCTGGCACTGACCCCGCTTCCCTCTTGCAACGCAGCATAACCACTGGCTCATATCTCTTCTCCACCCTAAAGTTCCACACCCACAAAGTTCATGAATTCTTCCTTATGTACAAACTCTGTGTATAATTTTTATAATGTATTTCATTGTTCAGTTTTGTTATTTTGTATTTGTAAGTCCTACTTTTTGTTTACTTACAGATGGCGTTTCTGCAAAGCAGATCAGTCTCCCTCGTGGATATGTACATCGATAACTCGGAACCATCTGAAAACGTTGGCCACATTCACTTTAGCTTAGAATATGACTTTCAAAATAGTACCCTTGTTTTAAGAATTATTATGGTAAGTGAAATTCCTTCATAAACTCGAACCTCTTGCTTGACATTGTGTGCTTTGCCTTCGTTTGAGCGGCCCAAATCCAGTGTTGATTTTCCATTATGTCTTTATCGCAAAGTTCAAGGATTCTTGACACAATGCGCCATTCCTCCCACGAAAGTACGAAACTACTTTCCAAAGTTGCCAAATTTGCCCTCGAAAATTGTATTTTTATCTTAATTAAATTGCGCATTTCTGACTAAAAATTTCACTGATTTTCGCTGTAATCTTATGCAAAAATCAGAATAATCTTAGACAAAAATTGCGCTGGCACATTCTAGTAAAAAAAATGAAGTTTATAAATCAATTTGGCAACCTTGGTTACAGTCGCGTTCCGCAAACGGGAAATAACGAATTGGAAGGCTACTGATCTCGCATCTACGCAGCCGTCAAACTAACGGAGTGTTTGAAACTTAAGAGGAAAAAGGCATAATTTCGAATTTTTAACTAGCATAGTATCGAGAGATTTATGCGCTGTCATCTGAAGCTTTGATTGGATCTCTCTACCGCCCACCGACCCAAACCGTGAGGACTAGTGGTGAAGCAAATGCTGTTCTTCTTTCAATGACATTCATACAAAAAATAACCAAATCTGAGTGGGATAGCCAACCTCGATAAGTCGTTCCCCTCTGAGTAGAATCTCGCTAGCGCAAAAATGTCAAACTTCCCGCAACTCGCAAAATTGTCAAACTTCCCGCAACTCGCAAAATTGTCAATTTATTTGCGATGGCTAGGAAAGTGGTTGCTGCTTGACTTTGGACACAAATGTGTGGAACATGTTTATGAATTTAATAAGAGTGCAAGGGATTAAATGATTTTGACTAAGACCATCGATGCTCGTGAAACAGCGTTCCGAGAGGATTCCTTGCCCACAGCGCGTTTCTCCTCTGACGAAAGGGCGTACCTCGACCTCCACATAGCCCCTAGAATGCATGGATTGTTATAAAAAACAGGGCTCACTCAGTGGCGTGGCGTGGATTGCGATGTATCGATTGTCCTGCCATTTAAACGTACGGTGAATTAAGGTGTTCGCTGCGAACACCCTATTTATCGATCCTTTTCCATAGGTTTAAATGGCATAACAATCGATAAATTACAAAGCACGCCACGCCACTGGGCTCACGTGGAAACTGAGATACGCCGTTATGTGTCAAAAGAACGACGGGTGGTGGGTAATGGCTATTATGCATATTTCTCTGCTTTTGTGATACTCGCGTTTGCTCCTTAATCCTCAAAACTGAATATAACCAAAGAAGTAAAAGAAAACCCTTAGAATAATTTTCCTCGCTACCGGAAAAAGCGCTTAAGATGTGCACCTTTGTCGACTTAACGAGGTTGTAAGACAGTAAATGGTTCCAAGTCAGCAAGAAAATATTGTATTTATTCAAATGTTCATAAAAGTATCTGATGAATCCGAAACTAATGAAACTGAAAGTAAAAATGACGCCAATGATACCTTTTCCCAAAGGAGGGCGGGATATCGATTATTTTACTTGAATTTTAACGGGGACGAAACCAAGTATGATAAACTTGTCACCAGCAGAATCAGCGATCGGTAACACTCGGCGGAAAAATATGGCATATCGAAGCTCATCTGTAAAAATGATTCACTTTCGATGTTTAAACAATAAATAACGATTACTGGAAAGCGTGAATCTTTGTTGTCGCTCGCTCCACCCCTCCTCGCTTCTAAGCGCCTGAACCAAACGCGACGTTGAATTTGCCCCGCGACTGTTTTCAACGCTGATAGCATTGAGTTGTCATATAAATCAAATGCCGAGGAAAATTGCGCTCCTTTCCCTCTCCTCTAAATCGGGCCACCTGCCTCTGTTTGACTCTTCATTTTAGTCTCGTGTGATTAGAAATGCTCGGGTTAAATCCTTTTTCAAACGAATCGTGAACATCCACGCGGGCAAAGGGACATATTTGTGTCAAAATTTCAAAACGGAGTCATCGGTGCAATTAATTGCGCTATTAAGTTTTTTATAAGCTTTTCGCAGTGAGACACACTTAGTTTTAGCGGTTTAGAGTCTGCAATTTGACTTTCTCCAATGGAGATGTTGCATGTGTGAGGAATTTGCGATTTGACTGTTGATTCTCATGTAAAAGTTCGCGAGAAACACGATGGTCCCACTGGTTTTCTCTGAAATCATCTCCCAAGCTCAAAAACAGCTCTCAAATTGAGGCCAAAATGGAGGGGATATCCCACGCTATCCTGAGAGTCCACCTCTACATCAAAACGAACTCTCCGTGCATAGATAGGGAGCAAATACATTGGCAGGGCTGCCACTTTATTTGGGGACTCTAAGACTGAAAATACGGCGTCCCCGCTAATGTATTCGCACCCTATCTTTGGCATGGAGAGTTTGTCTTGATGTAGACGTGGACTCTCGGGATAGCGAGGGATATCCCCTCCATTTTGGCCTCAACTTGAGAGCTGTTTTTGAGCTTTAGGAGATGATTTCAGAGAAAATCAGTGGAACCATCGTGTTTCTCGCGAACTTCTACATAAGAATCAACAGTCAAATCGCAAATTCCTCACACATGCAACATCTCCATTGTAGGTGAAAATTCAAAACATCCATGCCACAGATGACTACGTGTCTTCAGATTTCATCACGACTATGCTTGGTCCTCAGCGTCGTCGCAATGGAATGGAAACATATAGACGTGAAACTACACAAATGTGAATATCGGTTGCGGTGTTTCAGAATATCCGCTCCTGATTTACTTTCAAAAAGGAGACAAAACCAACATCATGGTTTGAGCTTTTCACAGAATATTCTTCACACTGACAAAAATAATCACTCAAGTTTTCAAGAAATTACGTTTACACTGAAAAAAAAAATATGGTAGATTATACCATACTTATTGTTAGACACAGTGATATGAGTATGTTAATAAACACCAAACCCTATGGTAGCATGTACCATATTATCGTTTGTATCGCCAGAGCTCTGGTGAATTTACTATAATTCGGGTTATTTTTACCAAATCGTATCACTCTGTAAAAAATCAAGTAGACTTATAGTAAATATTACCATACTTGTTTTTCAGTGCAGTAGTTTTCCACGTAGAAAACAAAGTATGACAGGAAGTCTGCAACGCCGCAAACCGAGCTGCACAATTCTGCAGCCTCACCATCAATAAATGGAAAATAAAAATTCGCCTTCCGTATTTGACTTCCATAATTATTGGATATACGCGCAAATTTTTCCCGAAAGTTTCCATTAACTTTCTACGTATGAACGTATGTCTTTGCTGTGCGGAAACCGGGTAAAAATCACGGGGGCTCCTCCTTGGTGTTGGAACTGAAAGCAATCGTAGGTTCGTTTACTCATCGCGAAGCTCCTCTTGAACGGTGTGAGTATCTCGGTGTTAGAAACACTGCTGGAATTAGGTTAAGTTTTAACGAGAGCTCAGCCGGCTTGGGGTTGATAACTCAGCTCTCGCGCTGAAATTGATTCCCCAAGGATGCAGGCGTGGTAATTAGGTGGATCGCATTTAGCATTCCCTTCCTCACTCTCGTTTTTCCGCGAGGGGGTTTCTCTCCTCTTTTTTTTTTTTTCTTTTTCCGGATCATCACGCCGAGTTATGACCATAATCTGTAGGACTCATCATTGAACCTCGCTGTCTTGACGAAGACCATTCTGGGCTTGTTTACCGCAATATCCTAGATTGTCTTCCGTATTACCTCCATAAATTATCAGCTCCGAGCTGCATGTATAGTGTCTGTATAAGCCGCGATTTATCGCCATAATGAAAAATAATCTAATCACCGTTAAATCTTCTTCCCCAAGAAAAAATATTTTGGAGACACAACGAAGCTGTTCTAACGGTTTAGCTATAATTAGGGGTAATCTGCAGCGTTTGTCAAACTAAATTAGCTATCTAACATTCAAAAAATTCCGTGCATGTGGTATTGTCCTAATTTCAAGTAGTCATATTGGCAGCTTCTTATTTGTAGGGATGGAAGAATCGAGAAAATGTACACGTTTCCAATTCAACTGAGCCAAATCAACTTAATTAAAGCAAGTCTAATTATAATGAAATTCACAATAATTTAGATTTGACGCAGTAGAAAATACAATCGACCGGATAAAAAATAAACAAAATGACCGAATGGCATAAAAAATAACGTAGAATCCTTTTTAGATTACTTACTAATAAAAGATCAGGACTCATATAAGACGTCAGCTGAATTTTTAGAGGCCAGGGTATAATTAGATTTCCTGCAAAAATTTTATGAAACAACTTAACTATTAAAAACAATATAATATTGCAGAAAACTCCCATTTTGATTTTGGTTTTTCACCAAAAAATGAATTCTGTCTTACTTCATATGAATCAAAGCGAACCTACCTCATTCAAAACCTGCGGTGAAATCTATGCTCAATGGTTTTTTTTTTTTCTTCTTCTTCTTCTTCTTACGCTCAATGTTGCAAGAAGAGTTTAAAGGGTGTTGCTGACGTTACAAAGTATATTTTGATGTCCTTATGACGTAAACTCGCCATTTTTTTTAACTCTCAGGGATTTGAAGGTTTATCAAGATTCTTTGTGAGAGGTCTCGCTAAGAGCACTGCATTAATGAAAAAAATCTACATACGGCAAATTCATCTGGATTACGACTTAGAGAATTTTTATTCATTTCAGGCCAAAGACTTGCCAGCCAAGGATATGAGCGGAACGTCTGATCCTTACGTGAGAGTTACCCTTCTTCCAGATAAGAAAAATAGACTGGAAACCAAAATCCGACGTCGCACCCTCAATCCGCGCTGGAATGAAACCTTTTATTTTGAAGGTAAAACACTGCTCCTTTTTGACTCATTTTGAAGAGTGACTGTTGATGTAGTCATACAAGATATTTTTTATGTAGATAGAAGAGTTGACTGTTAACATTTTCGTTCCTAATTTTGGTCTTCACGCTATTGTCAGACAACCTGATTTAACTTCGAGTAGACAATTCATTCCATTTCTAACAATGTAAGCCGTATAAATTCGTCAATAACTAAATTTTCGATTTTTTGCGCTTTTGAATGACCAACTCAATTCCTGTGGTAATTTCATTTTACCCACAGTGCATGTGTGCTATATTATTTCCATTTCTTTCCTTAATAAATGAATTGAAACATGCAAAAAGGGAGAAATTTCAGAAACTTAAGAGCCATGCTAGGCATTATTAACAATGGACGCCAGAGCTCATCAATTTTTAGACTTCCATCCTCTTCGCGTGTCTCACTTTAATCAAATAATCAGTGATCAAATTTTTCCGTTTCACTGATTGCCTTATGCAATTTACGAAGATAAAGCTGGGAAACTTATTTCCATTCGTAATATTAATTACATTGCAATTTTTTAATAGTCTTCTTCATTAAATTGCAACTTTTCGTCTGTGCAATTTTCACAGAGTGGAAAAATCAAAAATTCAATTCCTATCAATTCATTCATTTCAAAATCATGAGTTGCAAAATGCGAGTTTGAATATCAGAGCCAAACTCAACAGTGGAGCCAGCGAGAAACGCGTGATAGCGCCTACAAGACTGGATGAATACTTCACGCATTGCGCATACGCACCGTAGTGTGCGAGCAATGCGTGAGGTATCCTCCGTGGTGTACGCGCAATGCGAGAAGTATCCATGCAGTCTTATAGGCGCTAACACGCGTTCCACGCTGGCTGCACACTGCACAAGGTGTGTTGGGAGCTAATTTTCAAACTCGCGGAACAGTTAATACTGTTCTGTTCCAGTTCCAACAATGAATACTTATTCCTTTTAGATATGCTGGTTAAATTCTTCCTTTCTTCTTGCGAACCTCACATTATTGTGTTATTTTAAATAAAAAAAAGTGCCGCTTCGCTCATACGTTTGTATCGGATTCATTTTGTTTTCTTTTCCTTTTCAGGTTTCACAATACAAAAACTTCAAAGTAGAGTTCTCCATCTACATGTGTTCGATTACGATAGGTTTTCAAGGGACGATTCAATAGGAGAAGTTTTTTTACCTCTTTGTCAGGTAAGTTTGTATCACGCTCGATGCGAGTTTCTATTATTTACCATTATTCCACTTAAATTCCCTGTTTATTCCTCTTTTCCCTTTTTATCGAATTTATGTGTATTTATTTACGTTTTCTCCTTCTGTTTTTGATATGGTTGAACTTCATGCACAACATGGGCTGATTTAAACAGAAGGGAAACAAGTCACATTTTGAGGGAAGAAAATGAAGTAGGGGTGTTTTGTGCTTAACTAGCTGCATATTTTCTCCTGTCAAAAATTTAAAAACGAGAAGAAATATTTTTATTGTAAACATAGGCGTTGAACCTGGTCTCGAATTTGGAGCCCTAAAACGTGAAATGCTTTTTCTTTTTCAACCTGGTATCGTTTTAGTCACATACAAAACTATGGAATGCTTCAAAATACGAGGGTAGCTAAGAGTCGCGGTAAATTTGAAATAGCTTGTTACAAACTACGAAACTTTTACTTACTAAGAATAAAACAGACAAACAACTGAAAACGGGACTAAGGCCGCAAATAATAAAAAGAAACACATAAAATAAAATAAGAAACCCGGGACGTTTCGGAGGGATCACACCCGCATTTTCAACCGGCAAAACAAGAAAAATTAAAAGAAAAGACACTATGAGCCTCACCGTTGTTATTGTGAGACTGATAGTGCAACTAAAATAAACGAACAAGTGCAACTTGAAAACAAAGCACATCGAAACAGAGATTACTCTTATTTTTTTTACTCTTATTTTTTCGTATTTTATTTTATGTGTTTCTTTTTATTATTTGCGGCCTTAGTCCCGTTTTAAGTTGTTTCTCTGTTAATGTTTCGGGCCGATTAAGTTGTTTTTTCTTAGAATAAAATAAATATCCTTAAACATTGGTTACCACTGGTTTCTTTTGAGATCATCTGGATATTGTAGTATAGCCACTGGGCAGAGGTTTTCGAGAGAACCCGTCTGGTCGAATCTTTTTCCTTGGACTGATATTCGCAATAGCGAGAAGCGCGAAGTTCCTTTTATATCGGTGGTTTTCTCCGATGGTTCAATTTTGAAAAGGGCATTGAGTCTCGTTTCATTTGGCGCTCAGCGAGTGTCTCTTCCGGTTAACGTAGTTTTCTTTGATCTGCCAACATTTATTATCCGGATTAGAGGCTCCTCTCCCGCGCTCGGTGCTTTTCTTCTCTTCTCTTGCTCAATTTCACCGAAACAAAATCTTATCCACCTCCGGCAGATTCGATTTGAGTTCCTTTTGAGAGCTCTCGGTCGGCGGGAAACCCGGTCTACTTTGGTTTTTGTTAACCACTCATCTCGAACAATCCTCGAAACTTCAAAATCGCCGATGTTTCATGGATCGAAATGAGGAGAAGGAGAGAGGATATTGCCACTGGCGATTCCTCCAAGATGGAAACATTGAATATCGGCTATTTGCGGCCGTGCTGACTGTCCACGAGAAAAGGAACATTGGGCAAATTTCCGGTGCACCGATTTTCGAAGAGTTTAGCCGAAAAATCGAATTTTTAAGATTTCTACGGAAAACTCTATTTTAGTCCTTCTTGAGATGTTTCTCAAACGTCTTAAAGAATAAGCTGGATGCTATTTGAAGCATTTTCGTATTGTTAGAGGATTGTCTCGCATTAAAACCCGGCAATTCTAGCTAAACCTATAAAAATTATTAATTTTATTCATGTAGCTCAGTCGTTATCAGCCTGTAGTCGTATCATTAAATCAAACTATTTTAATTTCAAATTCGAGGATACCTATCCCTATGTTAAGCACATGCAAGAAGTTTTAATCCACAAATAGAATTCAACAACTCTCAGTCACGCGCAAATTCTTCACCATGGTAAACCTTGCTGTTTTGGGTCTTAAGTGTCAAAACTGTTCTGTTTCCACTCAATTCGCTTCTCGTTTGTTCGTTGCAGAGCAGTCAAATCTTTCGTAACATGAATGTCAATGTTGCTTTTTTATTTTCCTCAATGTTCCTCACGCACTTTACAACTGACTTCCTCTTATCTTCTAAAAATATGGTGTGCGTTGCGCACACTGATTAAAGACTGAGGCTGTGTATCGATTTTTTACCACAGCGTTTTTAAGAGCAAGTAACTCAAGAGTATTTCAAAATCTCCGTTCATATTTTAATTTTTTTTTTTTTTTTTTTTTTTTTTTTTTTTTTTTTTTTTTTTTTAAAGAGAAGAAAGGAATATTAGAACTTACATTTTTACGCAGTAATCGAGACAGAGTGAGTGACAATTTTGTGAAAAAGAAGATTCGAGAAAATTCAAACGAGTTGTTCTCATTTTGAAAAATGAAAGACGAGAGGACACTCGGAGCGTCGCATTTTGAAATACGTGTTCTCAGAGTTCAGGCATCGATATCCAATTACACTTCAGGGAACGCAATAAGCTGCGTTTGATAGTGAACATAAAATCGGCAATAAATAACGTGCACGCACGGAATGAATAAAAAATGCTGATGCCGGCTTGAATCAATACCAAAATAGACCTCCATCATCGGATAGAGCCACTGGTCGCACGCAATCTGCGGGAAAGAATCCAGCCTCTGACCGAAGTTTTTCGGTTGTAAAACTCAATCAATCGCTTAGTGCGCATACGGACAATCTGGACCGAGTTGAATAGAAAACATTTTTTAGGAAACGGGGGGTCAGCTTGTTGTGGATATTCTTTTTATTGTATTTCTCATGAAGGAAATTTCTCATTCCAAATGTAATTTCAATAATGTGCCAAAGCTTTTTTTGTTAATTTCTGACCTGAAAGCCGAATGATGCGTCCCATTAAGGAGGGTATTTTGGCCCTAACTTTGGTCGAAAATTGAAACAGTTTATAATAATGTCATGTATGGTCAAATCGACTCTTAATCATCTACCCCGAGAGAAATTGTCCGAAGAAATTGTTTGAAGAAATTGTTTGACAGAGGGCAGTGAAGGTTAGGTGTCGTAGAGCGCCAGGAAGTGCTATAAAGCGACTTACATGTATGTATGGTTGGTTGGTAGATATGTTTATTTGGTGCTATTAACATCTGAGCAATTAACACCTTAGAGGAGGGATCAAAATTTATGTAGATCAATATCAAGGTGCTATTTTAAACATTTTGATATCACTAGTACTAATAACTATTTCTCTACCCCTGTCTGTCCGCAGGTTGATTTGTCTGAAAAACCAACGTTTTGGAAGGCCTTGAAACCACCGGCAAAAGACAAATGTGGAGAGCTGTTGACTTCATTATGTTACCACCCTAGTAATAGTATTCTGACACTTACCTTACTCAAAGCTAGAAACCTTAAGGCTAAAGACATCAACGGAAAATCAGGTTTGAAATATTTTATTTACGTTCATGTTTTTTGTCGAACACCACCTCGTTTTAAACCGCAGGGACCACCAGTCACACATTCACTTTTTAATATTGTAAAAATGAACCCTTTCGAAGTAGATTTTATCCAAATTTTCCGAAGCTGGTCTGGAACTTGCTCCTCTGTTCTTCTAAGGCCCCAAAATAAAAATAAAAAACTTTTATTGCTTGATAAGGAGCCCGCAAACTATGGAACCCTGTTTTAAATTGTATGTTCATATCGATTTGTCACGAAATAATCATCAACATGATCATATATGGCTTGTTAAATTCTCTGCTCAAATTATATTCTTTTTTTCACATTTTGAAACGATTTTTCCAGAAAAAATGTGAAAAACGCTCGAAAAATTATTACAAAACTTCACAGATTGCTAATGGTAGGTTTTCTCGAATTAAAATCTAAGAAATAAATCTGAACCGAAATTCGTGTTAATCTGGTTGATTTTACCGATAACTGGAGTCAAAGTCAGAATTATCGAAGAATACGATCATATTCCATGCAAAAAGGTGATAAATATTATATTCATTTCCAGATAATGAATTTAGAAGTTAAATGTTTGAAACCTTCAGATCAGTGTCGAGGCGTGAATAATCGATTATTTATATTTCCCTATTTGAGGGTATATGGTAAAGAATCGATTATTAAGTTGTTCATTGCGATCGCCCTGCTTATCGATCCTTTTCCATGGGTTTAAATGGCAGATGAATCGATATATCGCAAAGCAAGCCACGCCACTGCTTCAGAGGGTTTTGTGATGGAAATGATAGCGACACTCAATGGATAATGCTCATTGTGGTTTGTTTTCAGATCCATATGTGAAGGTCTGGCTCCAGTTCGGAGACAAGCGGATCGAGAAGCGGAAAACGCCCGTATACAAATGTACATTAAATCCGGTTTTTAACGAAACTTTTAGCTACAATGTACCCTGGGAGAAAATCCGAGAATGCTCCCTAGACGTAATGGTAATGGACTTCGACAACATAGGTAGGAACGAGCTCATCGGCCGCATACTCTTAGCAGGTACGGATTATTCACTTCTTTCACCATTCATACATGCATTTTCAGCCGCCAATATTTCAGAGATATTATTATGGAGATACTGAAAGCTGTTATTATTATTACAGGAGAACAAAAGGAAAATTTTCAACGCTAAATTGAAACACATTTTAACTAGAATGCCTATATAGGTACCTAGGTAGGTGACGGAGAGGGCGTCCAGCCAAACGGTGGGTAGAGGGCATCCGTGAAGAGATGGATAGATGCCAGCTTCCGGAGGATCTCTACCATGGCAGATTCTTGAGGCGGGCAGGCGTCGCAGAGCGCCCTAGCGCGCCATAAAATCGGCTTATACATACATACCTAAGTAGGGAGAGTATGGACATGTTGAAAAATGGAGCTCTTAGGGCCCAGAAGAACAGCCAACCTTTGAAAACGAAAAATGTCACTGTCAATCTTCAAATTCCAATATCAATCCAAAATGGCCAAGAATGTTCATAAATGACCATTTTTCCGCAAAAATGAGTGAATGTAAGCAAAAAAAGTCAAGTGCGTGCTTTACCAACGATCGATCGTAAGAATTGTAATAATAAATCACTCTGGATAATTTGAACTCATAAATTGGTTGCCCTTTCGGGGCCTAAGAGCTCCATCACCAAACTCAAAATTACCGACACGTCCGTAACTCTTCCTTCATAGGTACTCTAATTTTAACATTTACCGTAGTCGGATGGAAGCTTTTTGTGGAGGGAGGCCAGTGGGACATCTCGTCAAGGGGGGTCTAGGGGACACTAAACATGTCAAAAGTGAATTAGACATACCGGATGATATGAGCTTATCGACATTTTCTCTGAGAACACACATTTGGAATTGTGTCATTAGATGACTAAACTTCAAGACCACTTATCTCAATCAACGTTTCAAAATTCCATCGCAGACTAAATTTGTTAAAGAACAAGCCACTCTACACTGTGGCTTGAAATTTTCCCTGATTTCCCTCTGAGGGTCTACAGTTATCTGATAAAAATTCCAAACCTAAAAAGTTGATTTTTACTTTTTAAGATGATGAGTAGCAAGTAAGCAGAAATTTTAGAAGGTCGCAAAGGAAGCGCCTTCGAATTGGAGTTTAAGTAGTTATCGCGATGCTTATTATTTTGCTGCGGTTACAGTGATTGTTTCGGCTCATGTTTCCATCGTTGGGTCAATATAAGTTGTGTGATAAATACTGTGTCCTTTTTTCTAGGTAAAAACGGATCTGGCGCTTCGGAAACGAAACACTGGCAAGACATGATCACGAAACCGCGACAAACTATTGTACAATGGCATCGCTTGAAGCCAGAATAAACTAATTTGTGTCTCTGTTTCCCTTTTCTTACGGCAAATCTAATTTAATCTTGTTAGAGACGACGTAACGTCTATTTTTATTCTCATCATATTTATTTAATTATTTGGTTATTTATTTTTTTATTCCAAACTGTATATCCTCACGTAGGCTTTAGTCAAGGCTGATTATCATCCGTGAACTTGAAAATGTACAAGCTACTTTTAACTGATTCATTCTGTCAAATGTTCTATAGATCTCACTATGTGTATAAAAAGGGGAATTTTTTCATAATTTTTCCTCCGAGTTTTTTTGTAATGCTCCGAGATTCTCAATGCCGGCAAAAATAATTTTTTCGTGAAAAATTAAAAATTGGTTCCTTCTTTGCTGCACTAAAATGTGAATCCCACAAAGTCTCAAGGAATAATAACTTGAAAAATTACTATTGATAATTAATACTATTTAGCTTCACAGAATTATTTTAATACTATTGATTTGTATTGAATATAATTTGCCCGTTTAAACAAACTCAAGCATTATCTCAGCTCTTCAAAGACTTTTCTTGACTTGGAGCGTGCATATTCAATTTTTTTAGCTTCATTTGACTGAATACGATGTGTTATTTATGAAAGGGATGCCAATTTCCCGTAAGTTGATTTTGAATTCCCTTACACATGATTATCATTTGATTCTTTATATTGATTTCTTCAATCTTTGACTTTTTGTAACGGTGGCTAAATTAGAGCTCCCGTTGTTGGTGCAACCAAACCGATTTCGAATAATTTTTTTCAAAAAACAATAAAGCATCACTTGAAAACTTCAAAAACATACTTATATTGATCAATACATTATTTGCCGAGGTTTGATAGTTACTTTATCCTTGTGTGGCAAGATAAAGTAGCCGCAGCGTCTGTCATTAATAGGGATGACTGATTCATTGAACGGTTATTACGAGAGCTTTTCACTTCTCTACGAACCTAAATGATTACGAATATAGTGTGTGGCATTTGTGAGACTACCATGGTAAAAATGTTGGTGTACTTCACCAAATGTGTGATCTACGTCTATTTTGGCGTTTCATTGTACGACTGAGTTTTAAATAGCCACCAAGAAGTTAGTTTAAATCAATATAAATGTTTCTCAGTGTTTTTAAACCTCAAAAATATTAGAACAATTGTTAATGTCTACAAATGTTAAGTAATTAGCATTTAGAGTGATATTTTTTTATTATTTAAGTTTGTATAGTCCTACAAATTTCTATAATTGTTAATTTTATTATTCAACGTTAGACGACATTCTACTCCTAAATTATGTGTGTACTGTAAATATAGATGTGTAATTCTAGGATATTACCGAATTTAGTCACTTAGCCCTATAAATGTATTTTGCTATAGCTGTATGACCTGATCCAAGGTAGTGGTGTGAAATATGCTCATCGAAAAGTATCAGGATTTTTTTTCTTTTTTCTTTTTTTCTTTTCACTCCACTTTACTTCCATAAACATCTCTGGAAAAATTGAAGAAAAGTATGGGGAGAACATAATATTGAAGCTAATAATTCTTTAAGAACCGTGAACAGAAACTTCCTTTACCGCCAGTAATCGGTTAAATATATTCTGAATTTGGAGATGTTTGTAACCTAACCGAACCTACTCTTCTGGTTTGATCTTTACCACGGCGTGGTTTATCTTTGATAAGTTTAATTTTCAGTCGAACTTTAAATATATACGCTTTCTTAAGTCTCAATTTGATAGTGCCCGACAGAGTTTTGGGTAATAACCAGCTCACTAGATGGATACAGAGCTCAACTAAAATAAGCTGGGTTAAAATTGGTTCCACTGGGTCGAACATATTGAATCGGTCTTTCCAACTCGCCTAGGCATTTTGACAGTCCTCTCACTGTCAGAATACCTACCTTGCACGCTCCATATGATTTTCTCCCTCTCTCCTTGAATTGAATCTTTTCATCATCACACTACCTTGATGACGTGATGTTTGTTTCGAGAGAGAAATGAGAGGGACTGGGCGCGGCGCTCTGTGAATGAATTTCAGTCAATGTAGTTGGCACACAAATGCAAAGGATTTCTGCAAGACAAAGTCCATGGAAAGGGAGAATTGAGTCAAGGAATTAAGTCCTAAGCTCTGAATTTCACAAAATTAAGCAAAAGTAAATCCAGAATATCATCCAAACCAAAATTCAAAAGAACTCGAAAAATCATCCCCGGTGAAGTAAAGATTACGAGTTAAGGATAATTTTTTTTAAAGGAAAATTTTTTTTTAAAAAAAAAACGCCGGACACTGGAAAGTTAACAAAGTTCTTTGTCCAATTTTCATACGTTTGGTATTAAAAAATAACAATATTTGTTGATCATATACCTTTTGCCCTAAATCATATATTTTACCCTTAATAAACCATTCCTTACGTGAACTTATCAACAATGGCTTTTTTGTACGTCCAAATTGGAGTATATGGTGTCATAACTGCAGAGAGGAGGGTTCCCCCTTAATAGATCAGCACCTGCTGAATCTTAAATCCAGCAACGAAAGTGGAAAATTTCTGAATATCGAGACCGCAAATGAGAAAGAATTAGAGGTGGTTACTATATTTTTAACATGGTGGGAGGCACTTGCCGGAAAGTAGTGGTGGCTTCTGGGATAGGCTCTTATCGAGAGAAATTTGAGAAAGAGCGAAGTGCTGAGCTTGTGAGTGAAGGCTGGACCAGAGGGAGAAGAAGCTCGAATGATAACGTGGATAGAAGCATTCCGACTGGATGCGATGCAGCGCTGAATGCCAATTGGCTGGTGGCGAAGGCACCGCAACACTGTATATGATCGTCATCGGCAAATAGAGATAAGAGACCCTCCATTATTGGTATCTTGGCAATGGTGGAAGTTCTTACTTTCAGGACCCCACCATGCAACGATTGACACACCTATGATGATGGATGTTGAGCAACGTGTTGGATATTTCGTTTCGAAAACGTAACGAAGTTCACAAACTCATTACGTCAGCAGAAGCTCATTATCCACTTAGTAGATATGATGACTGTTGCTCTCTTATAATTTTTCATTGAAGAGTTATTGTATGCAGTAACTTCCAGATGATTGTTCTCACAAAACAAGTTTCTCGATTGCGACACTCATAAATGCAGCTTTTTACCTTTTTTCTTTTTTTTTTATAGGATAACCAATGAACGTCATTATTCGAAATTTTCTCAGAATATTGAGGTTAGAATGAAGAAACGTCGGTAGAAATCGGAAGAAATAGTGTTCGTTGGTTTTTTTTCGCTAAATGAAATGTCACGAGAAAAATTCGCATCGTCACTAATCTCGAGATCCGCACGTGTTCTAGTTACTTATCCAAATTTCTGTCTGGCCAAATTAATCTTACGTCTTGATCCTAGAGAAGTATAGGATGCATGGTTAACAATAACTGCGAGAAACGCGTGATAGCGTCTACAAGACTGGATGAATACTTCACGCATTGCACATACGCACCGTAGTGTGCGAGCAATGCGTGAAGTATCTTCCGTGGTGTACGCGCAATGCGAGAAGTATCCACGCAGTCCTGTAGGCGCTATCTTGCGTTCCGCGCTGGCTACACAGCACAGGTGCACTGCAATAACTGACCGCGTATACTGTCTTCCAAGTTTCTCGGTGCTTAACCACTTATATCTCTTCTTAAGTCCGACTAAAAGGAATCGAGAAGCATTTCTAAAGCACCAAATACTTGCAGTAAAATCAGCCTAAATGTTGCCTAATCTTCTCTTATTTTTAATTTGTTTACAGCGAACCAAGCAAAACTCTAACTAAAGTTCCCACGATTATTCTCTTCATAATACAGAAAAAACTCATTGAGTGCCTCGAGGTATTGTTTTGTTAAGTTCTCATGTAAAATAATAGAGCATGGGAAGAGATTAGGCAACGTTAACCAATAGCAGTTCTCGCATGCCGGCGGCAATGATATTTTTCTCCATTTAAATCTATTATAAATAATCGATTCTTAAACTTGCTTCAAGATACATCGATTCTTTTACATGCATTTAAATGGACGGAATCCTGTGTTGTCAACTTGCGAGAATTCTTACTGCTTAAATTGGATTTAGGGTGATTCTGGTTATAGTTTCAACTGCATCTCAAATGCCGTGACTTAAACCTGTCTCTATACTTTCAGCGGACATCGCGTCCGCAGGAGAGAGGGTTGTGTTTATCATTTGATTTTTTATTTAATTTTCAAGCCAGCTATCCTCACGCAAGTTCTGAATAAGATCATCTTAAACACCAAAATTCTACTGTCCTAAACAGCAAAATCCTATCGTCCAAATTTCAAAATTACAGTCTCAACTAAAAATGTCTACATTTGGTGTTCGCTTCAGCCGTAATTCAGTCTCTTCACCAAAGAAAGATAATTCAGCTAAGCTTTCTTTCTGTCTCCTTTTACTTACGAATTTCTTTTCACGCATTAATCAATGATATCGAAGTATCAATAATGTGTATTCTTATGATTTCCATGCCTTTTCGCGAAATCATTCACTCTAACTTTGCTTTTGCTGATGTGCAAATTTCGATGTGTGAAGAAATCACGATTTGTGGAATTCCTCATTGGCATATGCTGGAAGACAGATGGGGGAGGAATTGATTAAGCTACCTTGAAATGCCTTTGAGAGAGGAAATAACTAATACTTCTTTTTCCCCTTTTATTTGAGTGCTTTGACAAATTGCAACTTTCTTCGACATTCAACTGGTCTTGAAATCGTAATTTTTATTTTGGAAAAAGCAATTTACTTGAATTTACTAGGAGTCAAAATTATACATTTGAAAAAAAAATAAAAATAAAAATAAACACGTATTATTTTATCTCCCTTGACGATGAAGGAGGAAGAATTGCTAATGATGTCCATTCCTAACCGTAATACTTTCCGAAGAATAACGCATTCGCTTTGAAAAAGAGCGCTAAGATCATGAGGCACCTTCATTTAAAAATGATACTGCACGCACTACCGCAGTGACGCAAAGTTGTCGCTCTGTCAACCGCAATGTCAATGCTCTTTGCTGCTCAGAGTTCTCCGATGATATATTATTATCTCTTCGATTTATTCCGACTCGATTATTATCTATTCGACTATATTCTGACCCAATTTTTGTAGTTTCACAAAATTAAAATCATTACAAATTTTAATTTCCTTCCTCTAAACCGCAATTCTCTGGGGTTTGCTTAGACTTACAAAAAATCCCTTCTCGAGTGCTGTCAACAAGAAGGTGTTTGGCAAACATACAATATTTCTGGACACGACGCGATTTGCGATGACTTCGAAAATTGTCTACAATATTGCCATCCTTGCCTCGCTCCAACTTGTGAGCTGTAAAGAAAATAAATCTCTCTGAATTTAATTGACTTTCAAATATTTACCGAAAAAAGATTACTGTATAAAATAAGTGGACTTAATTGGTTTTTCTCTGATACCTGAAGGTATATTATTGCCTAAAACATTCCTATAGAACCAAATTTAGAGTAAATGTCATTAGAAAGATACCGAAAGTAAACATTCTCCGAGAGACTAATTACCTGTACTACTGTACAGAGATTTCGTGCAAAACATGATTATCATGAGATTATTTCTCGCTGTTATCAGGATAATCGTTTATTTTTATATCAAGTAAAAGTGACTATTTTTAAAAATCGAGAAAATCCAGAATTTAGTGTATAAATGGACATTTTTTCGTTGGTTTTTATAATTCTTTAGTTTACAATGGAAAACTAAAAATGTAAATGTACTCTGCAAAGGGTATTTTTCATTAAAAAAATAACAAGATGCAGGTTGGATGATTAGATAACTGTTAGAGTTTATACCGGAAGTACATTGTAGTCGCATGCATTTTTACTTTCAATATAATGTTCTTGAGATGCATGTACTTTTTTATGATTTATTTACTTGATTTTAGCCATATATGTGTGCTGCTGTTGTCGATAAAAACAAGTAAATGAAGTGTGGGAGCTGTCAGAGTATCAGATTTATTTTGTCTCTGAATACCGAATACTACCCCTCATGAAACTCTTGAGACTTCTTAATCATCCTCTGAAATTAGTTCAAATTGGCTGAAGTTGAAAGTAGGGACATTTTTCCGGAGAATGGCTTGAAGTTCCGGACCAGCGCACGTAATTTTATACGAATGAGTCACCCCGGACTTCGTCCGAAGTACAAAACAGTCTCACACATACAACGCAGCTCCACAAATAACGAACATCAACGGCCGAATAGACCACAACCACTATTTCTTGCTCATTTTAGAAACAACATATATGCCATTGGTTTCTCTATGCAGAAAGGTGCTTTTATAGAAGAGCGAGAGATAATGGTTCCTTATTGCAAAATGTAATCCGAATATTCCTACTCTTGTTAACACCCTGACACCATCAGTTATTGAATCATGTTTCTTCAGAGGTGGTATCTTTATCAATCTCTTTATTTGAGTTTGCCTCCATAATACCAAGGACCAAGAAAAAACGTCGTACGGACATTTGAACGCTACTATATGAATATAGAATAGGTTATAGTAGGTGGTTGTAGGTTTCATCAGAATTGATGAAATAGACAAATTTTCCTTCGTGAATTTTTTCCCCTGGAGAATTTTCCGCAGAATTTTTACTAGCGTCTCAGAAAATTTTGAGGGACAGAAAGTAACATTTTTACTAAAATAAACACTTTTCTCGAAAAAATTTGGCAACCTTCGTGTATTCATAAATGACATTTTGGCCGGTAACGATGCCTGCCATTGCTACACTGCCTGCCATCTGTTGGCTTTCGAGTTTCACCTGAGAATGTTTTAAAATAAATGTGATCGCTCGCAGGCCGAGTAAATTGAAAAGTCATCTATTGGTATGTTACTCAGGTGAGCGTTTTACATCATAACACCGGAAGTACCCGTACATCTTAAATTTTACTGGAGATATGACGGTTGGATCTTATGATTGAAACAGGAAAAACGTAATCTAAACAAAAAGTAAAGATAAAAATAACTTTTTAATTTTTTTATTCGTCACGTTCACGGCTCCATGTGATTGTAGTGGCATGCTCCATATTGGTTGAGATTGAATTTTCCACTGTTCGCGACTTATAATATTATGGTTCAGAAGCTGGAGATTTTTTTTTGTCGAGGACCCAAAATTCGACTCAACTTAACAAAAAAACATTGGCTAAAAAAATTTGCCTCTTTGCGCAATAGTCCCTTGAACGGTCAGTAATAAAAATCAAAATCATCGAATTATGATCACACAGCTGAAATAGAATTATTTTAATGTTATTTGTTTATACTTGTCTCTTTCAGCTAAGCTAAGGGATTTTTCAGGGTCTTAAAATTATTGAACACTTCTGGAATCTTAGTTGTTTAAAAGGCGCGATCTCTTCAGCTCTACTTTCAGTATATCCTGGAAAATGAGACAAAATTGTTCAGAATGAGGTGGGTTTGGAACAAGGTTTGGAAAGACCGTAAACACCCTCTTTAATTTTACAATTTCACTCTCTCTCGCTTTTTTTTCTTCTTATTGTTATCATTGAGGGCGATTTTTCTATGGTTCGTTCAAATATATAGATTGGAATCATGTTTGAGCAATCTTCCTCTGTGTGGAGTCTATTAAACTCTCACCAGTATTTTTACTAAACTGAGCTTCAGTCAACGAACATTCTAGTAATCACTAGAACTAATAGAACAGGAGTTTCATGATGGGTGGATTTAAATGACCCCACATTTTTACATGTTCAAATTCTATTTTTCAATGGACGGCGTACGCACGTGTTCTCAATATTACCTATATTTTCAGTGTAAACATAACGATACAAAGTATGAAACTCGAAGTTACGAGTGAAATGAAAGCTATCAGTGAGATTTTTATTCGTAAAGCATAATTTTGCTTATTTTTAATGTATTATAGTATTTTTCATTGTACTTTCTTTTTCTTTATTTTTGAGTGAATTGGAAAATATTTCTGATTAAATGTTGTCTTGTTGTTTAAAAATAGTTGGCTCTTCATTTCTTAAGCCCTTAGCCTAATGAATACTTAGAACCTAATCATTTAAAGATTTGACAAGAGGAATGTAGAAGGGATTTAGGAGTTCCTAGGTGCGAACCTAGGAATCTCCTAACCCTTGACCGTACCTACTGAGACAAATCTACTTACCTGAGCAAGACTTGCCCAAATGACCTCGAAATTGGATATTTAGTCATGATAAAAAATCAATTTTGAAAATTCACGGGCGTTTAGGCATGCTTTGTACCATGTACCTCCCGCTAAGCTTCCAGATTCCTTTCGATGAATCTTTAGGTCTTGCTTCATCTGACAATGAGAGAACTTAATTGGAAAAGCTTCTCCCGTGTCGTGTAAGATATCTGGAACTCGAAATTCTTGTCTTCATGGGTGTTGATTCATGATCAATAATAGGGGCCTTTGGCCGCTACGCGGCCTCCAACACTGAAAAAAAAACTACACGTAAAAATTGTAGAACAACCATGTTCAAGTTATTTAAGAGATTAATGGATTCAAAAGCCGACGACGGGTACACGCGAAAAAAAGTGTCTTCATCTCTGAATGCAACATTCTGCACCATATTTATGTTTTATCTTTGATCGATGTTTTCAAGAAGCTACACACAGTTTTTCCGAAAAATTTTCCTGACTTTCCGACTTTTCCTAAATGATCTCAAATAAAAGCATCGAAAATTTCCACGCGATAATTTCGTTCGTTCTGTTTTCTTTTTGTGTATAACCAAAGAAAAATAAATATTATCTGAGTTTCTGAATCGTTACAATGAGGATACATATTTTCTCTTGAATTATTATGGGTAAAACCGGAACAAAGAGTCAAGAATGATCACACGAAGTCCTAGTTTAGCGGCGGCTTCAGCCGGACGGATGCCTGTCATTCTTATTATGTTGGAGCACCTTCAATTTCGTATGGTACTGCGCAACACCTCTGTTGTGAGATAGGAGCTTGAGGCGCCGCGTAGGGCGGCGAGGGCGACCAGCGTGACTCGCGCATTGGCGCCTACAAACCTAACAGGGATACTTCGCGCATTGCGCAATGCGTGAAGTATCCAGTTAGGTTTGTAGGCGCCATACTTCACGCATTGCGCATTGCGTGAAGTATCCCTGTTAGGTTTGTAGGCGCCAATGCGCGAGTCACAGTGGCAGCACGCCGCGTGCCATGCCGATCCGCGCTGATATTTAAACTTGCGGAGTCGGCGTTATTCAACTCATGATTTTGAAATGTTTACACACTCTGCATGGATTATTCTCAATTAAAGTGATGAAAAAAATATGTATTAAAGGAAAATATAATGAGAGTTTTGTAAATGTTAAGGTGGCTCCGTATCAAATTTAATAATTTCCAAAGTACTTTCATTTTTTATTTTATATTTTGTGCTTTTACTTTGCTGCAGCGTGGTTTGTGCACAACCAAACGCTCAAAATTGGACGTATTTGACTCTAAAAGGTCGATGTGCAAATGGGTTAAAACCAAAGATTGCATGCTTCTTTCCTTTTTTAATCCTTTAATTCATTTGTGTACAGTTTCTTTCAACACATTTACGGCTCATTGAAATTAATATCGCTTGAAAAGGTTTTACAAATATTTGCCACGTTTTAAAAAAGTAAATGTTTTTAAAATAAAACTATATTTTTATTGCAAACAGTATGTAAGGTACATTTTAAATCGAGCCAGGGAAGGAAAAACGGTGGAGTCGCAGTATGACGCGCCCTCCATCCAGCTAGCGGCAATATGCCTACACCCGTGGTCGAATAGTTATCTCGTCACGCCTGCCGTGGATGAAATCAAATATCGATGCCTGTACATGCGGATTATTTCCCAACTTACGCTTCAGTCGCAATCCCCTATCACTAACATAGACTTGACGCCGCTCGGTACGCCGCGCGGGATTCTCCATTACTGAAAACATCAAAATTGCAAGACAACGACGCACAGTAAAATGAACCATGGGCGAAGTTGGACATGAAATTTGCAACTAAAACTGGCCAATTTTTATGTTTGATTCGTCTGAAGGACCAGTAGATGAGGTGTAATGAGGGATACTTAACGATCGGAAAGTTAACCGAGAGCAGGAAAATCTCCACGATTCTTCGAGGATTGCAGGCTTGCGACGTACACGATTGGATATTCTGTCCACCGCAGCGCGGGTGGTAGATCTGACACCGAGTAATTACAACTTAATCGTTGTAATCATACCACGACCTGGTAACCTGGTAGCGCGCACAGTCTTGTGCGCGCAATACATGTAGTATTCCTACATTCTGATTATGCGGTAATATGCGTTTCACACCAACTGATCGCCTGAACTGCGTTTGGCGCAATGCGAGAAGTATTCATGCCATCTTGAAGGCGCTACATGCGTTTACCGTCGGCCGCACTGTGTTTGGTGCGGTTATTATAATTCGCGTTAGCTGAATAGGCCCGTGTTGTGTTTCGACGTATTCGAACGTTACCTCATTTCTCCCGATAAAATACTTTTTCCGAGAAAAGTTACGAAAGTTCTTTATGTCCGCTTTTTCAGATTAAATGGCCCATTAAACAACATACGAAATTAAGCACTCTCATTGATTATTTTTCGCCAGAATTTCACGTAGAACACGATTTGCGGAACCAAAACTAATTAAAACAACTCTTTGCTGGGGTATTAACGTATTTATTGTACATTGGTTACGGAAAAGTTGAATTGCCCGGTCATAAGAAACACAAAACCCTACGCGCGTCAAGTTGTGCTTTACGACGACTTTAGCAGACGACCCAATAAAGCATTGTTTATTCCCCACCCTGTGTTTTTCAAAGCGTGTACAGCTTGCTATAGCTGAGCCGAAGCGTCAATCTTGAGGTTACTATACTTCTATATTGCTGAGACTGTCATAGTGAGTTTAGCGTGCAATTTAGCCCAAGTTTATTATCTCTTTCAGAAGCGGAAAGTTTAAATTAATTCATAAAAAACGTTATTATCACGGTTAGGAGTTGTTCTTGAATTATGATTTTGATCACTCGACGTCTGGCTTTCGAAATCGTCGTTGCCTATTGGTTTTCCACTTTCAACATGCGCGTTCTACTCACAGGTGTATCTGCCGCTTGAAACCTACCGCCCGAGGTGAACACAATATCCGAAAATTGTACACTGCGAGCCTGCAATCCTAGGATCGAAGGATTGTGTGAAGGATTGACCAGCTTCTCGAGAGAAAAATAAAATTTCTAAGGAAGTCTGCAACGTCGCAAATGGAGAAACGTCGTCTCTCATTTTGCCCAAAAATATGTATGCATAAAATTGAAGGCATTATGACTTTCCTCTCTCAACTTATATTCGTCTGTATCGATAAACAATGGGACGCGTTTGCTACGGCGCCTTGATACAACTATACAACCTCGACGGATGTCCGTATTGCGTTCAAAAAATTGAAGGCGTTTTGACTCCCTGCTCATACTACCTGTAGTTGATTCGATCGTAAGACGCGTTGGTCGGCGGTGACGGGGACTTGATGCAACTATTTAAACTTGATGGATGTCCGTATTGCACCGACTGAAGTGCGGAACCACGTATCTCCATTGCTGTGTTTCAAAATTTCCGTTCTTCTTTCATCTCTTCCGCGTCTGTCGATTGAATCAACTACAGGTAGTATGAGCAGGAAGTCAAAACGCCTTCAATTTTTTGAACGCAATACGGACATCCGTCGAGGTTGTATCGTTGTATCAAGGCGCCGTAGCAAACGCGTCCCATTGTTTATCGATACAGCCCTGTAAAGGTAGCCCTATAAAGGGACAAGGCAGGGTATTAATATGGCATGATCACCACGATTGCAGTTTTTAAGTGATCTTGAAAACCCGTGACAACCAGAGCTCAAACCTCAGACCTCAATGCTGGCAGCAAACTGCCTTTATCACTACACCACCAAGGCTGTCTGTCTTAACTGCTGCACCATTGAGGCAAACGACTATACAAATACAAGATTCCGTTGTCGTGTTTTAGTTTGTATATTTAAATTTTCATACAAAAAGAAGAAAAATTTCAGAACAGATTCACAACAATTATTTACAATTTTACACAAGGTATTTACACAACTTAAGTATGATGAACTAGCTAGATTTCTAGCTCAGAAACTTGAAGACAATTCTGATTTAGTCATCTATATTTACATACAGAAATGAATCAAAATTTAGGTATACCGTTTATAAAAATTTTATGGAAACGTTGGGTTCTATAGCATCAATTGTATCAAGCTTATAGCAAGTGGGTATTCATGAAAAAGAGGAAAAAAAGCATGTCCCGTGTTTGAAAATTGGGTGGATTTCTGTACCATTCTAGTGAGTGGAAATAAGTTATTAATACTTAAATGAAAGAAGACAAACATTTTATAAAAATTGAACATATGAATACCTAGATCAGTTGACTTTAAATGCAGAGGGAAAATGAAAAAGCAATATTAAAACTCCTCAGAGGCAGTGTACAGACAGGCAGTGGTTCTCATTTTACTTTTGTAAAATGCAAAATACATGAAAAAACTAGATTAGGAGATCATTAAGATCTTATTAAGATCCCTGAATGCGTGACTTCATTGAAAAGACTTGTGAACGGTAAAAATCTGCACTGCAAGTAAGAAAAAAAGATTTTTGAGAAAACACCTTCTTTTTACAAGTTAAAATAACCTTAAACATAGCTGTCATATGTATAGGTAGGCATTTTATGATCATGAGCAGTAATATTCAATATTTTGTCAAAAAATGGGGGAAGATGGAGAAAAAAACTTAACAAAATGACTAGAGAAAGAAATTTTTGATGCTCTTTGCTTCTACTTACCTGCCTCATGATTTTCCAAGGATTATGAAAAGCACATAGGGGGAAAGAGCATCAAAATAAAAAGTAATTTTCGTATTGTAATCGGAGGAAAAACTGTTGTAGTTAAAAAAGTTAGGCAGATAATTCAGGATATTTTATGATTCCCAAATCTCTATAGAAACTTACCTCCATAAAATTTTACACTCCAGTTTTTGATTATGATAACAGTCTATGAACTAATTATTCAGAAAGCATCACTGTGAAATAATGCAGTAAGAAAATTGGATCAGTTCTACCAAAATGCCATTTCATGTTGTTAAAAAACTTTACACGGAATTGGTTTAGTATATGAAGCTTTCATGGCAAGCTCTAATCAAAAATATAAGTTGATAGGAGAATACCATTTTATATGTTTTTACAAGTTTTGAAAATTTCAATGGTGGACAGTTATTGTTATTTTTTTTTTCTTATTTTTTATTTTCTTAACAAAATATAAAAAAACATGACCTCAAATCTCATAAATTTTAGGTCTAACATACATATTGGTACAAAAATAATATATCAGTACGTTATGACATATTTCTTATACCTAATTAAATTTTACAGTAGGAAACTCGCATACATCAGCTGGGTAATTTTTTATTTTGCTCCAGTAAAAAATTCATGGTAGAAACTGAAAAGTGACACATTCTAAACAGCTGAATTATAATTTCTTTGGAAAAAAAAGAAATAAGGAAAAAAATAGAACTAAATCGAAAAAGTAGCTGGCTAGTTAGTGATTGGATATTTGCCGGCTGTGATTGGGAAAATTTAAGCAAATAAAGTCAGTCTACAATAGAAACTCTCCGTAGACAGACTTGTTCTGCTTCTGCTCATCCAATTATCTTTCAGCAAGATGAATTCCGAAATACCGGGAAATAAAAATAAATTCATTGGTTTCAAAACTCCTACATTAGCAAATTTAATCTACCCTGGCTTTTTCCATCGATATCGTATTTACATCAACAACACTGACTTATCAGTTGATTAGAACAGCAATAAGCATAAATTGGTAGTAACACAGTGACTCTGTTAAATAAATTTGCTCCTGACAAAGGAGACTTAGACACCGACACAATATCTTAGAAAAAAACTGCTGAGCACAAATTGACAGTAAAAAATCCACTGTATAACTGAACTTCTGCTACCTCTTGAACTTTCTATCCAGAAGATCACTTTTTGAAGTGAGCTCAGCAGAGTCTGATTTTAAAATGATCAACTTATTAATGGTTGATAAGTCACATGATTAGGCTAACATACTCTGCTTCCCTCCTGCCTCCATACCCGGATGGGTAAAGCAAAATGATGAGGTCAGGATAATTCATGGGTTATACTCATGGCAAATTAAAGTGTATTTTCTTATTACTCTTTACTTTTGAATTATTCCACGATTAAAAAAATATCAGACCTAGATATTTCAGTGACCTAATATTGTTGGCCATGGACTTATCTGCTCAGCAGAGTAACTTTAATGTGGTTACATCAGTTTAATGAAACAGAGAGTGGTAGAGACTGGATGATGATAGTTACAAGAGAGAAAATAAATAAATATTACTATTTTTCCATAATATTAATATCACAAATGTACAATTATACATTGGTTTCACCTTAAAATACTCGTTTTTTTAGTAGAAACACTTTTGGAACGAGAAAAATAACAAAAGATTTTAAGAAGAAATTGATAATGAGTGCTGCTGTACAGCACACATGATTTGGCACAAATTTAACAACGGATATTCAAATGACGTTTCAATTGGGCAGTTTTGAGAGTACAAAAGTTAATAGAAGAATAATGAACGCCTTTGATTTTGAGATGAGCCATGTTCAATTTTTTTTTTTAAGCTTAACAAATTTGAGCTTTGTTTAAGCTTTTTCAAGCCAGTCCAAGCTTTATTTAATGACGGTTAAAAGAGAACTGTTTGCTAAGAAAATGCAGTTAGTCTTTAAGGATATTTTCAAGAATTGCAGTTTGCTTTTTAAGCATAATCAGACTGCTGAGTTAAGTTTCATTTTCAAAAACTTTTGAAGTTAAAAAAATATTAACAATTTAATTTGAGATAACTGTGAATGAAGAGCTTGAAATTAGCAAATTAGACAGGGAAGAGGGGAAAAAATGAATTTTAACAGAATATAATTATTCATCATTTTGAATGAGCTTACACTGTAGATTTCTCTTTTTTCCAAAAATCTAATGAGCCTCCTCATTGACCCGGGGATTTTCTTATGAATGATAACTCAACAGAATACTGGGTAATTTTTTTCCTAAAAGAATGCTACAAGAGTGAACAATTAGCTCCAATTTGAGCATTATTGGACTAGGGTTGGCAGTCTACTCATTCAAAATAATTTTTAGGACTGTTCATTGATTCAGTAATGATTTAGGAACTTTAGATAATCATGACAGATTTAAAGTTAAGATCTCACTAAAAAACATCAAATTATCTGTTTAGAGCGTAAAAACAGTCAGATACAAAAATATATTTTTACAGAAAATGCCATTTAGTAACGAAAAATTTGAATTTTTTTCCCCATCACTGTCAGGCAAAAGAGGGGAAATATTTAATAATTAAAAAATAAGGATGAGAACTCCCTTATTTAAATATTCCATTCCAATGTTCCTCGGTATTTTTGTGCATGGAACATAACCTTTAATAACAAACAAAAATTTGAGTATCACAAGTGAAGAGAGAATGCACAATGAAGATTGCATTCGGCGAACAAAGAATGAGCCATAACGGCAATCGAAGCAGGTGAGCTTGGGTACAAAAGAACTGAGATCGGATTTAGTATACTATCGATTTGAGGAAGAGGATTTTTTTATAAACCTAATGTTGAACGGGTCCTCTGCTAATTCCGGATACCTTTGCACATCAGTAATGTACTCGCCATCATATCCAGAGGCATAGCCTGCTTTTGAGATTTCATCAACTTCGGTAGCTGACCATTCTCTGGATGTCGGCAGTCCTATTCGTAATGCATCGTGTTCTCTATGCCATGCTTTGCGAAGTGCCGATGATTTTGCATGATGTAGTAATCGCTGTTTTTCCCTCTCAACAGTGGTTCCATACCTTAGATTAATTATGGCATTTGCTCGATGGATTCGAACATCAAGTACCTGAAAAAATGAAGACTTCAGTAAAGTGGATGATTAGACTGACCTAAAGTCTTTTCTCCCTTTCTCTTACACAGAAAATATTATCTGAGGAGATTCTAGTGTCTGATTCTAATTCAAAAAATTTTGCTTTCATCATGCAGATCATCAATTCCAAGATCAAACCTTACAACATATTGAGGCACTAGAATTTGGCAGCAAATCTTGAAAAAAAAAATGATTAATCTAATGGTCATAAAACTTCTTCTTGGAATACATAGGCTGTCTCAAACATTGAGGACACTCATAGTCCAGGCGCCTGGTAAGTCTACCTGGAATTTTGGGTACACAGCGATTTTTTTGGCCTACTTTATGTTTTTTGGGTCGCTGAATCCGAATCTGAAGTTTCCGCAGGCGTATCTGGTGAGCATTTTCCGCTATTTTGAAAAAATGGCCTAAAAAGGCCTTTTTTTGCGGTTTTTTTGATATAGCGGCTACGGATGAGGAAAAGTCCCGGATTTAGCTAATGTTTTGAATAGCTGACATAATTTGGAAGAAAATGGTATATACATATGTTAGGTTTGCTTAAAAATTGAGGAAGATACAGCATCGTGAACATCGCGCCTATTCACGTTTTCGCGGCGCACCCGTCAACGCGCGATCCGGCTCGCCGCGGTCAGCCAAGTTCCGAAGCGTTCTAAAGTTCCGAAATCCGAGGTTCCTCAATTTTTGAGCAAACCTAGCATATTTATATACCATTTTCTTCCAAATTTTGTCAGCTATTCAAAACATTAGCTAAATCCGGGACTTTTCCTCATCCGTAGCCGCTATATCAAAAAAACCGCAAAAAAAGGCCTTTTTAGGCCATTTTTTCAAAATAGCGGAAAATGCTCACCAGATACGCCTGCGGAAACTTCAGATTCGGATTCAGCGACCCAAAAAACATAAAGTAAGCCAAAAAAATCGCTGTGTACCCAAAATTCCAGGTAGCCTCATTTTTAGCTACCAGGCGCCTGGACTATCATGTTCTAACTTGAGTAGCACTTAGGTGAGTAATGAGCTGTTTTTTGTTTCTTTTTTAAGGTCAATTCACAGTGTCACTTCATAATAATATGAACTTATAAAGGTCAAATCATTCATGAAGACTGTGTTGCCGCTACCTGCAACTTGCAACAAATCGTTCTTACCCTTAATCTCAGGGCCTATTGCTAAGTAATGTATTCTAAAATTGTTATATGATGCATCATATTGTTGACGGGCTCCTTTGTGGAAGCCAGCAAAATTAACAACTTTGAAAAGCTGTCGATTGACTGCACAACTCGAGGCAACCAATATAGAAGACTCGGAAGCTAGACATGCGTACATGCGAACAAACCAGGAGGGTTTGGCAGATTCAATGTCGCTTTTTACATTTCTGATGTAGTGAATTTGGTTTGGCTCTCAGCCTAATATTTCTGATACAAGGTTAAGAATTGAAATAACCGATAACATTTTTGTCTAGGCCTATATCTTGAAACATTCAGTTGAAAAGAGATTCACATTGGGACTAGAATCAGCAAATTAAAATATACATAAACCTAGCTTCTGTCAAATCGATAGATTTATTACTTGTGGAGTTCATGAGCTCAACACTTGGGAGTCAGGTTCTGTGAAGCTCTGAGGCCAACACCGACTTGACTGACAGGAAACGAACAGCAAACTGACAGAAACTGAAGGCAATCTTAAGGCTGACATTTATCCGACTCGGGTTTCAATTTTTTTTTCACCGACTACTGAAAGCCATTTTTTCCACATGTTCTTCCAACACCACAGGAACGAACATGCAGAAACAAAATAACAAGTGATGCGTTAGATAAGAATGACAATGTAAAGAAAAAGGGATTGAAATTACCTTATGTGGTTCAGTCTCTCCTTCTCTCTCATGGAATGTGATGTTGAATTCAGTATCGAAGCGTTTCAGCTGAAGTTTGTCTTCTGCTGCTTGCCATGCTTCCTCCTTCACAAAATGGAATGCATCTTGCAATGCACCATGGACAACAATTGTGAAGGGCAACAGGTAGGTGTTATTGAACACAGAGGTCAATACGTCTCGATAGATAGTGTTTGCTGTTGGAATGCTGTGGATGATAGCCCTTCCTTCTTTTGTCCTCGACACCAAGATGCCATGCCCAAATGGCGACTCGGCTGCTGATGCTCGCAAGCGCGTTATGAACAAGCTGCCGTCATTAAGCGACTCAGGTTCATTGTAATTGTAATTGAACTGGACCGGGTTTATCAGACTGGACGATATGGAACTTACTCCGAACTGGAGATTGGACTTGGAAAGGGATGAAAAGCCATTAAATTTGAGACGTTCTATCAGATGACTCAAAAAGCCAGAGGTGACACTGAACGCTGGCATTCTTGTGGATGGAATGAGGGACATAGGCAAATTTTTAGATACTTCTAAGAGAGGAGCCAAGCTCTTGATGTTGTAACCCAATTTTGAAAGCCAGCCTGTTTCATCTGAAAAATATCAGGAGGAGAATCCTTAACATCTTGATAGCAAAACACACAATTCCGAAAAGGTGAAATTTGATTCAAACTTTAACAGAGTTAAAAAAATCTACCAAAAAAAAAATAAAAACAATTATCTACCTTGAATTTCTTGGAATTCTAAACAAATAAATTAGTAAAGTATAAAACAACTCTTCACTCGGCACTTCATATGTTTAAGATCTGCAGTTTAAAAAGTTCTCTGATGCAAAGATCTAATTCCAAATGGTGAGTCATCTTGCTGGAGACCCTTGGGCCAATCACTATCATAACATGAAACTGCTCCAACAGAAAGTAACAACAACCAACAACCAACAACCTCAACTTCAAGCATGAGTTTCCGATTTAAAAAAAGCGTACCTACTAAGCATAAGCAGCTCAGTCATGTATTGAGTAAAATTAGTTTCTGATTAATTGATTGTTCAGTGATAAAAATTTAAAATATAAGATTTACCTGTAAGATCTAGCTTCTGATGATTCACATTAACAGGATCATTTCCATTGAATCGATAAAGATGGATATGTCTAGGACTGGTAACACGGGATAAAACATCCTTCCAGGTAGGGGACATCCATTGACCAATCAACGGATCATAAACTTTCCCATTTGACATATGAACTAAGGATGTTACCTTGAAGCACAAGTAAAACAGCTCAATTAGGCCTGATCAAAATCTCAAAGTATTTCATACACTAAATTAAAAGCAGATTTGGTTGAAATACCATTGGCTACACACCAACTTTTGCAACTTTAATCTACACTGAAAGATTACAAACCAAGAAAAATTAAATAAAAAACGAATTATGCCAAAATGCAGGCTCCACTATCAATTTTTAGGGAAATAATATATTTCTTACAGTTGTACTGTTGTTCCCAAAAATCCCTTTTGAAAATTCTGAATTAAAGCTGAAAATATTTAAACTGAGATACCAATTTGATTAGCCAAACTCAATGGTGAAATTTTATGTAAGGATGCTTCAGTTACATGTTCTCAGAATGAAGGTTTCAGAGATGGAAGGCTGACATTTTGCCATGGGGTACTTTTTGCGAAAATTAAAATTTGTATCTGACATTCAGGAAAATTTGTTCAATATAGCTGATTTTACTTTGTTTCGTGGTAGAATCTTCTCACCAAAGCAAACAGAAATAATTAGTTGCTACAGACACAGGATCTTTATAAGTGAATTTTCAAGTTTTGAGACTCGATTGCAGAGTAAAAGTATATGATATTTTTGATTTAAAGATAATGTCCATATCTTTTTGATTGCTTTCTAATAAGCATCTTGAGCAAATGTTGCCAATTGAATTTAAAGTTTCCAAAATGCAAATCAGTTATGCTTCACTGAAATGAACTGAATAGAAGTTAAGGTATCACTTACTTGATCGAGAAGGCCACCACAGTAATCAATTGGCAGGTACAGATATGGATTTGAATCGTATACAATGTGTCCATAAGGAGAGCGCATTATTTCGCGGATTGCCTCTCCATATTGGTTGAAGATCATCACAGGCGTGCCACACTGATCCGTTGCAACGTAGAATTTATGTCGATGGTACTGTGCGTAAATCAGGTGCCCTCGGTCATCATAAACAAGTGAGGTGAGTTTTCCGTCACGAGGACTGAAAATCTGAGTAATCTGTATCGTACAAAAAATATTATTTTTTTAATAGGATAATGAAGTGCAATTGCAGAAATGACATAAGGACAGTGATATGAAAAATTCATACGTTACACCATTTGTTAGATCATGACTAAAAACAACTTAATCAGCCCAAAACGATGAGAAAAGTAAAAACACAAGCAAATGTACTTGTGGTGTAGTTGCAAAACGTTTCAGTCTTTCATCTTTTTGCAGCCTTGTACAAATCATTGTATCAATCTTTTAATTAGTTGCTATTCTTTTGAATTAATTCATGATTTTGCCCACTCATCACAGAATTATAACATTAACTGTATTGGTCTCATTTGCAGCTTACTTTTCAATTATAAATATAAGACCTAAATAAAAATCCTTGTGTTTCAAGACAGGATAACACATGTTTGAACAGAAATTGGCAATAAGTTACTATCCTTGCAGAGACTTTCTCTCTTGAAGCAATCTTGGGTGAAAACTCTATATTTAATTCTTGGCATACTTATTCCTAGGATGAGAAGGGTGAACTTGAACTTACGATATTTGGATTCTCTTGATTGGTGTAGAAAAATTGTGTCACATTCCCATAATTATCTTTCCTCGCCACAAGACGATCAATGTGGTCATAAAAGTAGTGTACGTCAAATCTTCCTCGCTTCAGAACTCGTACCTGGTGTAGAAAAAGATAAAGAATTAGAAACAGAATTAGAGGGCGTGCACCTGAGACAAAATTCTTACATTAAAACAAAGATTGTTGGAGGTGAAAAATAATTAAAGATGTGAGCAGTAAAAAAGAAGCAAAATTTCTGGGATTACTAAGCCCCAATTTTAAACCTCACATAAATTTTGCTGCAAGAGGATAGAGAGAGGAATGACAAGTTTTCAAACAAAAACCATGAAATAAAAGGCTAAAAAAATTACACAAATTGAATTACTTAGACCAGGTAAGTACAAAACTTGCACCTAGGGTAGAAAAAGTAAATAAAAATAGTGGTAGTTCAAAAAAATAATTGGAAAACTATTTTAAGTACCTATGGATGTTTGAGGTTTGAGTTACAGTTTAGATTGTTGCTCATTGCATTGATGAAGAAAATTAAATGAGGGGGGGGGGGGTTTATCTCTCTTTCCCATGAGGACTGTATGATACAGAAAATGCAAATAATACGATTGCTGAGTGATAATGGCTGTTCAATACTCCTACATTAAATAAACTTAAACTTACCAATAATCCTTTGGCATTGTAGTGGAATTTCTCTTCAAGAGCATTTTGCACCACAAGACCATGGTTATCATACCGGTAAACACCCTCCCCAAATTTCTCCATTTGATCCATTTTGTTATACTTCATAGAAATTGTATTCTCCCTGGAAGCAGAAATATGTATCAAGTTTCAAATTATTATACACACACAAAATATGCTCACCTGATAGAAAATTAGGTACTTGAGAAAAAGAGATTGCTCAGTTAGAAAATTACAGTAGTTAAGCAGATCTTGGATTGTGACTTAAATGGTACCTACGCCAATGGTACCTTACTGATGAGAAAACCTACCTACGAGATTTTTTTTTTATTTCTTTCTGCTTAAGAGTTAAAAATGTAAGTATTCATTGCTCTAATTGAGCATTTGTTATTTTTTTATACTTAGTAACAGATGAACTTAATTTGATAAGATACTGACAATTTTAGAAAAAATCCTTGAAAACCGTGCACAAAAGTGCAAAAAGTTCTGCTACAATCTGCAATCTACGTTCTGCAGTAATGTGTTGTCTGGCTTTCACAACTCATGAACTCAACATTAAAAGTTCCGGAGTAGCTTTGGAATCATGAGGCTATCACTGGTAAATTGAAGTCCAATTCAAACTTCATCGAACAGCAAACTGACTTTGACAAAACTGAGGGTAATTACATCGACTATAATTCTTACAAAGTGTTCGGCTACAAAATGTTGACCCTAAATTTTGAGTTTTTTTCTGTTGGTTAAAGTTAGTCTCTTTTTCTTGTATATTTCTTTGATAGGAGGGGAAAGAATACATAAAAGTACATCAGAAGGTAACTAGGTTCAGATGACACTACATTAAATTCAAAAACACAAATTTTTTGAAAACAAGTCTTGCACCAGATACTCCACAAGAATAGGACAGTTAACCGGAAAAAGTACTCAATTCAGAATTTTGCTGCGCAACAAATTCTACACTTCTCTCGAGTCATTTCCAAAATGATACCCTCCATATTTTTTCCAAGTCATGGAATTTGCTGCAAACAGAAATCTAGACTATGATCTATTGATACAGTACCCATTGAGCAATGGAGCTTTTTACTAAAAAACAACACTTCATCAAATTCAAAACTTCATTCCTCCAAACACTCTTTTAGCTGCAAAATAAAAAAGAAACTTACTTGTAAGTGAGAGAGAGCATGTTGCCGTTGGCATCATAGGTGAAACTCCACGGCTCTTGGGATTCGACACCAATTAACTGACCATCTGCATCCCAAGTGTAATTTTTCAAGTTGGTGTACTTGTTCACACCAACATTTCGGATATCAGTTCTGGTTTGACTCACTCGACTAGAAAACAAACGCATTTTACTCTGTTAAACTAATTGCAGTGTATATTAACATATTTGATTCATAGGACATTGAAATTACTGAAATAGAGCAGAGGAAAGAGGAGTAATAAAAGAGAATGAGCAAGTATTAGGTTATCAAAATAATAATGATCATAAGTAAACATCAAGAAGATATTTTTGGCTAGAAAATATGTATTTTCAAGACCAAAGAGTATTATTTTCAATTAGGATTGTTCTTTAGGAGTTAGTTTATAGGAGTATCTCAGTAAAAATAAATGCGTCACAATCTTTGGAAAAAGTTGATAGGCGTAGCCTCAAGGACTGGTCCAAGAGGGCTGAAAGTTTCTCAGATTTTCATTTTACATGTGTTAATAACTGTTAGAACTTGTTGGACTTTTTTTAAAGCATGAAAACAGCCTCATCTTAACAAAATCATTTTCAACAAACAACTCTCCTAATTAGCCAGCTGTTTTCCTAATACATAAAGAGCTGGCGTCTTTTGCTTAGCTTGCATACTTACGGACTGACCAAGTTAAAATGTCATGTGGTTTGAACACACTGAATGGTGTGACGTTAACAAATAAAAATGATGAAACAAAAAACATAATGGAATTGATTCTTTTAAATTACACATACCCTTGAGAGTCATAGACAAATTCCATTTTAAACACTTCAACTTTGTGAATCGTGACAGCCACTTTTGCAACTTGGAAATATTCATTGAGTGTGCGACTGAAGGAAGCGATATCATCAGATAAAACTGAAACATTGTTCTGTGAACTGGCCATCTGTGAAAACCGAAAACGTCATTAAATGATTAATAAAATTTCTAACTTTTATATCAACTTCGTACCCATTTGAAATGAAAAAAAAATTGGATAATTTTCTATCTCTTTCTCCTTTGAGGAAATAAAATTTTAATTAAATGTATTATGTAGTTCAGACTAAGTTAAATTTCTTAGGTTTCCACAACCAGGCCTGTCTACTAACATCCTCAAAAAATATAATGTTTTTTAAGTGATTTAATCAATCTTTTTCTGATAATCAGAATTCGGTACCTTCTCTTTAAAAATGCCATTACTTTTCAGGAACTTTTGTGCCATGATTTGCAGTTGATTTTTTTCCACAAAAGAAGTTTCGAAAAATTTGAAAAGAACAAACCAACCCTTACTTCCCTATTTTATTGCTTTTGTTGGTACTTCCATAAAAAAATTAGTACTTTCTGTGGAAATTTTCAGACTGGAAGCTATCTGGCATGACTGACAACTACATTCACAAGTAAACGCACAACATTCAATAACGATGAATATTTTCTCCTCTCTCGTCTTCATAATAAAAACTCTAATTCCGCAGACAGATGCATTTATGCTGCAAATTTCAAAAATAAATTGACTGAAGAATTATGCAATTTAATTTTTATATCATATGCAATACATTAATGTCCGCTGTAAACAAATGATACTTGATGCTGAAATATTACATGTTAAAGTATCAACTCACCAGAAATTGTCCCAAGCGAGTTTTAGCCCCTGTTTTAGGATTGTACTCAATTGGATACTTCAGCAGATTTTGTCCACCGATTCGACCAGAGATGGATATAGGACGGAAATTACTATCATATTCATACATTATTTTGGCATTATTCAGCCCAGTTTTAGGGCCATAGGTTATTCTTTCTTCCACAAGAAGTCCTCCAGAGTATTGAGAGTCACACCGGTACTCAAAGTCTTTTCCAAAGTGTACAACTTGACTTGGTAATCCTGAATCTGCCCAATAGTTCAGAGTCGTTTTACCATCACCATGAACAATCTGAGAACATAACAAAAGCATTTATGTTAATCATAAAAATGAATTGCACAGTAATAAAGTTGTAATAAAAAATACGAAAGATATAATAAAAAAGAATTGCTCAAACATTAAAACAAATTACTTTGGAAGAGAGCAAGGAGTTTTAAACATTTAGAAATCTGCAGACCTCTATGAAAACACATATGTATACCGTAACATCCACAGCATCAGTGAGTCAATTCCAAAATTTGCTTAATTTTTTCAAGCGCACATTTAATGATAAAGTTTTAAAAAAAAAAGTGTAATTTAAGGCTTTTTTTGTCTTCCTCTTTTCCCTCCCTTCAAACCTAATTATGGCCTGATTTTGAAAACTTACGCGCAAAATTTAAAAAAAAAATTAAAATCAAGCATTCTTCAAGGCCGCATGAGCCATGATATAAATATTATGAAGGGACTTACCTCTGCTAGCTGTCCGGATGGATGGTAACGGTAGAGCACTCTTGCACCATCACCTGGATAAATGGTCTGAAGTAAGGCTCCAGAGTAGCTGAACTGCTGTAAGTATGCTTTATTGGTGTCTGGAGGTGTGTACGTATACCTGATGAAACCAAGGGACGGCTGAATGTTGAAAATATGCCTTGTTCCTGAAGGCAAACTTACATAGCGTAAACCTCCTTCTTCATCGTATCCATAGCCAAATTTTCTTCCAGTTGGAAGTTGGATTCGTGTCAACTGTAAAAAAAAGGGTTATGTTTTACTTAAAAATTAAAACAACAATATTCAATGAGTGAGTTCTAACTTATTTCTATTCTCGGGCGTTCATTACTCATCAGTCCTTTTGCATTAATGAAATATATTCTGGAAATGCTTTTCAGCACTCATGGGTCATTCAAACATTACGCAAGCCATTTTGGCCGACTTGTTCACCCATCTTTTTTTCTTGTATGACACTCGTGAGACAACTTCTTAACTCCCCTTTGAATTGTACGTATGACGTACCTGGCCTCCTCCCCATTTTTGGAGAATAATAAGAAAAGCCAAGAAAATGGGTGAAAAAATTACTTTTAACGGGAAACAGTATTTTCCTTTTTTCAAAGCAGAGTGTTTACCTTGAGACCCACCTCTTAAGGTAAGCTCAGACCCTCTCCCCCTTAAGTTGCTTATGCAATACTAAAATAGCCCCTCAGATATAAAATTTCTTTTATAGCATTTTTAAGGAGGGGACATTAATTCAATCGTTTTGTACTTTTACAACTGCAATCCTTTTTTTATGATTTCAGAGTTTTAAAGCTATGGCAATCTTCAAAGGCTATTTTAGATGTGCGCAGAGGAGAGAACTTGTCTTATGCTCTCCTTGAAATTATTTGTTAGTGTGTATGAGCCTTTTATATGCAAGTTTTTCAGAACTTGCGGGCAAAAAACAGACTTCTTCCTGGCTGTTGAAACTAGCATAAAAATACCTGATTTTCCAAGTTTTTCACATCTGTAGATATCCTGATCATTTACAGTTCATAAATTGAAATTGAGGAAACGTTTATAATTACTCACCATATTTTTATCATTGAAAGTAAGTTGAGTTGAGCCAGCTGGATGCGATTTTATCTCTGAAAGTAAACCATGATGATCATAGCTGTAGTTTTCCGATTGAACGCCCCACTGCCACCGTTCAACACGGTTGAATCTAAAAAATAAAACAAGTTATTTCAATAAGGGGGTAAAAATTTTAAAACAAAAAGTTTCTTGTTTTAATTCCTGTGAAAATTCAGAATATCACACCTAAAGAGAGGATATCGAGTTTAGAAGAGACATGGTCTGTAACTACCTTGCGAAGGAATTTTCATAAGAGTTCCTCCAGGAAGTCCTCCTTTAAAATCAATACGTTGGAAATTATTCTTGTTTAGGTTCTGATTAGAAAAGTAGAATTCTGAACTCAGCTGCAATTTGGAAAGGCATGAAAGTATCAGCCATAAACTTATATCTAGCTTTGGCATTTATTGATTGAATAGTTGGCATTTAAGCAGTTATAAGAGTAGTTTGTACCTGTCATAGGATATATTGATGATGGGAGAAATCTGTCCAGGTTTCCATGATACCGGTTGCCGCACATTGTTGTAAGAGATGGAGAGGAGTGGAAGCTTATCAACATCGTAAATGGTTTCCTGACCTGTACTGAGCTCATACTCAACACTTAATATCTGACTGTTGTTAACCTAAGACAATGGAAAAACATTGAAAGAATGCATTAAAATATAATGGATATTTGAGGGGGAAAAATATTTTAGGACTGAAATATTTATAACTAAAAAATTAAATGGCAATGACATTTTATTGTATCATGAAATGCTGAGAAATTTTTTGAATACCATTCGGTCCTAGCCTAATGCCACTGTTGCTGCCATTGTTGCTGCCACTTCGATGAAATTTTATGTAAATGTGATTTTTAATTGCGCATTAGTCCACTCATTTGCCTGTTCTGAAAATGTTGATTCTTTGAATTATCACCAAAAAAAACTGCAAACCAGTTGGCCAGTTTCGAGAAGAATATTGACCCCAAAAAGTAGCAATTTTTCATGCTTAGTCAAATTAGTTAAGCTAAGGCTTCCTCTCTGCTTGATATCAATGTTGAAGTGTATCATTGGAAAAAATTAGGGGAAGATGGTAATTGACAGCTATCGCATTTTCCAGTTAATTTTTTGGCCTCATTTACAAAAACTTGCCAACTGGCAACAACTTAAATCGATAGGAGTCGGCACATCTGTTACTGACCCTAATCTCAGTCGTCAATGAGGTATTATGGTGGAGTAAAGCAAAAGTTCAACAAACAGTGTAGGATACTTGACATTAAGAGAAAGATCGAAAAAGGAGATTGTTGTAACTACTGAACTTACGATTAACTGCTTTAATAAAGTTTTTTGGCTAGTGGAGCCTTTGCCGATAAGACCATACTTCCAGTACATGTTGTTGACGAGTGAACCTCGAGTTACTGATTGATGACTCCACAAAGGTAATAACTCAGCCTCGGTGGGTAAGGAGTGCTCCAAAAGAGGATGCCGAGCTAGCGCAGAGCATTTGATGTGCTCGCCATACCGAGAGCGGATGGAGAATGAGCCATTTTGATAGTTAATAGCTTCAATATCACCTGTCAAACCTACAAATAAAACAGCCATTATAACGATTAAATACTTAGCCCAATATTGAGATAAAAAATTAAGCTAAAATATTAGATAAATATAAGAATGCATCCTTGCTTTCTTTTGAAAAGAAGGGGCAGAAAAAAACACAGAAAATCGAAAACATGCAATTCTGCAGCTCTTAGAAATCATTTCTATGTATTGAGGTTTGGCTTCCCAAATTTTTATTTTTTACTATGGTTATAACTAGAGATCTACCAAGCCTTTTCCCAAAAATTTTCAGCAACTAGCAGTTAACTATTTCTAAGTGCGTCTGATGCTCCAAAAATTCACTATTATGACCAGGCATTTGAGGCGCCTCATGAGGTTATGCTGTACAGCATCGACTCGTAGCTTCAGCATCAATGCCGTATGCCCAGGTAGCGGCCGTTCGGGCATACGGCTCCGAGCCTGATGCGCTCAACCTGCCGGCCGCCGGCTTCGGGCATTGAAGCCCGATGCTGGAGAGCCGACCGAGCCAGCCTCAAGCGCTGATGCTGAGGTTTGATGCTGGCTCAGGGACCAACATGGGCCTCAGCCTCTGAGGCCGGACCGTCGGCTTGCGGCCCGATACGGCCTTAATTTTCGGACCCGCCACCCAGCTTAATTACCGACGGGGCTGTCCCAGAAGACCGCGACCCTCGGACTCGGCGATGAATTCGCGGAACACCCCTTTGTTTACGTTTCCCATTGGCGCGGTGGCCCACGCCGGGGCGCTGGCGTCCGACGCGTCTGCTAATTGAAGCCGCTAATTTTGATGCTGGACTCGGCATCAAAACTGATGCAGCATCAGAAAAGGAGCCGGGAGTCGGCTTCACCAGGTGAGGCCGCCTCAACGGCATATGCGCTCCCCCGGCGCACTGATCGAAGCGGCATGAAAGTCCGCGCCGGGCCTCCGCCTCGCGCGCCGATGCGGCTCCGTTTATGATGCTCCCTCAAACCTCAATGACCCACAGCTTTTATTTTGGAACGACACCTCTCTGAGCAGAGCTCCCATCTTTGGGTTGGGTCACATTACGGTCAGCAGACTGGAGAAAAAACTAAAGAATGGCTCTAAAATACATTAATTTTGGAAATTTCCTGGCTATTAAAATTATTTAAAGCTCTATCGAAATATTCTCTCGTGCAAGGGATGAGAAAAAAGGAGAAGAACGAAAGAAGTTATTATTTATGTGAACTTACCATCTTTGAGAATGATTTTCTTGTGAGTATGGCCTTCCATTTTGATACCGAGCCAATGCTTTGAATCAGCAGTGAGATTATTCACAACTTGTGATTGAGTGAGGGATGTGACTTTCACTTCGAGTTCATCTGTTGTCGAGAAGTGGGATTTGAATTTGAGTGTTTCACCAGTTGGCAGAATGACTTCATACACTCGTCCAAACTCGTTGTAATGGTACAAGAATGTTGCACCTCCCTATACGGAATAATTAAGAGAATATTGTAAAGAAGATAAAAGGAAATTAAAAATTCAGATTATTACAGGAACAGGAAAAGTCTGAATTTTAATAATGTTTCTGTTCAGTCTTTTTGAGCGGTCCTTGCTGATTGAAAACACAGGATAGTTTAAAACTTCATTGAAGTTTTATGCATAGTATATATTCAATATAGATAAATGTTATTGATATAGCATTCTGGAAAGATATTCTTTCTTCTTCCAGTTTATAATCCTATCAAAATGATGATGTAACTTTTCTTTTTTGTTTCTTGAGACATTTCCTGTGAAAATGTCTTGCTTAAACTGCTGATTTTGCTGCCTACTAAGGTATTCCTTCAATCAATTCTTCTTTTCTTTTTAATTCATCTATATTTAAGTGCTGATTCAACAGCACAGCAATTTATTATTGCAGTTTAATTCATGAATAAAGAATGATTCCTAAAAACTTGCTGTGACTCACCCCTGAAGTTGGGTCTGCTTTGCTGGTCAATAGGCCTGTTTCACTGTCATAATCCAGGATAACTTCAGAATGACCCTTATCAGAGAATTTAATAAGGTAGCCAACGGGTGATATCTTCAAATCTGATTTGTGATCTTGGGTATTTTCAATGGCACTGACCTGTAAGTATAAAAAATGTTACATTTGATGTAGCTTACCTTTTCCACAAAATACTTGTATAAGGTGTAAAAGAAACAACAAAGCATTTCAGCTCCAGCATTGTATCTGCTTTGGAGCTGAGTTGTTTCATCATCAATTTATTATGGCATGTTTAATCATGATAACCCCTGAAATTTACAGATACAATTCCCTACTTTACCATATTTTCTATGAGTCTGAGAACATCGTTTTAAAAAATTCCCTAATTTTTGTTACTACAGGATAATAAAATATGTAATACTAATTTTAAGATTTTCTGATCCAAATAGAAGATAAGCTGAGTTACATGATGATACACTTAAAAACTGCTACTTCCATGAACGCAAAATTTCCTGGACTTTTGGGACCTTCTTCCCTTTTTCTTCGACTTTTTCTGATTTTTTTGAGTTCTCACGCACTGCACATATTAAGCATAATGAGCTTTTAACATTTACAGCTGACCTGGTTTTGTAAAACTAAGAAAACGCTCAACTTACAGTCCATTTGGCCTTCCCCGTGCCCCCCCACCCCATGCGAATTATCTCCGTATCATCCTCCGTAAGTACAGGAATGACGCTCATGCTCAGTTTATCAAGTGGTGGGTTTTTAATTTACAGCTACAAAAAGATGCCAGATCCAAGAACCTGGAGCCAAAAGAACAAGAAAATATTTCTTACTGTGTCACTGTAATCCCTAAGGAACAGTATTTTGTTGCCGGATGCATCTGTAACGGTAGACAGCTTGCCAAAAACACCATTCTTTGAATAGAAGAAAGAGTATAATGTTTTTCCAGTGGAAATTTCATTAGTTGCGATATGTTGACCAAATCGGTTGAAGACGTACATCTCTCCAGCAGCAGGATACGGAATACGATATTCATTTTTATCATCTTGAGTTGGCAAAAAGTATTCAAGGGCAAGAATTTTTAGATTTCCCTGAAAAAAAGAGGAAAAAACCATTACTTTAGACATAAAGATAAAGTCGTAAAACAGTTAAGGTGAGGTTAAAATCCCATTAACAAAGTTTATTAATTTCTAAATCATAGGCTGCATTCTAGAAATCAACTTATTATAAACCAGTTTAATCAGTTGTGCATCAAGGCGTTCTTGGGACCGGTGAATTATAGACAATTCATCAAAGCCTCTTTGAAACTCAGATTGATGGTAATCTGATGATATATAATGGGTCGACTGGATCTATATTGGATCCATAAAGATCCATAGTGCTACAGAGGTGGATAAATCTAATATAAACACACCTGGACAGTGTTGCATGATGTAAATAACCTTCAAATTTAAATTTAAAAAAAAGTGCAGAAATTTGGTGTTCTTTGTACAAGTCTCCTGATTTACGAAGCACCATTCTAAGCAAGAATAGTTCTCGATGAAATTATAGTATTGATGGGATACCCTTAATTTTTTTTCATGGGGTACATTGAGAATGACTTTCAGGGAGAATAAAAATTGAAAATACTTCTAAATCTTGCCGGAATGCAATGAATAATATTTTTTTCAGGGTTCTACTTAAAAAAATTATTAAACTATTTGTTTTTTCCTTGTTACCTGATCTGCAACATTGAGCACACCATCTGGTGAGACTGTGATAGCTGAAATGACAGAGAACTGTACATTGGTTGAGAGTAATGTTCCTTTTTTGTCGAGTGGAGATGGGCACAGACAACTATTCTTCCTAGAGCTACTGCAGTCGCATTCCCTGAAAAAAAAACCAGAAAAACCCAAATTTGAGGCAACATATTATAGCAGATAAAGTACAGCTCCTCAGCTTTGATGCAGTTTTTGGTATGTGACCCATGTTTTCTTTGCTTCTACTTTTCCTACCTTTCCATCACATAAGCGTTTTCTTGCAGTGATTCTGCTCTAAATCTAATTTTTGCAAGTGCCACGAGAGCTCCTAAATTAGGTTCCATTATATTTTTATTCTTCTGAAAAATCTTTTTCTTTCAGAGCCAGTAACCTGAAAAACGCCTAATCTATTCGGAGATCATCTTGCAGTAAAAAAGAAAATAAGTCAACCTTCCATGATTACAACACTATTATTTGAAATGAAATCATCAAATTTCAAAGTCTTTTAAAAAAAATTTTTGAAAGTTCTTAATGTTACACTTTTTTTAATTTGTTTAATTTTCCCAATTTGATTTGAATTTAAGTTGAAAGAAAGTACTTACAATTTCTTTGTTCTACTATTATGGCCTGCAAAATTATCCATCCTTCCAGCTGAATCAACGATCCTTATTCCATTCACTTTTTGCGAGTCACTGTCTGCAATGAATAACTGACCGGATGGGCTGAAAGCTATTGACAGAACTGCGCCAAGCGAAATCCCTGTGGCCTTGGATTCTTTTGCAGACGACTGAAATTGAGAAAAACTAACTCAATGCAGAGGTCAAATAGATACAGTCATGGAAACTTTCTCATTAGACTATTGCGTTCATAGGTGTCCTGATTTCTGTATTGCTGATCTCTAATTTTGTTCTTGAGATAGCTTGTTAACTCAGCAATCACAAGTGAGGTACAACCTATTACATTATCTTCTATGCTCTTCCATCTTCATAATTATTGGACAGATTAAAATGATTTAAACTAGAAGTCAACATATATTTTTCAGTGATGTGAAAAATGAGAAAACATGACTGAATGCGGTAAACAGCCACTAAAAAATGGTTGTTTGCAAAAGTCAAAGCTTGACCAATGACCTGTTTAAATATCAGAAACTTTTCAAGCCTTGAGAAAATAATTTAAAATCAAGCATTTATTAAAGTTATATAAACAATGGATTGCCACCAGACTTACGAAGAACCTTTTAAACTATAAAGCTTCCAATTAAATAAGTGCAAAGAAAAACTCACCTCATTGGATGACAAAGCTGCATCTTTGGGCTGATCAATAGATCGATGGTTTTTATTACAGTGGAGAGGAATTCCAGCCACTACTTTGACTTTCAAGTCAGCTGTCAGCTTAAGTACCAAACGATCGTCAATGAAATGTAAACTACCATCTAACGGACTGAGAGCTAAGCCAGTTGGCCACTGCAGCTGAGCCTAAAATCAAGGATGGTTCCATTACAAAAAACACAAGCAAGAAAGGCTGGCATGAAGACTTTATTTCTCTGCAGCAGCTAAAGACAGACCGGTCAGCTTTCTCTGACCTTGCAAAAGTTTGAAGGGAAAATAACCCATTTCCCAAGTAGCAGTGATCGCGATAAATAGCGATTTTAATGGTTGGTTATCGTGATTATATCGGTGGCAATATATCAAGATATTATCGCATTAAAAATTGCTATGTACAGCGATTAAAGCGCAATTTTTGGTTCGATAAAATGGTGATCAATTTTCGTTGATAAAAGCAAGATGAAATTGCCATTTATCGAGATTTTATTTCGAAAATAACGCGATAAATTGTCGGGCAATAAAAGCACAATTTTATCACCGTTGAGAGATGCTACTTGGATCATGTTTGATTTACCAATGAAAGGCACTGAAAGTGTCAGGTAAAACCTGGATATATTTTGAGTTCTCAGAATTAAGTTTGAGAAGAGATTTCAGTGAACCTGAAATCAAGTCTCTTTCGTGGGTCAAAGATAAAGATATGTGATTAATTTTTTAAGCATACCTTCTGACTCACATGAAAAAGGATCAAACCTAATCCAAGGCCAAGTTCTAGATAGTTTTTTTTTTTTTTTTTTTTTTAAAAAAAANTAACTACTACAAGTGTTTCTTGTATCTATCTACGTGGCTTAAAACTAAAACTTAACAAACTGCATTAATTTTATATGTTAACGTTAGATAATACTATGATTATCTAAAGGAACAGGAATTGTAAATTCTCTGCCTTCTTTCTTAAATTCTAGATAGTAAAGCTTGATTTTTTACGGGAATAATTTGCAGTGCCTTTTTCCATAAGCTATAATTGCTTTTCTAAATCTAGCAGGCTTCAACTGCATTATGAACATTTATCAAATAATGGTGATGAATGACCTCTAAAGGTTACAGCAAACAAAGAGGTTGCTGTAAAAAGAATGCAGGGAAAAAAGTAATGATAAAAAAATACAGCATACTTCATGTGCAAGAATGGAGCCACGACATGGTATTGGCTGCCACACATTGTGATGCCCGTGATGTCCAATTAGAGTATGAATAATTCCGGCAGGGTCTACTGAACGTATGTTTGTCCCATCCGCAATGTACATGGTTCGATCAGCCGAGATAGCAATTCCTGCAAGTAAAAATTGTAGAGCTATGAATAAAAGAGGCATCCTGAAAACAATGAACAAAAATAACTTCTACCCTAGTTTTTCAGCCAGAGATTACATCGAAGGAGCAATTTTTTTGGTGCAAATTGGTGATCAAGAAAAGTGAAACACTTAGAGAAGTATGTGAATTTGTTAACTTGAAAATCAAACTAACAATAATGAATAATAATAGTTAAAACCGAATCTACCATCTCACAGGAAGCATTGCCCCTGATGTTTTGATCAGCTTACATAATTTGAAGCCTTTAGATCAGTATTGGCTAGCACTGGCAAACAGCTTAATGTCTTCAAACATTCACGACACAGTAAGAAATATACTCCAAGATTTTTAAGGCAGAATGTTGCTTGAACTTCTGCTAAACACAGAGAACACGAGAAAAAACTGGGCCATCTTCACAACAGACATTTTATTGGGAGGAAATTTTTAAGAACAAGATAAGCTTATATTCTTGACTGTAAAACTTGCAATGCTTGTAAAATCATTAAATACTGAAAGGTCAACATGTAAAAATTGACAGAAATAAATACCTTTTGGATAAGCCAGTTTAGCAGCAAGAGCTGGCCCTTCATCACCACAATTTGTTTCGTCTCCAGGAATACATCTTTCTCCACTTCCAATAGCAGCTTCCCAATTTATATTTGGGTCTGGCACTGGGTCCAGACTCAGAATACGCAAAATTTGATGTCGTTCCGGGTCAGAGATGTACAAGTGACCATCCGCAGGAGATATGCTTAAATGGTATTGATAGGAGACTTGTGATGCACTAGAAAAAAAGTATTAAGTTTCAGTGCTCAGGTACCAAAAAAGATACCTCTACATTTTTGTCATGTAAAATTTCAATGGCAAACATGTCAAATAAATTAATTAAAATGATTTAATTTCATTTTAATTTATAAATGATATTAAAAAAATGTCAGATAAAAAGGGACATTCTGAAACCCATTTGACTTCTTCGACTCGAATTCTGAAAAGAAGCAGATGAAAATTTGGTGATGAGAGCTATGCACAAGCTTAAATAAAACTTAAGTTGTAATATTTACAACGATTAAGGCATCGGTTAAAAACCAGAAACTAAAACAATTGCAGGTACATAGGCAAAGATACAGGGCCCAAAACTTATCCCAAATTCAAAATGATACCTAAACTTAAAACTGACACATGAATTGAAAAGTAGTTGATGTACCTCAAGGGCAAAAACCCTCATATTTAAGGAGGATTCGGATAATTTTTTGGACATAACCTTGGGAAAAACAAATATTTGAATAGATCCGAAAAGATAATGGAGGTCTTCCAAACCTGCTGATTCATTGAATTTCATTATGTAGATTTGTAGTTTGTCGGATTATTTTAAATTTATGTTAGAAGTTTACGCTTTGATTTCGTGAGCTACTTTGAAGCAATAATCCAGTTAAAATGATGCCATTGAAGAAAGCACCTCTAAATGCAAATCAAAATAACATAATGGCTTTTACTCGACATAAAACGCTCATAGATGGGCCACGGGTTCAAATGGTTTTTTACCGCTGTTTTCACCCTATCCTCTTTGAGGCAGTTTCTTTTCCTTTTTCCCTTTCGGAAATTATGCGAAAATAATAAGCCCATCAACAATGAAAGCTTAAGTAAATAGAATGAGTCTGTCAAAAGTAAAAACAAACACACCTCAATTGAAGAACAGTGTAAACCTTCCCATCGGGTGTAAGCCGTCGAATCAGATTGAAATCTCCGATGTAGAGGCTCCCATCAGGACCACTGGTGAGAGAGACTGGTGTTAAAAGTCTTGCATCTTTAGCCAATCCATCACAATCTTTGCATAATAAAGGCCGCTGAAGACCAGTGCCCATCATGGTTTTGATCATTCGAGGGAACTGATGTTTAAAATGAACGATAGAGCCATCTCCTTTTTGCAAAATACCTGTGAAACAGCAAAAAGTGATGCATTTCTCCAAGAATATATTCCAGGTAAAGAGGAAAATTTGCGAGCAATTGAAAATTCTGAAAATTTGATTAACACTGGAATAAAAAGCATATTTAATCAAGTTGCTTGTGTATTTTTAGTACAGGCTGCATAAAGTTGTGATTCTTCAAATTAAAACTTTTGAAAAATTTAAAAAACTCACGCATTCACTTGATGATTATTTATCGGATGCGTTTTGGTGGCCCGGGTTCTGAAACGCGAAAAACCGAAACGCGTCAGATAAATAATCATCAAGTGAATGCGTGAGTTTTTTAAATTTTTTAAAAGTTTTAATACAACAGCTTTTAATGTTTATAAAATTTCGATCGTTTTATTAAAATTCTTCAAATTGTTCCTGAAAAAATTTCTTAGCCCTTGAATGAATTAAAAAAGATTTCAAATGTGACGATTTAATTTACATGACCTGGCAGAGAATGAAAAAAGTTTATCCTTGTTAGACACCAGAAAATGTCTTAAACTAGGATGATAATATTTATCAAAGCAGAGGCAAATTGATAGAAAAATGGTTTTTAGAAGAGTGATATTCACTGTAGTTTTGGATGAGAGCTATCGTCTTCAGGATAAGTAAGGAATACGTAGGCACAGTGCAATGGTATACATCACAGAAAACGGTCTCTTAATTGACGTATTTCTTGATAAACAGCCAGAAAAAGTGAAAAAAATTAAATAATACATTGTGTGCTTGAAAAGTAGTCAAAATAAAGGTACCTTCATTGAAATTATAGTGATGATGCACATCTAAACTCCAGCCGCCAACATCAGAGATATCAACATCAAATGCTTGCAATGTGGCAGTCTGAGTTTCCCAAACAATTTGCTTGCAAGTCGAATGTTCATATCCAATGGAAACTAATGCTTGAGCAACTCCATAAACCTGCAAGTAAAATTTTAGGGACTTATAATACATCCTTGACATGTACTTGGTGAGTTCTTGCTTGCTCACAAAATGTATAACTTCCCAGTAAAATTGTCAAGAGGTAGATTAAAATTTAGAGGGAATATTCTTGGAACCCTTGTGAATTTGTTCATCCAGCAAATGAATAATAACAGACATCTTCCCAGAAACGTCACACCTCCAAAAACTATAGTACACGAGAAAAAGTCCAACATTTAAAAGCCAAGGATGATAAAAGCTCAAGAATTAAGGACTGTGAAATATGTACCACAGGAGCAAATTATTGACTTAAACAAAATGCGAGACTCTGATTCGTCTAGAAACCTATGGTTATGACATTGTTTACATAGAGAAACTCATGGGACCAAGGTAAAAATTTGACTCATCAAGATTTCACTGTAAACAAACCTTCTGCTTATACACATTTCTTCTGTTCCATGCAAAGGTATGTGTCAAGTTGGGGTCTGCTTCATAGATCTTTGAGTGAACAAAACCCTCAATCTCAACACGAACATGTACTTTCACGAGGGATGGAGGAATTGATGAGTGAGTTAAATGCATAAGAAGAATTGAAAGGTAACCAGATGAGAGAGAGCTTCTATACATCAAGTGCAGTTCTGATCCAGGAATTTGTATGCTCTCTTGAAGCGTCTGCAAAAAAAAAAAGAGAAAAATTTAACATTTCAGAGGCGCGAGTCGTGTGCATTGAAAGATCTAGAAATGGAATCCTGAATGGGACTGATGAAAGTTACCAGTAAATTATAAAAGGTCCGAAACCACCAGGGATCAAACCCATGACCTCAGTGCTAGCAGCGAACTGCTTCGGCCAGTACTTTACCACGGCGGCTTTCAGATGGATATAATAGTGATTGCTTGCTGACCATTATTTGTTGCGAAATGTTTAGAGAAAAATGAGCATGTAAAGGGTACAGTTTGAGCTGACCTCACCATTTAAAAAAAATAATATGTTCATAATTCAAGTAAACAAAGTCAGATCACAAACTGGCTTAGTTTTAGAATCAGACCACCTGATATAGTACTTATTGCGTCATATACTGCGCAGTATTTCTTGACGAAAAATTTCTTCACTTATTTCCTCTTTGATCATGCAATATTTGTATGTTCGGAGTACCTACGACTCAAGAAGCCTACATTGGCAAACTGAAATCAACAGACAGGAGATTGAGCTGAGTAGACCAACAAGATACTGAGAGCAACTTAGTGCAAACTTCCGGCTAAAAAATTTGTCGACTCTCGTTTTTTACTTTTTTCAACTGTTCACCAAAATTTGCATTTTCATTATACTCGTTTTTCTAGTGCTAAGAGAATATATACATAACAACACATTGCATAGAACAAATTAATTCACCTGTGTTTCTGCAAAAATCAAACTTCTTCCTGGCATTCCGCCAACTTTCTCTGGCATCCAAGTTGACATGATAATCGGGGTTAGCAGCTCTTCGTCATGCTCTACGCATGGCCCTGCCATGTGCAAAGCAGTTGCAAGCCCAGGAGCACCTAGAATTGATAAAAAATAAGAATGAATAAGTAAAAAAGAACAAAATTGGTAGTTTTTTCCAAGGAGAAAATAAAATTAAAAGACCAGCTTTCAAAATTAGCCACATTCAGAGGCTTCCACAAAAATACACTCTGACTACACCTGTTCTCATACAATTCGTCACCATTTCTCACCTTCTTAAGGTTGTCTTAAGACGTTTGCCCCCCATATCTCATCACCAAAGTTTAGGATAAAAATTAAAGAGGCTCTAATTTACAGTGAGGTATGTAGTACTTTATTGGTCAGACATGCTTCAGTCAAAGATGCTTTTCAGTTAAGTTTTGCCCTTGTTTTTCTTCTTCTTTTGCTTCAAAAGCAAGGAGAAAACCGAGTTCCGGCAACTATTTCTCACATGTGCCAAGAACCGGCGACCAGCCCCCACCCCTCACAGCTGCAAGCAATTGATAGAGACATCAAGAAGGCCACACGCACCTGGTACACCCGAGATTAAGGCATGCTAGATGGTTAGCAGCGCGCAAGTGGGTTCAGACTCTGATTAAAAATCTTCGCACCCCCCCCCCCCCACCAGTCCTCTCGCAGGTATGCAAAGGCAATGGTGAACATATCTCGCAAAAAACCCCTGGCTGCTAAAAGAGCCTTGAGCCTTGTTATTAACTTAACCCTGCAGAGCGCTTGCTAGTCATCCAGGAGTATCAGAGCACCTAGACTGGATGACAAGCTTCGACCACACTACAACTTCATTGAGAAAGCGCTGAGCACTTCCAACTCAAGATCCCTGGGTATATAATTTCTTGTTCAAAGTGACTCACTCATAAAATTTTGTAGAGCCCAAATACTTAAATTTAAGTAGATCATGTTAATGACTATACCTAAGGCTAATGCGGATGGATTTTCACTATTCTCTCGGTACAGATCCGTATCATCACTAAGCTGCATAGTAATGGGAGGAAGGACAACGATTTGATTCCATGGGACAAAGACTGTCCGAGTGAGAGGCTGAAAAGGACTACGTTGAAATTGCAAAGTGACTGCACCACCACCGTTGACCAAAACATCAAACCTGCAATGATATGAAAAAATAAGTCACATTTGCAAAAAAAAAATCTTAAATGGAAAATACATCTTCGCCTACGATCTTTTCATGGCTTTCACTAGTTTTGTCCTTGGAAAAATAAGTTCTCGACTGAAAAGCTTGATAAAGCAATCAGTTGCAGAAAAAAGTCGTTCTTTCAAGAAAATTGGTATAAACATTCAGTTTTCCTAGCTGAATCTTTAAGGAACAAAAACAACATTTGTGACAAGGTAAAACATTTAAGATGTTTCTTTTCCTTCCTCAAATCTTGGATGTGCTAATAGCAAGAACAATTGAGTACAAAATTTTTGGACTTTCTCATTTTCTGATTTTTCCTGGATTTACAAGAGCCATGAGTGCCTCGAGTATTCTCTTTCTTTCTGGGATTTATAGAGAAGAAACTGCATTTTTCTTAAATTTTTGAAAAAAGTTGATTGATTTCTTTGTCTTTTGAATAATTCTGTCAATACAGACCTCAACATTTATAGAGCATAATGGTGTCAAACCTAAAAGAAAACAATTCTTGGTGTTTAAGACCAGGAATTTTTACTCTGATGTATTCGGTATTTTCCGATTCATCCACGTCTTTGGCAACATTAAATGGGAACTTTCACCTACAGGGTCAAAGTTTCCACATATTGACCTCTTAATCCCTGAAGCTAGAGCTGACAAGCTCTTCAAGGCAAGAGGAAAAGCAGTTACAAGGAGCTAAGCACTTACCATCCACCTGCTCGAGTCAAGGTAAAACCAAATCTGGAATTACGGTCAACTGAAACTCTGATACCAATGATACCAAGACCTTGAGGCGACAAAACTTGACCTCTCATGACAGAGACACGCCTGAAAATAATTGGTTAACACCATTTTATTTATGATTTTTACTTAAACAGACATTCAAAATACATACAGAGAGGGTACGTATTCAATTGATAAAAGATATATTCATTGCTTGGTTACGTAAAATCCACTTAGATATTGTTTCCCGAGACATGGGACAAGACATGAAAGACATATCATTATATTTAGAAGAGGGAATTGATGAATCTTATTGTACTTAAATCATTAATGGAGCTTATAACTTTCCAATTATTTTAAAAATATGGTTACCAATCGAACTTCAGGACGCATATTCGGAATTTGAACATTATTTAACGTTCACAGCACATTTGCTGGGTGATGAAATTCACAGTAATAATTTAAGAGAAAAGGAGAAATAATGAATGAAAGACAACACAAGTTATATTGAGCATGGGTAAACAGACAAATAAGACAAACACGAACGGGTAAGAGGAAGGGAAAAGCAGGGGCACATGAAAGACGAACATTTACAAACGTATCACATGACATTAAGATGAGTAGGTACTGTTTTGAGACACAGAACTGAACCAACTGAAAAAATGAGCAAGCTACTACCATTTAAAGTGGAATATAGTTGAAACGCGGAAAATTTAGTTCAAAAATACAGTTGAAAATTTGGTTGATGTAGAGCTTAGTGCCTTAAAAGTAGACTGAGAGGAAAGTATAAACCAGAATGAACATTTGTTGAGTTTAGAGAAACAGTTTTTGAATTTTTGCAAAATTTTGATTGACAATTGGAAAATTGTCGTGGGAAAAGACACCTTGCTTTGTTGCAGTAATTTTTACAGGAGTTATTATGACTATACTGGAATTTGGCAAAGCTTATGATAGAGAAATGAGAAAGTAGCACAATGTATAATTAAGAAAGGAACTTGAGAAGAAGAACAAAATGTATCGATTCAAAAGAACTTTAAATCAATATATTCGAGTTAAAAAAGAAAAAGAAATAAAATAAAAATTGAAAAGTATTTTCGTTACTTTGATGAATCGAAACCTGGATGGTGTGCCTATGCAATGATACATGGCATGCATATATTAAAAAATTAAAAAAATGGGAATGAGATAGGGTAAATGATCAAAATAATATTAATTAAATTAAAAATATTATAAAAAGTTGGATATAATAATTACTTCATAACCGCATACTTCTGCTTTGCATTTCACATAATACAACAAATAAAAAATTTTATCAAAAGAAGCAAAAATGCGATTAGTTGCATAATTAAAGTTGAAATAAGTGCATTCATGAGGAATTAAATAAAAATGGTGGATTGGAAAGCTTCCAAAGGGAAATAAAAAAAAATTAATGAGAGAACCTTAAGTGCTGATGAAATTCTACCGCATGAAAATGTAATGATGCGGTTATTTAGAGGTACGAAGAGCTACACACACACATTCATTCTTTTAGGTCTCTCAGACGAAATTCGTGAAACAATGATTTTACTAGCAAAAATTGATTTAAAATAATTTAAACTCATTAGAGTATAAAAGGAAATATCACATTTCAGTCATAACACATTTATTGGGTAAATCTTCAGAATTTACTTTGCAAATGAGCTTTAAATTTTGAATAACCGATGAATATACTCAGGTTTCCTAGCAAGATTTGGATTTCTTGAGCAATTACTTTGAAGTCAAAAGACCAAAGACCGTTAAAATTTGATGATTAGAAAAACGCAGAAAAAAAGAGAGGAAAGGGGAAATATTTGGAGTATAAATAGGTCTTAGGTACCAATTATTAAAAGAGGGGGTGTTTTGGATAAAAAACAGTTGAAAAAATAAAAGAAACAATAATAGGCGTTCGTATTTGGAGAGATAAAATACTTGTATGCCTAAATATATACACAGTAAACTTATTTACACATGGGTTTGTGGGAAAATGGGAACTTAATTTTAACATTCAATTGGTGAAAACAGAATGCAGAACCGAGCGCTGTTTCAAAAAGTAAGTAACGAGCATTTGAGTTGATTTGGGAAACCAACTTACCGAGGAGTAAATGAAATCCAGAACTGACTACAAATAACGAAACAGAAAAAATAAATAAATAAAAATAAAAAATCACAAGACCCGCAGTAAGGACTGATTCAGGAGAAAGCTATTTTCTGGGCAAGACAAGTAATAATTTCTTTGTGCCATGATAAAAAAAAAAAGGAATTTGCAGCAATTTTATAACGTCTCTCTTTCTCCCTTTTCCCTCTCTTACTTGGTTCATTTCATTTTTTTTTCAAATTGTTTTCTTTTTGGATACTAGAATGTTACTGACAAGAGTAAATGATGAGCAATGATGGAGGTAAACTTGGTTGAAATTTAGATAAACTCTCCGGAAAATCTCATGTGAGAGAAATGTTGGAAATATTTGTGTGCTCATCTACTTGTAAAATAGGAAGCAAAAAATGGGATAAAAAATCGAAACAGCCTGATTGCTAAGTAATGAATTACTGTAAAAGAGAAAATGTGCCAAATAGAAAAAAATTGAGACTTAAAAGAAGAACACTCGATTAATAGACTTTGTAAGTGAAGAGGTAGGGTAGACAAAAAAAATTATAAGAAAAACACAAAAGTCAAGGGTCAAATACTATTGGAAGAGTATTGATGAGAAGTTGATATACGTCAGTACTTAGGTATTAAATACCTGTTTTGCAAAAAGGAACTGTTCATAATTTGACAGGCAAAATAAAAAAAAAAAAAAAATAATTACCTAGGTATATAAATTTAAAAAAAAACTCTTAAAGATGATGTTCAATGTTGAAAACAAATGTACTTGAGTAACTTTTTCCTAATCTGCACCTCAAGTTTGTGATTCATTGAGCTCTATTCATTAATTAAAGCTTCAAGTACTGGACCTTAAGAAATAGTGAAATATCATTATCCACGATCGATTTGGCCCTCATTCAAATTTCTGGATATATAACTGAATTTAAACTTTACTGGAACATTCAACAATTTTAAACATTTTGGTTCGATGAAATATTTGTTGAAAAATTTGGACTAATGGACAGTTGATATTTTGACTTGTGGACTCATCACCAAATATTAATCCTTCTGTGAAGAATTAAAGAAAAGCAGGAGGAACGTTCAGAATGTTAACGAGAAGAGCGAAAATTCGTGGGGACAGTGAAAATATGATCATTTGATCATGAAAATAACATAAAATAAATCCACCTTGGATCTACAGTTCATTTTTAGGCTTACAGATGGATGGACTTCAATGAATTGGCTGAGTAGATCTGCAGTTATTATATTCCGTATTCAAAAATATTTCTCCTTCTTATTCCTTGGCTTCAAAGAAATTACTTGCATATTGTTTTACCTTTGAAGATTAAAACATTTAAACTTGCTTGCATATCAACTAATTTGCATGTATGAATGGCATAAAAATTAGTTGATGCCAGAAACAATGCAAAAAACTTTCTCATGAATACGTCCACACAATAATCAAGTTTTTGTTTCAAGAAAATAATTTAAATGGTGTAATTTTGACTCATCACAACCAAACCATTATACAGAGTATGAAGAAATAAAATAAACAAAAAAAAAATCTCAAAGCGGATACACCATTTGAGTTCATGAGAATAAAATATTTCAAAGGGAATTATGTTCTCTCAGAAGTTTTTTCACTTTTTCACTCTCATCAATCGAGCATTAAGTGGGCAAAATTTTTTAATTCTTTTTTAAAAATAAAACTGACCAAGAGATAAAATAATTCAGTAAATGGAATTTAGATAAAATGGGAGGTTACAACAGAAAAGAAAAAAATAAGAGAAAAAAGAAATATCTTCCATGAAATCAGGGTATTAAAATTAACAAGGTGGAAAAATTTGGAGATTAAAAGGCAAATCCATGCAGACTGTGAAAGACCGAGGAAGGGATCTGAAAACACACTTCCATTCAAATTGCACACAAACTCCATCAGAATTTTTGTCGACAAATAAATGATACCAAAAATAAAATTAAGAAAATATAACAGACGATGATAATAATGTACAGGGTTCATGACAACCTTTCAGAACGAAAATTGAGGACTTTCAATGAGCGATAAAAAAATTTTCCACGCTACATATTCTTTCATTTTATTTTAATACCTCCTTACTTTTTGCTGGTTATCTAAAGAGGTAAGTGTATAAAGCACTTCAGACATTTCATCTATTTGACATTCAGAGGTATCATTGCAGAGAAAAAAAAGAAAGAACTTCCGAATGATGACTTAATATTTGAGCACGTACATTTATATAATTTTCCAATGATTACATAGAATCAGGAACTTGAAAATAAAAACAAATTCAAGTATGCTCGAGGACTTTTTAAAGCGTCACAAACCCTACCGTAGCTAAATTGTAACACCCTGAGCATAAAAGGCACAAAAGAAAAAAACAAAAACCCTCATGACAGAACAACAGAAGAGATGGGCAGAAAAGAATAAAAATATAGAAGAGTGGGAAAAAACCCAATGCTCTAGTAAAGCTGCACATGAAGGAAGGATGTTTTTCTGAATGAATCAAACTGCCTAAACTTGAAAGCAAAGCACAGTTGGAATAGAATTCGACCAAATAAAAAATCAAGAATATGTGGATCGAAGGTATTGCTTAAGTTATTAGCAAAAAAGTAAAGGTGCTTTAGAAAATTAGAATTGCAAATATTTAAATAGGTAAGTAACCAAATGAAGTGTACAGGGAGAGGAAGAGATAAGTCAAGTACATAAAACGCTATCCAAGCTGGGCAAAATTTCAATTTTGCTTGCTCAACCAAAGAAGTTTTAAATTGTTAGCGACAAACTGATACATCAAATCAGAAATGATATTTGCAATCTAATTTTTGCAGAAGTTTTTGTTAGCACATCTGCTAGAAAATTCAGGACTCACACTATTCAGACAACGGCTAGTGTTACTTGCTCCATTCTTCCCCTGTACTCCTCCAATGTTTACAAAGATAAAAGAAAAAATAAATTATAAAAAAAAAAGACTAACCAAAACAAAACTCAATTAATAACTCCTGATTACATCAAGTCCAGAGAAAAATATTGAAAACTTCGAGATCGTAATACAGAAAAATAAAGTAATGAGGGAAAGAGTCATAAAATTGAGGGAAGGAAGGACCAGATTAAACAATATTCACCACAACCACTAAAGAAATTCCAATGAAGAGGAATAGAAAATAAAAATTCTTGGACAGACCAAAGAAAATAAAAAGTTTGAGGAAATAAATTCTTAAGTATACACTTGGTCTGAAGCATAGAATTGGTATTTTCTGTGAGTCTAAGTCACAATTTGATTTTATTTCATTGAAATGGTGCAGTTTTTATTCATTTAATTATTAACTTCTGAAGATAATAATAGTGACTGGTACAATTTGAGCCAATAAAAGAATGATATATACACGGACACTGTATAATACTGTGCTGCAATACACAGAGGAAACAAAATAGATCGAATTGAAGACCAATAGGAGCGGGACTTTATTATTTGAACTAACTGATTTTTTTCTTGACCAAATATTTTTAGAATGAAAGAGTTAAACAGAGAAGACATTATTGTCCCCTCGCAAACATGGTTTGAAGACCACCATGAAATTTTCTGAATCAATTCAGACAGGTCTTTTCAAGCAAATTGGAAAACTAGAAATACGCTCTCTGCTGTCCTCACGACTGGGCTACCGGCCAACTACCAAAAATATGCAAAATGATCAGAAACACACAAAAACATAAAGCAAGGAGATAAATAAAAAAATAATATCTCTAAAAATGCGTATGAGAGATTTAGCGTCAAGATTATAACAGAGAAAATGAAATAAAAGTTCCTTTCTTAACTGTGCATAGAGAGTAAAAACAGCCAATATAGGGTTAAACAACTGAATGGTTAAACTAATAAAATAGGCGTTTGTTACTTCCTCATGATAGTAAGATTTAAAATCGCGATTCATGATAAGTAGTATTCTTCCCTCTCTCTGAAAACAAAAAAAAATCTCCCTGCCGAAAAAGTTGGGAAAGAAAAGAAAAAACCCGAATGAAATTGAGAGAGAAAACATTGAGCTTAGGATTTTAGAATTTAAGTATGTCCTGTTTCTTGTGAGCATACAAAACTGATACGTTTTGTTACAGAAAGTATTAGTTTAAAAAAACCACTCTCCACCCTATTATAGAGGCTAAGGTTCTTACCATGATGGACAGTGAATAAGTACTTTAAAATTCTGGATATCTGAGTGATAATAATTCAAATGATTTTGAGAGATTCGGATTCACAAACCATTCAAGAGGGATGAATACACGATGAGAGAGACACAGTGGTGTTGAATAATCAATCAAGACTAACTTAAAAATGAGGGGGAAAAAAGGAGAAGAAAAAATAACAAAATAAATAATAATTATTTTGTTTTTTATTCTGTAATTTGTTTTTCATTTCTTGCATAAAGCTGCATGAATCTGGCGATCCCACCTACTTCCTACTAATTTCATTTTTACTCTAAATCCTTGAAGCAATAACTATTTTTTAGATTTTTAAAGCTCAGAAAAGTGTATCTTCTTAAATTTGGCGTAGTATACTCATTGTTTTAGTTTTATTCCAGGATTGTGCGACAGCATTGTGACAAAGTATATAAATAATATAATCGCCTATAAAAATAAAAATAATGAAAGAGTATATTAAGCATATTTTGGTAAAGTTCTGGTGTGCCTTCAAAACGTAACATGAAAATTGATGATAGTAAGATTGAAAATGGACAGAGAGACAACACATTGGTCAAGGTTTAGAGCAGAGGGTTAATATTGGCAGTAAAGAGACGACACAAGGGGGTCCAGGGATTTTTTCTGGATAAACGTATACACACGAGACCAGGTGAGCAAAAGAAAAAGAAAAAATAAATAAATAAAATTATAAAATATAAAATAAAAAACTGGTTCAAAAAGAACAAAGTAAATCAAACTTGAGAGAATCTCTTTCAAGTTCAGGAGTCAGTCATTAGAAAACCACCCTTCAATGAAATAATGCAAAGCAACTGACTTCTGTGTGTAAATTTCTAAGAAAGAGGGGGGAAAAGACAAAATAGGTTGAAGATAGTTCATAGCAAAACCAGAGAATTTTAGGAAGGTTTGAGAAATTTTTGGACTTTGATTTAAAAGTCGATGTTGACAGCAATGATAAGAAACCTCTCGCTTCTTTCCTTCTCAACTGGTGTCAAACTTTAATTGTTAGTGGAGACAGAACGATTGATCGATTTTCAATTCGCTTATAAATGACCTCAAAGTACAACGAGAGAGAGGGTTACTCTATAGAATTAGCTGATGAATTCACAAAATTTCTACTTTTCTGAAGGAAGATCTTGTACACTTAAAACGCTCCACAGATTTGAATGAATTTTAATCACAAAAAAGTAATTGAAATGTTAAAAGGTAAAACATGTCAAGATTGAAGTAAAAGAAAAGGAAATTGAATAAAGAAAAAAAGGTGGATTGATAGGTTTTTATACAATTTACAAAAAATGAGTTAAATTAAAGGAGGTAAGATAAAATAAAATTGAAAGAAAATAAAAATAAAATTAAAATAAAGCACCTGTTCAAAACGAAGACATATTGGACAATTTGGATCATACACACACGCACAGAAAAGGAGGGAAACATGTAACAGGTGATGGTAGGGCTGCAGAGGGAGGGGAAATGATGGAAAATTGATCTCACTTGTTTTAAATGCAATGAGGTAACCATACATATTTTTTTCTTTTTTTTCATAAAATTCTGCTTCAATTTTAAAGAGATAGAAATAATTTCGCTAAACTTTTATTTGGTCCTTTTCAGCTTAGAAACAACTCAAAGAGAAGTAAAAGTTTGGTGTACTTCGGACCTCATAAAATACTGTTACATAATATAAAGGAAAATCTTGATTTGCATGAGAGATAGGGGTAAATCAAGGTGTAAAGATGGGTACAGGAAAGAGAGGACAACCCAAAGAGAGAGGACGATGTAACAAAACAAAATACAAAACAGTAAAATTGATGAGGAAACGAAACACAAAAGGAAGTAAAATGGGAAGGTGAACGTATAACAAAGAGCCATGAAAAGCATTCATGGCTAGAATCAGTGAATTTTTTTTTTCACTGACAAATAAAATAAGATAAAATGGAAAAATTACTGTACTGATAAATCCAAAATCAACGGCTGTAGCGCAAGCCGAAGATTCAATTTAAAAAAAAAAATTAGAGCCTCCAAAAATTTGCTGCCAAATTGTTCCTACAAAAGAGTTAGTAACAAACATGATGACAAAAAAAAGAGGATTTTATGCAGTTTATGTGACTTTAGAAGTTTTTAGCCAATCCATAAAGGAGACATGAAAAAGAATATTTGACTTTGCAGTTCATGTCACTCGTAATAATCTAATCAGCTGATTGTGGGGTTGAAAAGACATCTTGGATGGTTGAACATGTAGGTTCAAGGGTAAGGTTTTCTAATAAGATAGAAATATATCTGATAAAATGAAGAACTGTACGTCTGCATTTCTTTGGATTTATCATAATTTTGAAGCAGGTTTTTTCGGTCAAAAATAGGGAGAAAAGAAAAAATTATCTCCAAATGTATTCAAATACAATTTTTAACAATTACTTTTACGATCATGATGTCAATAGAACCATGAGAAGACGGATTTGGGCTAAAGGAACAATGTGGCTGCTACATATTTAAATTAGGAGAAGTTTATTTGTGAATAAAACGCTTGCACAACTTAGAGGCTTTTTGACTGCAGCATTAGTAGATTTTTAAGCTTTATTTTACTATTATTACATTGCTATTACATTACTATTTTATATTTTTCTGAAAGGCGTTAGTACAGATAAATTTCAGGCAGAATAAAATGCTCATGCCACACTTCTTTCTTGTCTGCTTTGATATTTTGTTCAAACGTTTGTATTCAGTTTCTCAAAAATTTAAAAATTCCCGTTTCTGTGCTTTTGTATACAGCAGTAATAACGTATATGGATCAAGGTATTCTTGATTGTTCTTGCCAAGCCAAAAAAGCCGGATAAGAGTGAATACAAAGGAAAAAACATTTGCACAACTTCAAAGAGCTTTGTGGAAGGAATTAATTCAAATCAGCTCTTTCCCATTGTGAACTTCTCCAAGGTTTGTCTACAGAGAGGCATGTAGCAGTTTATATCTGTTTCACACCAATAGTGAACTACATGGTGAGGGCCAAGGAGCATATATCCCTGACTGACAATTTTGGCAAAACTGAGTTAGCAACTTTGTCCCATTCTACAATATGAAAACGCAAGCTTATGTTTTTAGTTTCTTCCCATTCTGCACTGGAGCGCTTGTGAGATAGAAAAAAATTTCAAATTCAACCTCGAAATTACAAAATTGGCGAAGTTTTATTTTTACGCAGTTCAAAATCGTCAGTTTGCAGATAGGCGTTATATTGTTCCTTGGCCAATGATAAGTACACATCTGCATCTGAGATTGTGATGTTGCATACTTCCCCTCATTTTTTACTGTTTTGAAGGAAGACTGCTGAAATACATACATGAAATACATAATATGTTCAAATGAGGTTCATGTTTCAAAAACACTCTTTAAAAATGTTGTGCAATGACTTCCTGCGGTAATTTTCTAGACTAAAGAAAGAAGCATGAAGGTATTGAAACACCACAATCCAGATACAGCTGTCAGATTTCACTATTGATATGCCCATGATCTGCTTGTTCCACCACAGTTTTTTGGTGTGTGTTTGAAGTGGGTTGGAGGGACTAGCCCGAGCTTGAAGAAGACACGAAAAAATCAGTCATTCCGACTGTCACAGAAAGGAGCACTTTAAAAAAAATTAGCCAGCTAATAGCTAGAAACTAGGTCAAGTCATTGTTAAATAGACTCAATGAAAAAGGATTTCCACTGATCTACTTTGGAAATATGGATCTTGTAGAGGTGATAATGAATTGAGTGGAGTGATTCTCCCTTTAGAAGTAGCTGCTTTGCTTTCAAGTAATCTGAGAGAAATGTAAACTCGCACTGTTCTTCAATAATTTTTCAGCTTTCTCAATTTTGTGTTCTTAAAATTTTGAGGGATTTGTTATGGATTGTGATTGATGGTAATAAAAGGTAGATATATTGATGAGTACCGGTATTGATTTAAAATTTGGTGAGGAAAGGAAAGGCACAGTTACTACAGAACACAAGATGTTAACGTATTTATTAGGAAAACATAGTAATTAATTAAAAAATCGAGCTACAAGCCAAAATAAACAAGTAATATTTCCAACTACATATTGATGAGAAAATACATAAAACTTACAAGAAACAAAGCTTTTTTACCTACTTGCTTGTTGTCACTGTTATCACTTGTCTTTCTTCATGAATTTTACCTTCTTTTATTTTATTCTAAGATGTAGTTGCAAAAGATTGTGTATTTTCACATAGTTTGCTAATAGTTTTGTAGCTTCTTTATTTTGTAAAATGATTCTATTGGTTGTTCGTATTGCACTGAAGAAGATTGCAGTTTGTAGGTGGTTGAAATGTTTGCTTTGTTTCCTGTAAGTCTTATGTATTTTCTCATCTACAAGTAGTTTGAAATATTACTTGTTTGTTTTGGCTTGTAGCTCGATTTCTTAATCAATTACTATGTTCTATACGGCTTAGCCAGCCAAATTTGGCGATAAAATGTATTACTTAGCAGATTGGTGAAATCAATGTTATTTTTGAGGGTCTTAAATTTTTGAGTCTCAGCCTCTCAAACTATGATCTGCATGCAAAATTTTGAGCGAAAAATTACTTTCAATCTTTTAAGCATTGACAGTATTGTGATTAAAACACTCATGTGATACTATTTCGTGTTTGATGAACATTATTATTATTAGGTTGCAAAGGTGGAAATATGAGACGGAGGAGGTTTGCCATCTCTCTCGAGCAATGGTACATCTTGAAATTTGAGAAGCAAAAACCATTAATAATTTTTTTTTTTCCAGTTAGGTGGTTTCCCTCTGAATGGTCTCAGTTCCACTGTTCCACGAATTAACTTACTCTATATTACTGCAGAAGCACTAAAATAGATGACTCTGTACAGGAGCTTTCTATAAAAGCAGCATTACTTAAAAGCAAAGAACTAACTTCTTTAAAAACAAAAAAATATTGTGCAGTCAGTTAGTGATTCATCTACCAAGCCAATTTTTACATTACAGCAGAGATAATAAAACTCTTCTTTACAAGAAAGATAAATTGGTAAATTAAGTGATGAAGCTGTCATTGATGCTTCATCCCGTAAATATAGAGAAAGGCAAAAATGCACATATATTGTGTGTATTTAGGGACAAATTTTGATTTGCTGATATTTTTAAGAACTAGAGGGTCTTTACTCAAGCAGATAAATTGATGTGTCTCCCTCAAGCGGCTGGCATACACAAGGAAAGTAATAATTGGTCAGTTTCACAAGTCACAAAAACAGGTTTGGAGAGTGATAAAGGTATAAATGTGAATCCACTGATTTTTTACCTAAACTCTGCGAGCAAAAAATTTAATATGTGATGCAGCTCTCTTTTTCTGTTTTCAATGATGTTGTTCAGTATCAATTTTGAAAAAGAGTTAATATTGTCATACACATTGAAGACACATTGAAATCTGCTAATTCGACAATCTCACCCGGCTTGGTAATGGTTGATGTGAAGGTTAGAAACGTTACTAAAAGTTTTTGCAACCTTACTTTTGGCTGCAATCATGAGTAATGTTGCAACAACGTTTCTGTGCTTTTTTCCGAAACCATTGCAAGGCATGATAAAGCTATGAGACGTTTTTGTGACATGGGAAATAGACCTCTATATTTTTGAGACCTGAAAGTAACCATACAACTGATTGAGATAAAGTGTCTAATAGCAGAGAGAAATTGCACTTACTTCTCGCTGTACTCATCCTCATGGGCATAACTCTGCACACTGTTGTCTTCTACCAAAAATCTGACTCTTTGATAAAATGATGCAGTAACTGAGGGGGGCTGTTTCCTCAGCAGCACTTCAACAGGATCATTAGATGCTAGGCACATGATATGCTCTTTGCAAGCAGGATGTGTGCAACACTCACTGTCCGAACAGTCGACCATGCCATCTGCAGAATGGTAAAAGAAGATAAAGTTTTACTTAGGACACACCTAGCAATACAAGTTTTTGGGTTTGCATGACAAGCACAAGAATGTTTCCTTGTGTAATTTTTTTAAAATATTACTTTAACAAGGCTCGCTGTGGCTGTGTAAATTCCTGAGATCACAGTATGGGAGTCGCCCACTCTCCTCTCAGTTCAAGCATAGAGTCGTAAAAACTCTACAGATACATACATTAAGCCGCTTTTACAGTGCAGCCTCGCAGTCTGCAATGCCCAATCGCCATTGCCCCCTATCTTTCCAGAGACCATCAGGCAATTGGCACCTCCTGATCTCCTCGTCCACTCCTTGTTGCCAACCTTTCACAGGACGTCCACACCGTCGCCTTCCAGGAGGAACCCAATCAAAAACCTACTTGGGCAACTGATCATCTGCCATCCTTTGCACATGTCCATACCAGACTAACTGCTTGGACCAGATATCGATAACTCTAAAGATCATTTTCCACTTTTTGAGACCTTAGTTCGTCCAAAAATCCGCTTGCACTATTCCAGATGTTTGACGACTCCTAGTTTTCTAAGGCCTGGTTTGATCACCTCTTGTTACCGACTTTTCCTCTGGATAAAAAACAGAGGGGCAAGTGCTTCCGATTTAGCATGTTGATACTTTTCCCACTTGCTTTTTTCTTGGAGGGGGCATATATTGTTTTGAATACTTGATTAACTTATTCCGTGAACAGGGATTTTCACTTAGGAAATATAGATTGTAACAGATAAATGATAAATAAATAATGAACTGAGTCATTGACTGGTGATAGTGAAAGGAACATACCTTTATCATTATCAATTTTATCATTGCAGTTAAGTTCCAGCCGCACGCTGCAGTCAGGGCCTGCCCAGCCATTATCACAGACACATTGATATTCACCGGATTCCAGAGAACAAGAGCCTCTTTTGTTGCAACTATTCAAGCAGCCAGCTGGAGAAAAACGGCATAGTATTAATACATAATTTGCAAAACGATAAGACTCTTCTAGGGAGGATTAAAAGTAAGATACAGCACTTCACTAAAACTTGTGAAATACTTACAATACAAATACAATTATACAATTGTACAAATACGAATACTAAAACGAATTGTAATAAAAATGATTGGAGGGTTTCCTTTCATGTACACATATTCAAAATTTCATGCTGAGTTTCAAGCATTGGTGAGCCTGGTTGGTATGGAAACCAGTCACTCCTCCTATTTCATTTCTATTTGTAGGTAGAATCCCTTGTTTAAGTATGGTCTATGTAGAAAATTAGACATCATTTGTGTTTTGCAATGGGCCTCTAGACAAGGTATGACTTTAAGTGAACACAACACAAAATGTTAACTTTATAAAAATTCACAAAGAAAACGAATCACACAACAGGAAGTCTACCTAGTTCAGGAGTTAACTTCCGAACTTTTTGTTGTGTGAATAGTTTGCTAAATAAAATTTTGAAGAGAAAACATACGATATTCATGTCAATTTTAGACCTTGTTTCATCATCCATTGTCCAGAACTTAGATTGTCCAGCAATTTTGCTATGAATTGGTAAAATAATTCTAAAAATTGTATAAGACAGCAAAAACTAACCCAATGTGCAATGCCTGCCATTCCATCCTTGAGAGCAGACACAAGTGCCATTCTTGCATTGACCATGCTCTGAGCATCTGACATCACAGGGAAGCGAGTCACATCTTTTTCCAGTCCAACCGTGATCACATAAACACTGGCCTTGTGAGCAATGTCCATGAGGCCCACAATCAAGACTGCAAACAGCTGAAAAATAATAATGAATGAAAAAAGGTTAGAGTGGTTTGGATGGACATATGTGCAATGAATGTCAAAAGGGAGGGGGCCCTATATATGTTATAAATGGGTCACTAAACCTTGTTTATTTTATTGAATATTCTGAAAGTACAATGTGAGTAGATAACGTGGTGATTTTTCCGCATTTTTATGGAACCGAAATCGCGGAGAAACCCGCTTTTGAAAAATCTAAAAACTGCAAGACATTTCAAACGCACCCGAATGGCGGGAAACTGACGGTGTTGACGCACTGCGGTAGTCATATCGCAATCTTCTCTCATTTTCCTCTGATGTTTGTTAAAATAAAACGTGTTTCAATATGGAATCGTTGCTTGTTTATTACAGCTAACATATGATTGAGATTCAAGTCTTGAATTCAAAAGATATAATTTCGACTTTGGTATTGTTTTCATATACGAAGAGTAGATAGACATTTGACGGAAGTCGTGGAAACCCGTGCCCGCTTCTGATTGGTGCCGGATGACATCATTCGGCGCGGCGCGAAACCGGGGCGTTTTAAATTTGCGTATAAGTTGAGCGATTTGAACTGCGCATTTCTCGGTTATTGAGTTACTTGTTCGCGTTTTTAATGTGCGCATCGTGTTATACGCGTCAATTTCCTTCAGAAAACTATATCCGCAAGTCAAAATTCGTTCATGGTTTAGTGACCCATTGGTGACCTACTCCCTGGCAGAAGACAACAGTAGGTTACATCCCAGGGAAGGATGGCAGTGGGGCGCCACAGAAGAGATTGTACGTCGTTAAATGTCCAATAACCTTCAGGAATACATGCAGTTCTCGAATTTGAGTGTTGCATGGTGCCAGAATGCTCTATGGGACGTACATATGTAGATGCGGAAGGAATTTTTGATTTAGCATGATTAAGTGAGGTACTAGGATTTGTCCGTCCTGAAGTTTTAAAAAAATTCTAGGGAACTGTGATCAAAGAAAAAAAAAAAAGTCTACAAACGTTCGATAAAAGTAGAAAGTTCATACCTTTAGAACAGTTTTCTCCTGTCCAGAAATCATCACAGACACATGTGCCAGAATCCAAATCATAGGTTCCATGATTGGAGCAAGTTGGTAAGCACTTGTACACTTGCTGATTAAGTAGAGAGCAGTTAGAACCTTGCCAACCAGCTTTGCAGTAACACTTCCCGTCGATGCATACACCATGACCTGAACATGTAGGATCTGGGCAGTCCTCTGTGAACAGGAAAGGTTCAAAGATAAGAAAAATAAAAAATCTCAGGACAACTTACTTTGAAATACCTATTAGGGCCTCCTATACCGTGATACAGCAGAGAAATTTACTTTCTTACATTCTAAGCTGCTGTTGTGAGGAAAATTGATTAATGAGAATTAAGACATCAAATTGCGGATATCAAATAACTAGAAGAAAATTATGCAAAAGAACAATGAGGGACAAATACCTACACAAGATTTTTTAAATGCAGCAGTGATTTGAGAAGTTGTCTGCAATGCGAATAGAGCAAGACTAATGTCGAAAGTCAAAACATACAGACTCTAAAAGGAAGTAGGTACACAGGAGAACATTAACATCTTGGTGATTTGCCTGGAAAATTTTGAAAGTAATTACCTAAATTTTCCGTTCATATTCACAGATGCCTCGTTTGCAACAAGCTCTTGAAACTTGCATACTTGCACATGCACAACTGACAAGTTTGTGATAAGTGATAAGAGGCAATGTAAACACAAATATAACCTATGAAAAAAAATTGAGTTTGCCGCGCTTTTAGTAGCACGCGTGGCGCGAATATTTGAATTCAAAGCGGAAAATTCAAATTTGCGGATCGCCAACACGGCGCGCACAACTTTCGCCAGGGTGTCCGTAAAGTCCCTTTCCCTCTCTAACTTTTCACCCAATTGAGGTAAAGATTTGAAACTTGGAGGATGTTTCTCAGTCAAACGGAACTACTTTTAGGCCCACCAAAAATTTTCAGGGAGAGCCCCCTTGGGAGGAGGGGGGATTACGGACCCTAACTTTTTTTTCAAATGGAAAGACCCCTCTCGTGATACTTCATTCGTATACAATGAAACAATACAATTTTTCGCACAAACCCGAATGTTATTATCCCAAACCGTTTCAAAATAGCGGTCGGGTGAAGTTCAAAATGAGCGAAAATTGGCACGTCGATTTTTTTGCTCATGGATTTACCAGAAATGCGATGTGAGGGGATATTTTGGTACGAGAAAAATGACTTTCCAAACTTACAATTTTTTAAAGAAGTCGATTTTTTTAATTTTAACCTTCCTTCTTTTTGAAAATTCTCGGTTTTATTTGTTTATTTATTTTTTTTTAACAAACGTCAAATTCTCGTGTCAAAATATTCCAGATGTACCGAGTTATAGGCAAATCCATTGGCAAAAAACTGAAGTGCCAATTTTCGGTCATTTCGAACTTTAACTGAACCATTTGGCATCATTTTGGAACGAATTGACATAATGACCTCGAGTTTTTGTGAAACGTTTCCTCAGATTTATGAATAGGTGGTTGAAAACAATTCATAAAACATTTTAAAAAAATTATCACCGATTTTTTTTTTGGTTGTTTATATAACGCCGCATTCGGCGATAAACATTTTTTGACGAAGCCATCGATGTACTTCTATTCCGGCATTTTCCTCTCCTCCTCCGTACTAAATATGCGGATACAATTACTCACCTATGCTGCAATCAGGACCTTTCCAGCCGGGTTGGCACACACAGTTGCCCGAAACGCAAGTCCCATGTCCAGAGCAGTCTGAAACTTGGCAATCATGTTGAGGGATATCGCATTCAAAGCCTTTCCAGCCCTCCTCACAATGGCAAAGCCCTCCGCCATACTTCCCATGATTTGAGCACAAAACTGGACAGACGCCTGCACAGAGAAAAATACTACCGTTAAGAAAAAAAAATTCTCCTAAACTATAAGACATCGTTATATCCTGCGATTTTACGCAGATATGAGGGAATGATTTACATCATAGATACGACCTCGTTTTTCTCCTCTTTTTTCTTGCACGTGAAAATTGTGCAAAGACTAGGCGTGAATGATCGATTATCGATATCTCCCCATTTGAAGCTTTGGTAAAGAATCGAATATTAAGGTATTCGTTGCGAACATCCTGTTTATCGCTCCTTTTCCATATGCTTTAAATGGCGGATCAATCGATGTACCGCAAAGCACGTCACGCCACTGGAATTTTGTAGCGTTGATAAAGTTGCGCTTTTCGTTTAGGAAGCGACGAAACGCTGGGGAAAAAGACTTGATAAATCAAGTCTGCATAATTCTGCTTAAAAGCAGAACTATTTTTTAGTATGACGGCAAGATCACATTTCTCTTGAAGCAAGAATATTAGATGTTCAAACGAAAAAGAAAGCCACTTGTATCAAGCAGAAAACCCACTTGATTCAAGGATTCAATTCTTGGCTCGAGAGAAAATGGACCGCGTTAAGTAGAAGTGAACCAAACCACGCGAGCTGATTGGGAAATTTAATTTTTTACATGAAAACAATTGTGCAGATTTTTGTGCAAATTTTGGTAAATTCTCTATATAGTGCGAAGCTAATTCCTTAACATTTTCAAAGGAATCCGCACAAACGTTCTCTAGTAAAAAATTAAAGTGCACAGTCAAATTTGACAATGGCTGATGTGGCTTCGTTCCTTTCTGCTAAGCGCGGTTCTTTCTACCTGTATAAAATCAAGAATTTTTTTCTATTTGCGCCTTGTCTCCACGGGACGTTTCACGGGGTTTTTCCCGAGTTCGAATCGCAAGAATGAAACTTCTGGACTTTTTCCCGTCAAACAACAACAGAATTTCTTCTTATCTTCAAGCCGTTCCTGAAACTCCACAATGAATCTTGGTTGGCGCTGTGATTAGTATTGACTAACTCAATATTTTTCCCAACTTTTGTGAGATTTTTCCGTGGGAAAAATCTCATGAAACGTCCCGTGGAGATAAGGCCCTACGGAAACGGGAGACATAAAATGAAACTTACTCTTGGAACAGTCGGGACCGTTGTAACCGTCGATGCAGTCGCACTTGCCGAGATAGCAGGAGCCGCGACCGGAGCAATCGTTAGGACAGGCGGAGGGGACGTCCTCGGCCTCCTCGATGGCGAGGACGATGTCGTTGGGCCTGGTGTCGTCGTTGTAGATGGCCAAAAACCACCTGCCCGCCTCCATGTACTGGAGAACGGTGACGTTGACCATGGTGTTGGGGGCCGAGCGCCTCTTGACGACGTGCTCGGTGGCGTTGTCAGCGCCGTGGACGGTGGGCTCGAGGCTGTTGCCGGCGAGGAGCTCCACATCGGCGTCCGGGCGGAGGGCGATGGACCTCTTGAGCCGGTGGTCCACCCAGGAGCCTTTGATGAACTTGGCGAAGTTGTACTGCGTGATGCTCGGCGCCACGTTGCGCCGGCCGTAGAAGGCGAAGTTGGTCCGCAGGGGGACGCTGAAGTTGAAGCGGATGAAGATGGAGCGCTTGTTGCGGAACTCCGAGTTCCAGAATTGGAACGGGGGCACCGATAGGGTGTACGGGTAGTTGAGGTCCGAGATCTCCACCAGGGAGGGCCACTGTTGGTCGCGGCTCTCGCCGCGTTGGTCCCCCGAGGCGGGCCCCGCCCCCGTCCCCGCGCCGCTACCCGATGACCCTGGGCCTACCCCTCCTGATTGGCTTATGCTCGACATCGTGCTCGTCACTATCCATTCTGAAACACCAATCAAAACCATTAAATGGAATTTGCATGTAGATTTTTTATTGCTTCATCTGATAGTAGTTAAAGAGCTGATTACACAGTATTTTTTATAATTTTTTTCTGAGATGGGAAATAGTATAAAAATAGGTTTAAAAGTGAGAAAATACACCGCCTAGTGACGTCATCTGGTAGCATTTCTCATTTAAACACACGTATTTTAGCAGATTTGATGTTTTTGTCATATCTTCTCCGATAATAATTGTTCAATTCATGAACCGAGGGTATCCTCGTGTTCGGTTCACTCAGTAGTTTCCACTTAAACACGAAATTCATCAAATTTCAGACACCTGCGGACGTTGGTCGTCGTGTTACGTTCTTTCGTGCGGGAAACGACGAGTAGTCGAGTAACGAGTGAGCTTGACGTCATGACTACGCGGAGCGTAACGGGGGTTAACGGCGCACAGTGGATTGAGTCAACTAGACAGGTCGGACATTAAATTTTTGACTAAAACTGCAAATTTTGATGTTTCTTTCGTCACATATTAAACATTAAGAGGTGCTTTTTGAGGCAAATTTCACGAGAAAACCAATGGAACCACTTTTAGAGCCTCAAAGTTTTGTATAAACGGAGGGAGTTATAAGCGTCTAAAGTTTCCATATTTTGTCCGACCTCTCCTATTGGCTCGATTCACCGTGCGGCGGAGGAGTGAAACATCCGAGTTTTCCACCAATCTGATATTTTCCATGCATGCAGGGTAGGGGGCAGGGGTGGAGAAAAAAGGCGAGGGGTACGGTACCTGGCTCTGTGGGCGGGTAAGATTGAGACGTGGCGTTGACGGTGGAGTGTTGTTCCGAGTCCTGAGCCACGACCCGGGCGTCTTCCACCACGATGCAACCGCTGCTCTCCACGTTCGATTTTATAGAACTCATAGCTGCAACACACCAACGCAATCAAAATAAATCCACAATGATCAACCTCTCCAAGATGCCAAAGTTGAAACGAGACAGAAGAAATAGCATGCAGTGAATGCGTAGGTGTAAAACGCAAGGGCGTCCTGAATCTAAATGTGGATACCTCAATCCCAGTCTGACGGACTCAGATAACTGAGGGGTTTGGAGGACAAGGCGCATAAGTGCAGTTATTGCTATTTCGAGATATACGAGTTTCAAGTTTCGATATTACATGGATCCTTATGTTGCACGGAGAAAAAAAACTCGTGCGTGGGACCCGAAGTTTAGGTCATATGGATCTCTGAAGTGTTCAGACTGAGCATCTGAACACTTTAGGTCTAGCTACCGAAGTTCGGATCATACATCTGAAACTTTAGTTCTTACATCTGAAGTACTTCAGATGTGAGAACCGAAGTACTTCGGATGTGAGAACCGAAGTACTTCAGATGTAAGAACTGAAGTTTCAGATGTATGATCCGAACTTCAGCAGCTAGACCTAAAGTGTTCAGATGCTCAATCTGAAAACTTCAGAGATCCATATGACCTAAACTTCGGGTCCCACGCACGAGTTTTTTTTTCTCCGTGTGAAGAGAAAGTACAAACTGACTTATTAATGCTTAAAACTTGGCATTTGGGAGCGAATGTTTCGCAGAATATGCATAAAGACTAATTTTACTTGAAAACATTAATTGTTCATAAAACTGCCTTGTCCTCCAAGCCCCTCAATTGGACTACGTTTCGTAATATGGAACTACTATTTTTGGCTCATTTCAGAAACAGCAAATACGCCATCAGCACACACAAAAGAACCACGAATACACGAAGACGTGCATGAGCCAGAAATCATGGTTTCTTATTGAAAAGGCAGTCCAATTTGTTTATGCTATTTTAAAGATATTCTCGGGTACGTCGAGAAATAAATGGACCTCGTTTAGCAGAAAGGGACCAAGCCACATCAGCTATTGCCTTTAACTGAGCAATGCAAGTTTTAGCAAAAGAACGTTTGTGCGGAATTGCGGATTCCTTTGAAAATTTTAAGGAGTTTGCTTCGAACTGAGCAGAAAATTTACTGGAATCTGCACAAAAATCCGCACGGTCGTTTTCATGTAAGAAATTATTTATGAAATTAATTGAGCAATAGCTGTGGCTTGATTCCTTCCTGCTTAACGCGGTTCAAATGTCGCTAGTAATTATCTTTTAAAAATATACAAAGCCGAAGCGGAAATCTGAAAACACTGCAGTGCAGGTGAAAGCTCTCGTAGATTCACCATTGACAGCTTCATAAGGCGGAGTGTTTGACAGTGATTGAACATGCCTATTAGAGGAGCCTCTGCGTGCAAGAGGAAAACATAACGCGGAAGGAAATTGGCACGCTTAGACATAAAACTTCCGTCTAGATTAGAAGTTCTAAGAGAGAACCAATCTGTTTAAGATATGAATAGGATTTTCGATTTGAAGGCTTGATTGGGCAAAATTTCATGTCGGATCGCTGATACGAGTAAAAGAACAAGCAGCGAATCGACATGACTTGTTTCCTCTAAGTTTTCTTGCGAACAAACTTGTTTTACCTGAGCATATCGTCTGATAATTTCTCTAAGCAAAGCAAAAAAAAAATTAAAGCAACAAAACTTCGGGAAATCCTTTCTATCTGCTACTGGTTAAGTCATATCTTCTCATTGCGTGGTTGTCTTCAATTCACAACACCGATTTGACATTATATTTTTGCCCAATCACGCCTTCAAATTTCAGACCAAGATCATGAGGAAAACGTCCGACATTTTGCCAGATTCGTATGTAATGGGAAGACATTTGGCAATTGTCGAAAGTTCTTGAAGCATTTTTTTTCTTAACACGATAGTACAGTGCATACATCTTTTTTAAAAACTATCTGGTGGGTACACTGGAAAAAAAAAGCACATTGGATCTACGGTCCAGACTCTTAAAAACATGGACAAGAAAAAATACTCTTGATTCAATCAGATTTAAGCTTAAATCAAGAACCTAGTCTCTTAATTTGAGCGGATTTCCTTTTGATTTAAGCTTAAATCTGATTGAATCAAGAGTATTTTTTCTTGTCAATGTTTTCAATAGTCTGGACTCTAGATCCAATGTGTTTTTTTTTCCAGTGTCCGGTGGGTATATACCTATTTTCTTTCAATGCTTTCAAACAAGATTTCCATTTAGCTCAACAATGTGAAAGCTCGTAGCAGAATAACCTGCAAGTCAGGGTTCTCATTCGAAAGCGCAAGTTGTTGCTTGGAGCGAGCGATTCATCAGTCTTTTTCAGACATCGGGTCTGACGTCACCGCGGATCGGGTGCGAAGGGTCCCCCGAAAATAAAAGTGATAACCGAGGAGTGTCGGGAGATTGGCATCCCTGGTGATTGAGAGATTGCGGGGGAGGGAGGGAGGGAGGGGGGATCATATGGGGGCGAAAGCTCCGAGTCCGAGCCGGACAGAGCATCCATTCGGTCGGGCCATGACAATCGACTCGGTATAATTCGGAGATAAAATAGATTCTCCTTCCTTCCGAGCCATTGGCGACTCTGTTATCCTGACGGATCGCGTTTTTCTCTTTCCCGAGTTTTTTTGTTGTCGTCCCTGATTTACTACGCGCTGCGACTCTAAGCGGAGCGATCATCCCGATTGAAACTCTCTCCACCCGCTGCCGTTCTGGGCAAAAACCGCGTATCGACATTCGAACGTTGCTAAATTTCCCCCGATATAATAATTTTTTTTGACAGAAGTTATGAATATTTTTCAATGTAATTTTAGGATACTTTTTATTAAATCGCGAATACAAATGGTAGAGAAGTATTGGACATTATCTCAATACATTGATATTCTATCGAGGGAAATTTGGCAACGTCCTCTTGTTCATATGACGTTTTTCCTCGGTTTCGTTCGCTGCTTCGCGGAGTGCAGCCCGTTCGACGTTCCGATGAAAAATTGTTGACTATGACTTATTGCGCGTTCGGTTTTAATCCCGAGACCAATAAATTCCGTTTCCACATGCAATAATTGAAACTATTTCAGTGGGAAAGAGTAGACGACCCGTTTCTGAAACATGCGGGGCTTCGAAGTTTAGAAAACAAGCAAAAATAAAAATAGTACATCGTTAAAAAAGTTACAGAACCGTCTTCATCAAGCAGAAATGGACTGCATTTTGCAGTAAGAAACCACAATCTTTGGCTCTTTCATAAAAGTACCTTTCTGCAAAAGGAAACCAATGGCATAATATGTTGTTTCTAAAATGAGCCAGGAGTAGTGGTTCTTTATGGCAAAATGTGGTCCAAATCAGTCTTTATTTCTGTAATTCTGTTATCAACTTATTTTGAGTAGTCAGAAATAAAATTGATTTGTATTATCTCTCAAAAAAGTTTTTATTTTTCAAAATGCTAGCCCTTTTCCTATTGTTCACACAGGGTGTTCCAAAAGTTTCAAATTTTTGTTTTCAATTTTGTTTGAAATTCAAAAATTTTGATCTCTCAATGGAAGATGGTTCTTTTTAAGATAGAAACATTCCGAAAGTTTCGTTCTGTCATCTCGAATGGTTTAAAAGTTAGAGGGGGGGGGTAGAACTTTTGGAACACCCTGTGTGATTTTAACTAAATCTTTTAATAAATATCAATTTTACGGATACATTCAAGTTCTTAATAAATCACATAGATCTAATTACCTAATAAATTGAAGTATTTTCTGTTGCTATATCATTACGCAAGTCTTGAAAACCAACCGATGAATTTCTACCTTTGATTCAAACTCCTCGAGGCGATGCGACTATTTTAACGCGTGGGAGATGTTTTTGCCTACACGTTGAAATGAAGGCGAAAAGCGTCATTTGCATAGAGTGTGACTTTCATGCAGTGAGCAAAACGTTCATTTTCACCATCCCGTCAATATAAGTTTTGGGTGTCTAAATATTCATGATCGTAATAAGACCTGCTTGCCTCAAAACCTTACGAGACATTATAGCAGAATCACATGAGGTGCATGAATGATTCATGCACTGTTGAAAATGGTGATATTCTTTTCACACATTAAATATAATTCAAATCGATTTATACGACAACTTGACTAGAGTACCTTTAAACTTGACTAAAACTTCAACTCAGGGAAAATCATTAACATCATTCAGAGACAATTATCACAGTAATTTTGTAGTCATTCAAAGTTAACCAAAGTCCATTATAGAGTCAAATGAATTGCAATATAGTCACATTTGACTCCAAAGTAAAGTCGAATTTGTCTCTATCTCATCCTCAATATGGGAACAGAATACTATAGATATTATTTTTGCAAATTTATATTGACGGTTAAAGTTGGGAACTGCGTATCTTCGGTTCCATCATTGCAAACCTGCATTCATACTTTACTTTTATAAAAAACAAAATTACCAAAATTTTCTTTTGAAATTCAACAGGCGTCATGCATCAATGTACCTAAAAAATTACCAAAGCCCCGATTTTCCTTTATGATTTGCTCCCCGAAAAATGTACTGCTTCATCAAAAAACGTTTATGCCCCTAAAAATTGCAGATGGTGCCTAAAAATAAGGCTTATAGGCCAAATGGCTCTGTAAAGATTGAAATACTAAATCATTGGTTTCCATTGATGGCTGGATAATAATTCATCATTGTATCTTGCAAAATAGGAAGGAAAAAGCTGGAGAAAACCTCATTTTAAGTGATGAAATCTGTGATCTTTTAAAGACAAATTTCCTTCTGCACAAAGAGAGCTTGGTAAGGGACAGCTTACTTTTAAAGGTAGACAGTAAACACAGTTGCTGTTTGTTTGAGGGGCTGAGACGGTATTAATTAAAACATTTACTTTAAGCCTTCGAATGCTTCGCAGAATCAATTACGAGGATTCAGAAAATGACGACAAAAGAGGCAACCGCGGAAGGGCTTGTTTGCATGGGAATATTCAGAATTGAAACCCTTCTGAAATTCTGGTCTCTCAGACTTGTATTAAAAAACCAGAGATAAGTGTTTTTCTAACTCCACATTCCAAATATTACGATGGATAAAAGACAAAAAAAGCGTCAACTGCAACAGAGAAAGTTTCTATAAAACATCGGAAAGAGGATTCATTGCTCATTCATTGAACTTCATTGCTTCGGGTTCGTGTGAAAGTACGGTAAAAATTATTTTATAACCTGCTTATTATTTATCCATGTTATACCTTTAATTTAACCTTTCTTTTAATTTATTTTGAAGAAAAGAAAACTCATTCTTCTCACTAAGATCAGTGGAAATAATTGAATTTTTTTAATTTCTTAAAGATAAAAATTCCGGTCGAAATGAGCTGAAATTAGGATTCGGACATCTGTTACGAAACTCATCTGTCTCATTCTGTACTCATGGTAGTGATAAGTTCTACTTTGCCTCTGTTTGCAGTTGCATTTTTACTTGCACTGTTTTTCTTGGTGAGAACAATTTAATTCTACATTAATATCAATTGGAAAAAGAACTGCCATGATTTTTAAATTTGATCCCGTATTTCCATGATATTTACACCATATCAGTTATCTCATACCTTATTAGGATCTTTGAATATTTTAATTTGTCATGTCTTTAGCCTTGGAGGCGGCGCGCGCGTATCATATCACCATAAAATATCACGATCATTCGAAAAAAACACTAAAATATTATTACATTATTGCGCGCTATCTACCTTTCAATTTTCTATGTCAATGGTGTTGCACCGTAAATGTCAAATTAATTTGAATCAAGCAAAAAATATCCTTATATCAAACGCGAAGAGGTGATTCCAGTGCATAGGCGGTTCGCCTACAATTTTCAATGTAGGCAACACGAGCTCCTCCATGGTCGAATAGTGGTATCATCGGGAAATAGCACGTTGACTCGGAACTTACACAAAAAGAAGCTTTTTAGCGGACAAAAATAGGTGACTTTGACGCCGTATCACTTCCCCTTCAACTTTTAGTGAAAGTACCCGCATTCCTCACCATGATGCTCGGCCAAAAATATATGAAGACCTAGCCAATCCCTAGAGTATTACGTATGCTAAGGACAGAAACTTAAAGAGGACTATTGCTTTTAGCTATTTTGATCAATTAGATTTTGATATTTTAATTCAATATTTTTTTTTTCAATTTTTTGTACTATTGATTCATTCATTCCCATTTTTCTTTGAATTTTATAATCTTACATCAAATATAAAAAATGCTCAGATAATTTATTTTGCCGTTAATTCTTTCTTCCATTTTGACCACTATTCCTTTTTCTCACAATAAATAAAGAAGAGAAAAGCAGAGAATTATCAGTGATTTTTCTACTTCGAAAGGTCGTCGGGAGAGGTGTGACTGATTTTTTTTTGGGGGGGGGGGTGTAAAGCCCTATGTTACGGAAAATTGAGAGTGTGCAAAATTGGACTTTTGGAGTTACTCATTTTAGGAACCAAATAGGGTGTCTACAAGTCCGGAATTTCCGGAAATAGAACTGATTTTTTAAGGGCGGTCCAGAAGTAGTGATAAGGTACGGAAATTATTTTTGATCAGCCTGTTTTGGTAGACACCCTGTATTTAAAACAGGGCTACTTTCAATTCTATTCCCGCGCATTTTCCCCGGTAGCTACTTCGTTTGTTTTCCCATTTTCACTACGCAACAGGACAGTGACAGTGTCGAAGCAGCCGTGCGATGCCGTCCACGAGCGGATGTCACACGGAGAATCGATCCCGAAGAGCTTCGACTCACATCACATCCATCGCACAGTGGATGCAGTCAATAGGGGGGGTCGGACAAAATGTGGGAATTTTAAACGCTTTTAACTCCGTTTATACAAAACTTTGAAGTTCTAAAAGTGTTCCGCGTGAAATTTTTCTCTAGAGTCATTCTTTAAAATTTAAAACGTGACAAAATAAATATCTGTCGCAAGCAATTAGTCAAGCAAGGCCTTCTATCGTACGCCTAGGCAGATAGCCAAATTTAGACGGTTTACAAAATTTTGTAAATGTATGGTGAAGAGCTCACGATTTTTCGATATATTGGGGAAAATAACTCATCAAATGTACGAGCTCCCCTTGTTCCTTTCTCCTCAAATAATTCTTACATATTTGAATGGTAAAATTTTAAAAATTTCTATATTTTATGATATGCTGAAAATTTCAAGATTAATATTCGTTCAGGAGATAAACATCGTGTAAAAGACTACTGTATGATACACACGTTTATGGAGAATTCTTACCGACAGGAAAAATGAATTATTTTGCCTAAAATTATGATGAGAATCGAAATTTCACTCTGAGTAAAAGTATTTGACTATATGTGGCCTTATATGTAACAATGGCGGATGTAAAAAATTACCTTTTCGTAACACGCTTAAAAAACTGTTTTCGTCGCACAAAAATGTAATATGTTTGCCTCTGGCATACTGCAAAGATCTCGAAGATCACATCACAAGTATTTTCTCAAAATTTTCTCGGTGCCAAAACAGTTTTTTGAACGTGTTTCATAAAGGTAATTTTTCACATCCGCCATTGTTACATTTAAGTCCTCATATACCTAGGCATTTGACAAAATGCCTGATATTACTATTTGCTTGCGACATATCAAAATTTGCAGTTTTAGTCAAAAATTCCGTGTCCGACCTCTCTAACGGTCTCGATCCACCGTGCGTCGCAAAATTCTTATCGGACAAATATTTATTCAAACGACGAACGGCCCGGCGCTCGCGTCCGCGAGTCCCCGGGGATAAGCAGAGCGTCAGGTCGGGTCCAAGGGCCCATCAACATCATCCCTCCCGGAGCGCCCGGCCGGCAAGTTGCGCCTTCCAACCGGCGAGCTGCAAAACGGCGGGCCGGCGATGAGCAGTTTTCACCGACCGTCGCGTTGCGTTGTATTTAATTTTTCAACAAAGGAAACTTCCTCTTTTCGCCTCCAAAGCTTCGGGATTTATTATTCATTCATTTGATGTATTTTAAGTAATTTCGTTATGAATCTCTCTCGACACTGCCTCTTCCTTCATCCCCCCCCCCCCCCCCNGTCCCCGGCCGACGCCCGACTCCAGCCGCAAATTTGCTTTAGGCCTCGTTTGTTTTCTATTCTTCTCATCTCCGCATAAATAACCGGCTAATAGCGAATTCAAGCCCCTAGGTCGGGGTGCGGGGGGGAAGGGGTAGGGGGCTTAACCGCCGCTCTGTATTCAAAGTTTTCATAAAGCTTGAGTGCTCGGGTTGTATTTATATTTTTCAAACACGGCGTTTAAGAAATTACAAGGTGCGCCCGACGGAAGGAGAATGGGTAATGCGGGGATGGGCCGGGTTTACGACTCTGACACGACGGGTTTGAAGTTCAACCCCCGCCGCGAGGATTTGTTTGCATCCCGCTACCCGCTCCGTCTGAGCCGTAAGGGTTGACGGGAGTAAGACTGGCTTCGGTGAAGGTAGCATCACGAATAATTGATGCTGCTTTTTCTCTTTGATCCGGGCCGAGAACAACTCGTGCTTCCCGAAGCGCGCATCAGTCGGATCCGAAACACGGGAAATGATACAAACCTCTGGGAACGAGTGAAAATCCTGGGTGAAATAATACGCTGGCGTTATCTTTGCACTGTTTCTCGACTTCAAACCATTAAGGATTATGTAGGCTTGATTCTTTCTGATGCGCGTGAAATTATAAAAGCTCAATTGATGCCAGAAAACTTTACCACATCGAAAAAAATTATCTTCTACCACCCGCGGAGATAAAATGCAATAACAAGCTTGCTCAAGTAAATAAACAATTGAACAAGGTGTTCTAGAGCACTCGTCCATTATTTGAACGATATTTTGCACATGGCAAAACTATCTCTGAATCATCCTAGAAATAAAATTGTCATTACCGTCCAATTGTAGATAGGTCCTTTTACGGATGTGCAAAAATAGTGGCTCTTCATTGCAAGCTTTAGGTTTGGAAAAAAATGAATGTCCGTATTTGACTTCACATGATTTTAGGTGAATATTTTCGATCCCTACGCCAACACTTCTTGAGGGATATTTTAAAGGCACCCTTCATATATTGAACGCCGTATGAACATTCGAGAGTTGCCAAATTTTCTTCGATAAAATGTTTATTTATGAAGGAAAAAATGAATATTTTTCCTTGAAATTGAGAACTTTAGATCAAAATACAAGCAACATTCTCTGAAAAATTGAGAAAAAAATATTCGTAAGTTTACCACGAAATTCGTGTTTTATCGAAAAAAAATTGGCAATTCCTGATGGCTCATACGGCGTTTTTTCTTAGCACGGCAGAATTCTTAATAGAATCTGCAAAATCCTGATGCTAGACACCTTTTAAGGCGACATTGTTCGTGGGCCATTATTAATAAAACAAGTGAAGATTGGAACTTACCACCAAAGTAAGCGAGCATAACGGTCAGGACAGCACATAAACATATGAGAGCTATACTGCAACATTTCCAAGAACACTTGTGTTGACATCTTTTATCTATGTTAAAATGTGACGGAGAGTAGGACGAGTAGTGTGGTCCGGGCCCCGGGCCCGAGGGCCGGAGGGGGAAGACGGGCATCACGGCCGGAGGTGGAGCCGGCGGATGGTGGAGGATGTCATTTCCACCACGAGTGAGTCCGCTTTCATGCCTGTCAACACAGCAAATCAATATATTCATTAGCCAACGTGGATTAGTCATAACTGAGCAGGCCCATGCGCCTGCGCACCGAGGAAAATTCTGCTGTGATAACGAAGAGAGCAGTAAATGTGAAAATTCCGAAATCGAGTTTCCTTCAAAATTCCTCTAAACTCTTTTGGATGAAATCACTGAAATTGCTAAAACAGCGAAATTCATCTCAGTTGTACCAAAGCGCAAAAAATGGCGTAGTGTTAGGCAAGACAGCAGTAAAGGACAATATTCCTCAACAGAGCCAACGGAAACAGTGCTTTCAAGTAAAAAACCGCCCTCTTCTGCGAATTTCCAACTTGTGTGTCCGAAACGGAACCGTGAAAGCATGCAGAAGATAGCACCTTACGGCTGTCTTGCCTAACAATAACCTAGCATGAAAATGAAAAATACCCTTTACATAGGATTGAAATGAAATCAGTCTATTTTTAATCATCCAAAAGATTTCTAGGAGTCTTTTGGACGGTTCGCAGCGATTTGACAAAGAACGGAGGCTTCTCTCAATAAAATTTTCCGGTCAGAAGCATCTGAGCCCGTTTTCTCAAAACTTCATTTTGGCACTTACTGCTCTCTTCGCTGTCACGGCAGAATAGACAGTAGAGTCCCCTCATAGAGAAAGAGAGAGTATACTATGGTCATGAACACTTTAATCAGCCCAAAAACTTCACAGTGAAAAAAACGGGGAAAATGCTCAAAAACAAGATATCATGTAACAAATTGTTTTAAAAATTGCCGTATCGGGATCAGCGGCGAGGCGTGAATGGTCGATTATCGATATTTCCTCACTTGAAGCCACGGTAAAGAATCGATTATTAAGGTGTTCATTGCGGACACTCTGTTCATGGATCCTTTTCCACAGGTTTAAACGGCCGATCAATCGATATATCGCAAATGCCACGCCACTGATCGTCATTTTCGAGTAATTTTTTACTCGCAACTTCTCCTTTCGGCCGCCGCAAACGGTTCCCCAGAGACGGCTATACAGAGACGGGCGAGGGTCAAACAGACCCGCAAAGGGCGGGAGGGCTCGGGATGAATGAATGGAAACGAACCCGCGCGAAGCGGACGGTTGTTTTCCGCGGTGTTTTAAAAACACCGTCGAGAAGTAAATTTACGCGAGAAAAAATGACAAGCAACGTTAATTTGGGGGAGAAAAAAATCAGAGCGGACGCCGAGGACGCTGCGATGCGACCGCGACGCTCCGCGGTAGCTAATCAGGATTTTAGCGACAACCCCCCCCCCCGCCCTCTGGGTCGTGGTGAAAGTGATTTAAGGCGCTTTTGTCTCCAGCTCGCTCCCCGGTAATTACTCATAATTTAGCGCCGAGCTCCCCGGCTCACCCTCAAACCGAACCACTTATTCCACGTTCTGTTCCGTCCTCGCCCATTTTTAAACTCTAATTTTCAGCCCCCCCCCTCCCCGCCACCGTGACGTCTCCGGCGCCTCCATGCGTGGGCAGCGCGTCCTGAGGAGACGACATCGCGACGCGCTGTGAACATCAACCTCTCGAGATGTACCATCCCTAATTCCTTTCAGCGCTGTATTCTGCCGTGATAAGGAAAAACGCCGCACTGGAAAAAAAAAAAAAACACTTTGGATCTAGGGTCCAGACTCTTTAAAACATCGACAAGAAAAAGTACTCTTTAGTCGGGGGACATACGTAATCCCGTGTGCAGATTCGTGAAGGCATATTGTGTGATACATCAATCTCTTCGTTTTGATGTCTAGAAAAAGAAAATCGATGATGGCCATCTCAAATTTCATACAAACCCCCCCAAATTCAAGATGGCGGCCAAAATGGCGGTTTTGGGGTAAAAAAATTTAAAGTTTGCAAATACGTCGTGTCGGGTGTCGTTTCTTATGTATTTTTGATCGTAGAATCCGAATTTTTAGTCAAAAGTTAGTCCTAAGGTCATTTTTAGGCCAAAATCCAAGATGGCGCCCAAAAATACCTCTTACGGGTACTAATTTGCCTACTCGGGTCTACATGCATTGTGAGGTATCAATTATTAGGTTTTCAGGGT